GCATGTGAACTGGCCTTGTGGCCCTTTGCTTGTGCTCAGTGAGTGTGGTGACGTTGTGATCCACCCTGAGCTTGCTTTGCTTTTCTTGACTGGTCTTGTGACCCCTCGCTCTCCCCCACTTTGCCTATGGGGGTTTGTCAAATGTTATATCTGCTACAGTTTGTTTAGGCTGTAGTGGGGTAGTTACTATGGGGTACAGTAAGTTTAGGGTTTCCTACTTGTACCCACCTCTTGCCTAGTGCACACACACTTGTTCATTCTGACAGGCAGCAGGGGTATGGCCAGGCAGCACGGGATGACTGGGCAGCAGGGGAGCGGAGGACAGGCGGGGTTGGGAGAGCAGCAGTAGATGGGAGGGCTGCAGGGGATGGCAAGGCAGCATGGGATGACACTGCAGCAAGGGGGGGAAGGACAGGCGGGTGTGGGAGGGCAGCATGGGATGGGAGTGCAGCATGGGATGGGAGGGCAGCAGGGAAGGGGAAGACAGTCGGGGTTGGGAGGGAAGCAGGGGATGGGAGGGTAGCAGGGGATGGGAGGGCAGCATGGGATGGGAGTGCAGCATGGGATGGTACGGTAGTTGTGTCACTTTATATATGTATGTCCCATGGTCTTGGACGGAGCAGTTTTGCACATGTGCGATTGCTGAAAGCAAAGATGGTGTTTGATACGAATGTTTCAAATCCTGCACGAAAGTATGCAATGTTGAAAGTAGTGAAAATGCATATAACGCCAGAAATATATCCAATTTTTTTTAAATGATCATATCAACTAGGTGCCCCACGGAGTAGACACACCTCTACCCGAAACCATGCTCGCAGAACTTTCCAGCTCTGAACCGTCCAAATTGACCATGAAATTTCTCCGCACCACGCTTATCGTCGCATATACCTCATCAACAACACCGTCTAACCAGCCACAGCCGCCCACACCAATTTACCCACCCTCTAACCGTCACTTTAGATAACATTTATAGGTGTATGCACAGAGTCAGCTCCTGCCTTCTCATCTCCTTCTGCCATCCGTTCTCCAGCACCCTCCATATGTGTTTTGCAGCCTTGACCTTCGCAGTCCTCATCCCGCACCTCTCCTCGCCCACCGATATATCCGGCACTCTTGGTGGATCCGTCATCGTCATGGTAATTTACCGCCTCCCTTGTTATCACTCCGACTGCTTTCCTCCTAACTCTCCTAGCACCAGACGTACATCGGACGTCATGCATCAAACTAGCTAGCGAGACCTTCATGGTACTGCTATTGGACCCTTGTAGGACAATGCGAAAGCGACATAGCGCATCTTTGCTGCTTACCTCTCCACCTTGCAAACTCAAATTCTGCATCGAGTCGCACCGTACATCGATAAGGTTTTTGCGACTATAATAGTAGAACTCCTGAATAAGATTTTGCCGACAATACAACCGAACATCCTCCCTTGCGTCTGCGGCAGATGGATAAACCTTCCCCTTGAATATGTTGCATACGTCGAAGTCCTGCGTATTGACATAACTAGTACACCAAACAAAATAGAGTTCAAGGAACAACACATTGCAATTTGTTTGTGAGATGTGGCATAACAATGGAGCGCATGTAGCCTCGCAATGTAAACCACGAGTATAGGATCTGCAAATGACAACCCTAAATTTATAGGCCAGACCTCACCTGGCTTGCAGTGGGTGAGACATGATGCTGATCACAAGTGCCACGAGCTTTGATGGATAATGAGCACGGGAGGATAACAGGGAATGCGAGGGGATGATAGGAACGGGGAATCAGGACCAGAGAGATGATGAGTGGATGAGAGTGAATGGGAGTGTATGAGAGTGCATACGAGGGGATGAGAGGGGATGAGAGGGGATGAGAGTGTATGAGAGTGTATGAGAAGGGATGAGACTGGATGCGTGTGAACGGGAGAGTGTGAGAGGGGATGAGAGTGTATATGATAGTGGAAGGGAGGGTATGCGAGTGTACAAGAGTGTATGAGAGTGTATGAGAGGGGATGAGTGTGTATGAGAGGGGATGAGAGTGTATGAGAGGGGATGTGAGGGGATAAGAGGGGATGGGTGTGAATGAGAGTGTATGGAAGTGTATGAGAGTGGATGAGGAGGGATGAGAGTGTGTAAGAGAGTGTATGAGAGTGTGTGAGTGTATGAGATGGGATGAGAGGGGAAGAGAGGGGATGAGAGGGGATGAGAGGGGATTACCAGGGATGAGAGTGCACGAGAGTGAAAGGGAGTGTATGAGAGTGTATGAGTGTGTATGGGAGTGTATAAGAGGGGATGAGAGTGTATATGATAGTGTATGAGTGGGTATGAGTGGGTACGAGAGTGTATGAGAGTGTATGAGAGGGAATGAGATGGGATGTGAGGGGATGAGAGGGGATGAGAGTGAATGAGAGTGAATGAGAGGGGATGAGAGGGAACGGGAGTGTGTGTGAGGGGATGAGAGGGGATGAGAGTATATGAGAGGGGATGAGAGTGTGTGAGATAGGATGAGAGGAGATAAGAGGGGATGAGTGCGAATGAGAGTGTATGGAAGTGTATGAGAGTGGATGAGAGCGGATTAGGGGGTATGAGTGTGTATGAGAGGGGATGAGAGTGTATAAGAGTGTATGATAGTGCATGAGAGAGGATGAGAGGAGTTGAGAGTGTATGAGAGTGGATGAGGAGGGATGAGAGTGTGTAAGAGAGTGTATGAGAGTGTGTGAGAGAGTATGAGATGGGATGAGAGGGGATGAGAGGGGATGAGAGGGGATGAGAGGGGATGACCAGGGATGTGAGTGCACGAGAGTGAAAGGGAGTGTATGAGAGTGTATGAGTGTGTATGGGAGTGTATAAGAGGGGATGAGAGTGTATATGATAGTGAATGAGTGGGTATGAGTGGGTACGAGAGTGTATGAGAGTGTATGAGAGGGAATGAGATGGGATGTGAGGGGATGAGAGGGTATGAGAGTGAATGAGAGTGTATGATAAGGGATGATGAGAGAGTATGAGAGTCTAGGAGAGTGGATGAGAGTGGTTGAGAGTGTATGAGAGTGTATGTGAGGGGATGAGAGTGTATGAGAGTGTATGAGAGTGAATGAGAGTGGATTAGAAGGGATGAGAGGGGATGAGAGTAAATGAGAGGGGATGAGAGTGTGTGAGATAGGATGAGAGCGGATGAAAGGAAATGAGTGTGTATGAGAGTGAATGGGTGTGTATGAGGGGATGGGAGTGTATGAGAGTGTAGGAGATTGAATGAGAGTGGTTGAGAGTGTGTGAGAGTGTATGAGAGGGGATGAGAGTGTATGAGAGTATATGAGAAGGGATGAGACTGGATGAGTGTGTACGGGAGAGTATAAGAGGGGATGAGAGTGTATATGATAGTGGATGGGAGGGTATGCGAGTGTACAAGAGTGTATGAGAGTATATGAGAGGGGATGAGTGTGTATGAGAGGGGATGAGAGTGTATGAGAGGGGATGTGAGGGGATAAGAGGGGATGGGTGTGAATGAGAGTGTATGGAAGTGTATGAGAGTGGATGAGAGCGGATAGGGGGTATGAGAGTGTATGAGAGGGGATGAGAGTGTTTAAGAGTGTATGATAGTGCATGAGAGAGGATGAGAGGAGTTGAGAGTGTATGAGAGTGGATGAGGAGAGATGAGAGTGTGTAAGAGAGTGTATGAGAGTGTGTGAGAGTGTATGAGATGGGATTAGAGGGGATGAGAGGGGATGAGAGGGGATGAGAGGGGATGAGAGGGGATGACCAGGGATGTGAGTGCACGAGAGTGAAAGGGAGTGTATGAGAGTGTATGAGTGTGTATGTGAGGGGATGAGTGTATGAGAGTGTATGAGAGTGAATGAGAGGGGATGAGAAGGGATGAGAGGGAAAGAGAGGGAATGAGAGGGAATGAGAGTGAATGAGAGGGGATGAGAGGGAACGGGAGTGTTTGCGAGGGAATGAGAGGGGATGAGAGTATATGAGAGGGGATGAGAGTGTGTGAGATAGGATGAGAGGAGATAAGAGGGGATGAGTGTGAATGAGAGTGTATGGAAGTGTATGAGAGTGGATGAGAGCGGATTAGGGGGTATGAGTGTGTATGAGAGGGGATGAGAGTGTTTAAGAGTGTATGATAGTGCATGAGAGAGGATGAGAGGAGTTGAGAGTGTATGAGATGGGATGAGAGGGAATGAGAGGGGATGAGAGGGGATGACCAGGGATGAGAGTGCACGAGAGTGAAAGGGAGTGTATGAGAGTGTATGAGTGTGTATGGGAGTGTATAAGAGGGGATGAGAGTGCATATGATAGTGTATGAGTGGGTATGAGTGGGTACGAGAGTGTGTGAGAGTGTATGAGGGGGAATGAGATGGGATGTGAGGGGATGAGAGGGTATGAGAGTGAATGAGAGTGTATGATAAGGGATGAGAGAGTATGTGAGTTTTGGAGAGTGTATGAGAGTGTATGAGAGTGAATGAGAGGGGATGAGAGGGGATGAGAGGGAAAGAGAGGGAATGAGAGGGATGAGAGGGAATGAGAGTGAATGAGAGGGGATGAGAGGGAACGGGAGTGTGTGTGAGGGGATGAGAGGGGATGAGAGAATATGAGAGGGGATGAGTGTGTGTGAGATAGGATGAGAGGAGATAAGAGGGGATGAGTGTGAATGAGAGTGTATGGAAGTGTATGAGAGTGGATGAGAGCGGATTAGGGGGTATGAGTGTGTATGAGAGGGGATGAGAGTGTTTAAGAGTGTATGATAGTGCATGAGAGAGGATGAGAGGAGTTGAGAGTGTATGAGAGTGGATGAGGAGGGATGAGAGTGTGTAAGAGAGTGTATGAGAGTGTGTGAGAGTGTATGAGTGGGGATGAGAGGGGATGAGAGGGGATGAGAGGGGATGTGAGGGGGGTGTGCGAGAGGGGTGGAGAGGAGACTCAACGTAACTAGAGGGGACTAGAGAGCAGTCAAGCATGAGATAGCATATAAGAAAAGCCTGGCACGAGAGAGGGTATTGTCATATTCGAGGCTTTGGCATGCGAGGGAGTGAGGAAAGATGGGTAGGAGCCAAGGGAGCACGAGAGGGGAGGCTAGACGAGAGTGCATGGGCACCCTGGTCTCGGCGGTGGCCAGAGAGGCGCGACGCGCTGAGCGGCGGGCTGGCGGCTTGGCGCATCACGGTGGCGGATCGTCGTGATGCGCCCAGCAGGGTGGCCGCATTGCGCATCGCGACGGCGGCGGCCTGGTCGGCGCGATGCGCGGAGCGGCCAAAAGCTGGCCGCATTGCGCATCGCGACGGCGGCGGCCCGGTCGGCGCGATGCGCGGAGCGGCCAAAAGCTGGCCGGAATGCGCATCGCAGCGGCGGCTGCTCCTGATCGTCTCGATGCGTCGAGCGGCGAAGTGGCCGCACTGCATCTCGCGACGATCGGGCCCGATAGGCGCGATGCGCGGAGCGGCGCGCCGGCCGCTGGGCGCTTCGCGACTGCGGTCTGATCGATTGATTTTAATGTAAATTATTAGTATTTTTTGAGTAACAAGGGACTAAACGTGAACGGATGGGAAAAGGCTTTTGGGCTAAGGCACGCGCCGTTGATAGAAGTCAGGTGCTGCTAACGAATGCCTTGGATGCGTGACGGGGAAGGCCCCTGGCGAAAGGTATAGCTACTATTAAAGCTCGCGTCTCATATTTACTAGTGTTTAACACTTGGTTGGGAAAGTAAGATCCTGATTGGTTTACGAGTGACGAGTTTTTTGACGAGCGGGGGAAATACATGCGCGAAGTTCCAAAGTGTTGAGGCCAACACAAGAGCTCAGGCGCAGGTTTGGGTCACATCCGAACCTCTTGCGTGACAGGTTTGGGAAGTTGCACTTTGTGCGACCAACACTGACGACGGGAACACAGATTGTGCAAGGGAGTGAAGTGATAGGGAAAAATCAAGCGCCAAGGTTAGCACTCCAGCCCTACCTCCTTACACGTAGTAGAAGCATTACCACTCCATTAGTAACCTAGCTCCTATCCAAAGGCGTCAAAAGGACAAAGAATGTCACGTAACAGGGGTGAGCAGCAGTAGCGCTCCCCTTTGCCTATGCTTATGATTAGGTAATAGCCGTCATCTTCCCACCACCCGACCTCCGCTTCCCCGCCACCCCATCTCCCCTGCTCGCCGACCGATCTCCCGTGCAACCCGCCCGAGTTCCCGTTCCCGCGGCCCGATCTCCCATTTCTGCCGCCCAATATCCCCTTCTCGCCTCCTCTCGCCTCCCCGCGCGTGCTCCTCTCGCCTCTCAGCGCGTGCTCCTCTCCCCTCCCAGCGCGTGCTCCTCTCCCCTCCGCGTGCGTGCTCCTCTCCCCTCCGCGTGCGTGCTCCTCTCCCCTCCGCGTGCGTGCTCCTCTCGCCTCCCTGCGCGTGCTCCTCTCCCCTCCCCGTGCGTGCTCCTCTCGTCTCTCCGCGCGTGCTCCTCTCCCCTCCCCGCGCGTGCTCCTCTCCCCTCCGCGTGCGTGCTCCTCTCCCCTCCGCGTGCGTGCTCCTCTCCCCTCCGCGTGCGTGCTCCTCTCGCCTCCCCGCGCGTGCTCCTCTCCCCTCCCCGTGCGTGCTCCTCTCGCCTCCTCGCGCGGCATTCCCCCTGCACGCCCTCATTTCCCCCCCTGCACGCCCTCATTTCCCCCCCTGCACGCCCTCATTTCCCCCCCTGCACGCCCTCATTTCCCCCCCTGCACGCCCTCATTTCCCCCCCTGCACGCCCTCATTTCCCCCCCTGCACGCCCTCATTTCCCCCCCTGCAGGCTCTCATTACCCCCCTTTTATGCACCCGTTTCCCCTCTGCTCACTCTCTTTCACCCCTCACTCACGCGTTTTCCCCTCTGCTCACTCTCTTTCCCCCACACTCACCCTTTCTCCCCTCTGCCCACTCTGTTTCCCCCGTCACTCACCTTCTTACCGAATTCTCACTTTTCATTCACCCCTTTTTCCAATCCCGCTTCCCCTTTTCCATCTCTCCTTCATGCCTCCCACCACCTCTCCCTGCCTTCCTTGCTTCTCTCCTTATCTCCTTCATGCCTCCCACCATCTCGTTTTCCTTCTCATCTCTTGTGGGCCACATCACAAGGCCCGTCTGCCCTCTCACACTCTTCCTGCCATTCTCACTCTCGCAATCCTCACCGCCGTCCCTTCCTTCCTGTAACCAATCTCCCCTCCCCCCTTTTCCCTTCCTTCCCTCCACTTCCTCCCCTTCCCTTCCTTCTCTCCCCATCATTCCCTCCCCTTCCTCCCCTCCCCTTCATCCCCATCCCTGCCCTTTCCTCCCTGCCCTTCCCTTCTCGACCCCGCCCTTCTACGTCACTCCTCGCCTTCTGCCCTCCAGTTCATGTGCATGTGCTGCCATCACTTTTGCCCCATACATGCATCTTATTAACTCATGTTTACTCGCTTGTATTCCCTTTTCACCCTCCGTCCCTTCAAATCTCCCCTCACTTACTACCCATCTCCCTGCCTTTCCATCACACCTCCGTGCCTTCTCATGGATTTGAGGCACCATTGCGACACCAGGTGTCATACAACCTGTAATGCATACGCAAAGCTACAAGCTACAAGCCAGTATAGGAACATGCCAGTATTAGGGACATGCCTCTATCCTTCTGACACTCTCAGTGTCCATACATCTTGGAAGAATATCTTGCACTGCAGAAAGAAAAGTACATATTGTGCCTTTGATATGGATATCTCCTACACTAATACAGTATCATGCTTGCATACAACACACAAGAAAAACAGGTGGTGGTACGGTATAGAGCGTGGACTAGCTTTAGCTGCGCCTCAGCTTGCTCCTCTGCTTCACCACTGAAAATACAGGGAGTGGAGTAGGCAGGAATAATTGTGTGAAGGAACATGGGGGAGGTGGTGTGAGGTGCCAAAGGAACAACTGCAAGGGAACACAAGCAAGCGCACATGATGAAAGCATGTGGGGAGACAGTGATGGGTGCACATGCATGGGAACTACAGTAGTGGGCGGGTGAGGTGTGAAGGGGAAGGGGAGGGCATGAAAAGGAAGGGAAGGGTTGAGAAGGGATGGGGAAGGGAAGCGCAGGGCAGGGAGGGAAAGGCAGGGATGGGGAGGGCAGGGTGGAACAGGGCAGAGGGTGGGGGGAAGGAGGGCTGAGGGGATGGGGGGAAGCAGGAAAGGGGATGGGGGGAAGCAGGAAAGGGGATGGGGGGAAGAAGGAAAGGGGATGGGGGGAAGCAGGAAAGGGGATGGGGGGAAGCAGGGAAGGGGATGGGGGGGAGCAGGGAAGGGGATGGGGGGAAGCAGGGAAGGGGATGGGGGGAAGCAGGGAAGGGGATGGGGGGAAGCAGGGAAGGGGATGGGGGGAAGCAGGGGGGGAAATAGAGAGCAGAGGGGAAATTGATGGAAAAGCAGAGCGGGAATTGATGGGGAGCAGAAGGGGGAATGACGGGATTTATCGCAACCCGTCGTTCGCACCTAATCAGGGCGGCAGGGAGAATGAGTGGAAAGGCAAGGGGGGTGGGGGAAAGGAAAAGGGGTTGGGGAGGAGAGAACGGAGATAGGGAGGATGAACGCCGGCAAGCAGGAGCGCATTTCCTGTCTCCACTCACCTCCCCTCCCATTTCCTCCCCTCCACATCCCACCTACCCCCTCCCCTCCCCCCCCTGCTCCTTCTCCCCGCCTCCACTCCAACCCGCCTCTCCCCCGCTCTCCTCCCGCTCCTTTCTCTCCCTCTTCCGCCGCCTCTCTCCCGCCCTTCCCCTCCTTTCTCCGCTCCTCCGCTCCCTACTTGCTCCTGCTTCGCTCCCTCTCCCACTCCCCCGCTCGGCCCCCATCCCCCCTGCAACCAGTCGACGGCAAGCTGGACGACCGAGTTTTGGGACATGTTTGGCGGCTTCGCGCCACTGGCTGCACTTGCGCTCGCAATCGCCCCACTCGTCCAGGCGCTGCTGCACTGTGCGCTGTTCTTGTGCTGTGCTGTATTACACGATGTGCTCTTCACCCTGCTACGCCAAGGACCTGCATTCATGCATGACCCCCTGCATGCACGCCCCCTCGTCGCGTCCCCTCCCGTCCCTCCCGTTTCCGCCCCGTACCGTCGCATCCCGCCCCTTCCGCGTGCTCCTCTTCCCTCCCTTCCATTTGCGTCCGGTCTCGTCGCATCCCGCCTTCCCGTCACGTCCCCTCCCGGCCCCTCGTCGAGATTCTTACCTTCCTGTGCCGTCCCGTCCCGTCCCTCTAGTCCCTTCCCGTCCAGTCCTGTCCAGTCCCGTCGCTTCCCGTACTGTCCCGTCCTGCCCCATCGCGTCCCTTACCTGGCGCGCCTCATTACCTGGACATGGTTCACGATAAGCACGGGATGTACCCTGGTCGCCGCTGATACTGATAAATGAAGACCTAATTTCAAGTTTATAGGTCGGCCGTATATGCTGATCAACGAGAATCTAACTTTTGTGTAAGAGGTAACCGCGGTTGCTAGTGGAAAGAGTTTTACTCTTGAACCTGAGCCTAGTGCTAGTGCGAAATCGGGTTTCTGAGTTCTGTCAGTCTCATATTTTTCAGCTGTTGTAAATGCTTGATTCGTGCGACAACCTGGTCGCCGGTGGGGGAGTTTGGGCGATCGTGTTGTCCCCGTGCAGGTGTGTTTTCCAAACCTACCTGGGTGCACGATCGCATGATTGGTTTGGCACGTCCCTGCGCATACCGCCAAGCAAGTTTGTAGGTTCCCAACCAATCGTTTCAACCTGGGCCAACCTTCAGTGGAGTTGTGCAACAGTTTGAGGGTTACCGGATACCAAGCGTTTAACACTTGGTTGGGACACAGAAATATGAGACGCGAGCTTTAATAGCTGATGGCGTGAAGTGAGTTGGAGAGATCCGCTGGGGTCAAGCTTCTGTACTTGGTTGGAACCGTAGCGAGCAGGGGGGTGTACAGCACGTCGGATCGTGGTGTGGTTACGGTGGGCTGGAGGCTCGACGGTAAAGGCGTGCATCAAACCTCTCCGCACGATTTGGCGCGAGCGGGAAATCGGCCTGGTTTCAGGAATTCTTGGCGGGCGTTTCATGTGCTACCATTCGCGTGATTCTTGAGCTGTTGTTAGTGACTGATTCCGTGACCCCGCTTACCAAGCCGGTCAGGATACTCGATACAGTTACCGTACGCTTTTTTTTTTTACCATTGACTTTATGGGGTCACATGATTGTTACTTGTGGCATATTTTCCCGCTTTCTTTGCCTGTTCCTACCTCAGCCATTTGGCCCGGGTTTAGCTGAGGCAGCAGCGGAACGTTGCGCGCATAACTTGCGCGCATAGCTGGGCGTTGGCGGAGTCGGCGCATTGGCAGAACGGGGCGGAGTGAGACGGCATTGGCGATGGGGATGTGAGACGCTGAGCTGGAATTTGATGTGAGGAGTGATCACAATTTCGACCAATCCACACCACATCGTAATGCGGTCCGAGATTTTAGTACACACCACATCCCGAGTCCAATGTTTGTGCGAATCTCTGCGACGGACGCCCTTTCTTTCTCACCTCGCAGCTGCTAGAGATTCCCAAGCCAACTAGGCGGGGGCAAACCTGCAAGCCCTGGTAACGTTCCAACGAACATCAACAAGAGTACAGCAGAACCATCGCATGCAATCATAGCCAATTTCGCGAATATGAAGAAACAAATCGACCAACGCACCTCCTTCGCATATCACCCCCCACCGATGGATATCTGAGCTGGCTATGTCAAGCAACGTGAAAGTCGAGGCTTGACAATCCCAAGGTCCATCCAGAGTCTAAAATACCGTGGCTTTTCCTCACTTAGGGCGTATCCATGTTCGGGTCATGGGCACTGTTCCGGGCATCCGCTATTTGCGGATGACCCAAACAACATAAAACGCCACTTTGGGTCATCCGAACTCCTGCGACCCCCAAAGAGCCGCAAGGGTTTTCGCGCCAAAATCACTCCACGGTTGTGACAATGCGGTTGGCGGTGAGGTCTAGCACCTCCCATCCCTTGCTCTCCGGCGAAACACCGAGGTGAATTCCCCAGCATGCCTTTGGTGCCAACTTTCCGCCGCGCTGCTGCTCCGGGATCATGAACTGCACCATACAGCCCCACACGCGCGCCAGCGTGAGATCCGGCTTCTTCTCGAACAGCAGCTCGTACGGCGTCGTCCTCGGAGGAAGTGAAGCCTGTTCGAGGCAGTTGCGCACCCAGACGGCGTGGCGAAGGGCGAGGTGCCACCAGTGATGCTTCACCCCCATGTGAAGCAGCATCGTCCGCACAGCTTCGATGACCGTGCGCATCTCCCGCTCCGCCATGCCATTCTGCTGCGGAGTGTAGGGGCAGGTGAGGTTGTGGAGGATGCCCTTGTCCTCGACCAGGTCAGTGAACGCCCTACCGAGGAACTCCCCTCCGCGGTCAGAGCGCAGCCATTTCACCGACTTCGACGTTTGCCGCTCCACCTCCTTCAGCCACTTCTCGAACACTCCGAGTACGTCGCTCTTTTTCGCGATCGGACGGACCCACACAAAGCGAGTCTTGCGGTCCTTGAGGAGGAGAAAATAGAGGCTCACCCTACAACGGGAGTGGACTACGAAGGAGAGCACGGAGTTGTGTGGGTGATCGTAGCGCTCTAGTAGCGTTCTATCAGAGTTCTTACTACTTGCTGTGACCACTAAGAAATTTGGCAAGAGTTTCCACTAAGGAAATTGAAAGAACATTGAAATTTGATAATTTGAGTACAAAGAAGAGCATGCAAGTGATATCACTGGAATGGCATTGCAATCCCTAGCAAGCATTCTGCAAGGCGAATTGCCAACACTGCATCAGAGCGGTTCGCGAACGCTGAATCAGAGCGGTCTGCCAGCGGAGCAGAAGGGCGACATGCCAGCGCTGCAACAGGGCGGCCTGCCAGCGCTGCATTCGCAGGTGAATATCTGCGCAGGTGTGCACCTGCCAAGTAGGTGCAGGTAGACGGTTGCACCGTCAGAGACATTGCGCAAGTGCCAGGTAAAAAACGCTCCGACGGTTTCGTCAGATGTCCACCGTCGAGCACGTGATGCCATTTCGCAGGTCGAATTTCGCTAAGAGCCACCTGAGCAAATTTTGCATGCCCCTGCAGAGTTTCGCAGTCGCGCGAATTCGGCCAGCCAGTTCGCTGAGATGAGACTCGCCGAACAGCGCCCTTCGATCAGAGAACGGGGCTCCTCGGAAAGCACCCCGTCCGTCAGAGATCGCGCGACCCAGAAGCAGATCAAAAGACGAGCTCGTCGAACAGCACCCCGTCGACCAGAGCTCGTTGACGGGCTGGTGAATCAGAGGACAACCTCCTCGAAGACCACCCGCGGGTTCAGAGGACGGGCTGATCCAATGCGACGATCACTTTGTCGAATTCACCACGTCGTCGCAGAGAATGTCTGCGCCCAAGCGAGGGCGGGGCTTTTCACTCCGACACCTGCGACAGCAACGCTCGAGCTTCGCTCAGTCGCGCTCCTGCCGTGCCCACCAGCGAACTCGACGACAACCATCAGCCGAACCAGACAACCGTCAGCCGAACCAGACAACCGTCAAAATGTGCAATTTTTTCGCGGTTCTTGGAGCAGCTGATGCTCGCACCCGCGCGAAGGTCCTCGAGTGCACTGCCAGGTAAGCCAGCATCAACGTCATGTAAATAGCAGGTAATTATGGTCGTCGCTTCAGCACTCCCGTGGTTTTGACGCGATCATTTTCCATTTATTTTCTCGCCCGCGGCTATGAACTCATGGAGCTTACAGCACCGAGTCTTGATTACAGATGACGCATGCGATCGGCGCCAGGATTTTCCCGTGTGCTGGCAATCGCGCATCGCAAATCTATCTGCTTTCCAAGGACTTTCGCATCGCATCCGAAGCTTTGACATTTTTAGCTCCCGTCAATGACCCGATGCCAGGTGTCCCCCGCAGGCTGCGCCACCGTGGACCCGACTGGAGCTTGCACACGTTCGGCAATAACTTCTTCGCGCACGAACGGCTAGCCGACATGGACCCGGCGTCCGGCCACCGGCCGTTACGCAAAGAGGATGGCAGCATCGTGGTGGCCGTCAACGGCGAGATCTACAACTACCAGCAGCTAAGGGACGAGCTGCAGCATCGCCACACGTTCAACACTGGCAGCGATTGCGAAGTCATCACGCGTCTCGTAAGTCCGATGATTCGTCGCGCAGATTTCGTAAGTCGTCGCGCCGCGTCTCGTGCGTACACTGATATGATGGGATGAGCGACTAATCTGGTCTTGGTTCGGACCTTCTTATTGCTCATAGTAAGCTATTTCATTCTTACTACTCGTTTGCAAATTGGCTTTTGTTTTATTCGTTTGCTCGTTTTGAACATCCTCGTTATTACACTTTTCCACTCGAACCCCCCTCCTTCAATTTATCTATTCGTATGATCTTACGATGATTTCGGATACGGGGCTGACATTGTGCAGATATGAGGCTCCCTTCCCGGTAGCTTGTCCGTTAGACGGGCACGTCGTGCTTCTCCCGGTAGCTTGTCAGGTCTCTTATTTCTTCACCACCCTTCTCCAGTATGAAGACGTGGGCGATGCGGTGGTTCAGAAGCTGGACGGAATCTTCGCGTTCGTGTTGCTCAACACAAAGGACGGCTCGTACATCGCGGCGCGGGATCCCATCGGCGTGTGTCCGCTCTACATCGGCTGGGGTCGCGACGGCTCCCTGTGGTTCGCGTCTGAAATGAAGGCTCTTAAAGACGACTGCGAGCAATTCGAGACGTTCCCGCCGGGCAGTGTCTACTCCAGCAAAGCCAGTGAGTCTTTTGCTTCGAGCTGAATTCAAATGTTGTTTCCCCTGAAATTTCTCCTGTTTTTGTCAATTTTTTTTTTTTTTTTTTTTGGATATATCTTCTGAACTCCTGCGTTTCTGTTCCTGTCCGCCAGAAATGCCCCGTCGCTGGTACAACCCCGCATGGTACGACAAGCACATCCCGTCCGCGCCGTATGATCCGCTCGTCCCTTGTGGGCAATAATTCTCTCCACTCTTCCTGTGATTCCCATGATCATACCTTCCCATCAGACATGCCCCGTCTCTGGTACAACCCCGCGTCGTACGACGAGCACATCCCCTCGGCGCCGTACGATCCGCTCGTCCCTTGTGGGCAATAATTCACTCCGCTCTTCCTGTGATTCCCATGATCATACCTTCTAATCAGACATGCCCCGTCGCTGGTACAGCCCCGCGTGGTACGACGAGCACATCCCCTCAACGCCGTACGATCCGATCGCGCTGCGCGCCGCGTTCGAGAAGGCCGTCGTGAAGCGGCTGATGACGGACGTGCCGTTCGGCGTGCTTCTATCGGGGGGCCTCGACTCGTCGCTCGTCGCCGCCGTTGCGCAGCGCCATTTGGGGGAGCAGTGGGGGCCGCAACTCCACTCCTACTGCATTGGCCTCGAGGTGCGTCGGGTCGGGACTGAATTTCTGAGTGATTGGGGTACGTTAGCTTTACCAGACGTGCCGTTCGGCGTGCTTCAATCGGGGGGCCTCGACTCATCACTCCTCGCCACCATCGCGCAGCTCCACTTGGGAAATCAGTGGGGCCCTCAGCTCCACTCCTACTGCATCGGCCTTGAGGTGCGTTGCCCTTACTAACTATCATTGCGCGCCGAGTAAGCAGGGGGCCTCGACTTGTCACTCCTCGCCACCGTCGCGCAGCGTCACCTGGGAAATCAGTGGGCCCTCAGCTCCACTCCTACTGCATCGCCTTGAGGTGCGTTGCCCTTACTAACTATCATTGCGCGCCGAGTAAGCAGGGGGCCTCGACTTGTCACTCCTCGCCACCGTCGCACAGCGTCACCTGGGAAATCAGTGGGGCCCTCAGCTCCACTCCTACTGCATCGGTCTTGAGGTGCGTTGCCCTTACTAGCTATGGTTACGCGCCGAGTAAGCAGGGGGCCTCGACTCATCGCTCCTCGCCGCCGTCGCGCAGCCCCATTTGGGAAATCAGTGGGGCCCTCAGCTCCACTCCTACTGCATTGGCCTTGAGGTGCGTTGCCCTTACTAACTATCATTGCGCGCCGAGTAATGTCGGACTTATATGGTCTAGCCTGTGTAGACTGTAGCGGGTTAGATACTAAGGGGTACACAATTCTAGGGTTTCATATTTGTATCACACTCATTCCTTAGTCATCCATTCCTCGTTATTCTAACATGGTATCACGAGCCTAGGTTGCCACCTACAGTAGGACCGCTTACTACTACGGGCCCACTATTCCGCTAGAAGCGCCCTCGTGCGCCCTACCTTACGTGCGCCCTCGTGCGCCTTTCTCTGCGAGTGCGCCCTCGCGCGCCCCGCCCTTCGTTCTGCCTGCGCTGCCTACTGCCCTAGGCCAGTGTGCCGCCCCTGCGAGCTAGTAAGGCCCTCGAGCCGCCCCTGCAGGTCCGTCAGGCCCTCGAGCCGCCCCTGCAGGTCCGTCAGGCCCCCGAGCCTCCTCTGCAGGCCCGTCAGACCCTCGAGCCGCCTCTGCAGGCCCGTCAGGCCCGAGAGCCGCCCCTGCAGGCCCGTCAGGTCGGCGCGCTGCCCCTGCAGGTCCACACCGACCGCGCGCCGCCCCTGCAGGCTTTCGCCGCCCGCACGCAGCCTCTGCAGGCCCGTCAGACCGCGCGCGGCCCCGTCAGGTCGCGGTCGTGGCCCCGTCAGGCCGCAGTCGCGGCCCCGTCAGGTGGCAGGAGCTCCGCCCCTGCAGGCCCGTCAGGTCGGCGCGCTGCCCCTGCAGGTCCACACCGACCGCGCGCCGCCCCTGCAGGCTTTCGCCGCCCGCACGCAGCCTCTGCAGGCCCGTCAGACCGCGCGCGACCCCGTCAGGTCGCGGTCGCGGCCCCGTCAGGCCGCAGTCGCGGCCCCGTCAGGTGGCAGTCGCGGCCCCGTCAGGTCGCGGTCGCGGCCCCGTCAGGCCGCAGTCGCGGCCCCGTCAGGCCGCAGTCGCGGCCCCGTCAGGTCGCTGTCGCGGCCCCGCCCTGCCGCCGACGCGGACGCCCGTCAGATCCGCCCCTGCAGGCCCGTCAGGTCGGCGCGCTGCCCCTGCAGGTCCACACCGACCGCGCGCCGCCCCTGCAGGCTTTCGCCGCCCGCACGCAGCCTCTGCAGGCCCGTCAGACCGCGCGTGACCCCGTCAGGTCGCGGTCGCGGCCCCGTCAGGCCGCAGTCGCGGCCCCGTCAGGTGGCAGGAGCTCCGCCCCTGCAGGCCCGTCAGGTCGGCGCGCTGCCCCTGCAGGTCCACACCGACCGCGCGCCGCCCCTGCAGGCTTTCGCCGCCCGCACGCAGCCTCTGCAGGCCCGTCAGACCGCGCGCGACCCCGTCAGGTCGCGGTCGCGGCCCCGTCAGGCCGCAGTCGCGGCCCCGTCAGGTGGCAGTCGCGGCCCCGTCAGGTCGCGGTCGCGGCCCCGTCAGGCCGCAGTCGCGGCCCCGTCAGGCCGCAGTCACGGCCCCGTCAGGTCGCTGTCGCGGCCCCGCCCTGCCGCCGACGCGGACGCGGCCCCGCCCTGCCGTCGACGCGGACGCGGCCCCGCCCTGCCGTCGACGCGGACGCGGCCCCGCCCTGCCGTCGACGCGGCCGCGCCCTCCTACTGCCTGCCGCGTCGCCCTGCCCGCCGCGTCGCCCCTGCCAGCGACGTCGCCCCTACCCGCCGCGTCGCTCTGCCCGCCGCGTCGCCCCTGCCCGCGGCGTCGCCCCTGCCCGCCGCATCGCCCTGCCCTGCCCCGCGCCGGGCCCCTGGAGCAGCCGCCACTGCAGCAGCCGCCCCTGGCCCCTGGAGCAGCCGCACCTGCAGCCGCCCCTGGCCCCTGGAGCGGCCGCCACTGGAGCAGCCGCCACTGCAGGAGCCGCCCCTGGACCCTGGAGCAGCCGCCACTGCAGCAGCCGCCACTGCAGCAGCCGCCCCTGGCCCCTGGAGCAGCCGCACCTGCAGCCGCCCCTGGCCTCTGGAGCGGCCGCCACTGGAGCAGCCGCCACTGCAGGAGCCGCCCCTGGACCCTGGAGCAGCCGCCCCTGCAGCAGCGACCGTCGCGGCCCTGTCCCTGCCCTGCACAACCGCGGAGCTTCCTGCCGCGGTCGCGGCCCCGCCCTGCCGCTGTAGCAGCCTCGCAGTCGCCTCCGTCGTACGCCTGTCCTTCTCGCCACTGGTGAGCACTGCCCTGCCTGTACTGCTGTTACTGCTGCTCCTACTGCTACTGCTCTTTCTTTTACTACTACTGCTCCTGGCGTGGCCAGATGCAGCTCCAGCGCTGTCCGCGTGAGTCTCTCACGCCCCAACAGCTTCGTGAGTGGTACGCTAGCTGGGGTTATAGGGGTGGCCGCGCTGCTACTAGTGCTACTGCTGCTACTGCTGCTACTGCGGCTACTGCTGCTACTACTGCTACTGCTGCTACTGCGGCTGCTACTGCTACTACTACTCCTGGCGGTGGCCAGCTGCAGCTACAGCGACGTCCGCGTGAGTCCCTCCCGCCCCAGCAGCTTCGTGAGTGGTACGCTAGTTGGGGTTGTCGGGGTGGCCGTGGTGGGAGTCGTCCTGGAGTGAGTAGTTCGGGAGCTTCTTGTAGTGGCCAGGTGCAGCTGCAGCGTCGTTCGCGCGCGACCCTTTCGCCCCAGCAGCTTCGCTAGTGGTACGCTCAGAGTGGAGGGTCACTGAGTTCTGCTCGCTGCCCGTACGTCATTCGCATGGGCGTCCGGACTGGTCAGCCTTGCGGGACTCCTGGTCACACAGAGTCCCGCTGCTTCGCCCGTCTGAGCGACGCTTGGCGTACAGAGTTTGGCGACGACGCTGAGCTCCCCTCCTGGCTGGAGCTGCTTAGGCAGAGGGTAGATATCTTTGCTCTTGACTATGATGCTATCCTCACTGCCATGTATGCATTGTGTACTAGTGCTGAGGGTGCCTGTCACCTGTGTGTGCCGCCTGACCCCGGTATCCAGTCTGCTGCTCTAGGTGCTGGTGAGGCTGCTGCCCTAGGTGCTCGTGCGTCTCCTGCTCCAGGTGTTGGTGGCGGTGAGGCTGCTGCTCTAGGTGCTAGTGAGTCTCCTGCTCCAGGTGCTGGTGAGTCTGCTCTCTCTGGTGCCGCGCCTGCTGCGGTCTTGCACACCTTCACCCTTGACTCGGATGCTTCCCGCTCCTTCTTTCGAGACCGCACCACCCTCACACCGCTTAGTCGGCCGGTTGCGGTCTCCCTGGCAGACCCCTCTGGGGGTCCTGTCCTTGCTCACTACTCCACTGTGCTACCGTGTCCGGCGGCCCCGTCTGGCTTCCTGTCAGGTCTTTACCTCCCCTCGTTCTCTACGAACTTGGTGAGTGGTGCTGACCTGCAGGATAGAGGGGTTGACCAGTTCACTCCTGCGAGTCAGCGAGTGACCCACTGCACGTGTGCTCGGACGGGCCGACACTTGGCCACGTTTACCCGTCAGCCGGGGTCGAGCCTGTACACACTGACTACTGAGTCTCCTCCGGTCGCTGAGTCTGGTCAGGTAGCTGCGTCGGGTCAGGTGTTTGCTGCAGCGTCCAGGTCTGGTCCTGAGTCTGCCCCCTGCTCATGTCGTCTCCTGTCTCACCAGACTCTCCTCTGGCACCACCACCTTGGTCACCCCTCCCTGCCTCGTCTCAGAGGCATGGCCTCCCGTGTCCTTGTTTCTGGTCTCCCCCGGTCCCTCCCTCCCCTTCCTCCGGGGCCTGCCCCTACCTGCGTTCCCTGCGTCGAGGGGCGGCAGCGCGCCGCTCCTCACTCCTCCGAGTTTCCTCCGACAGAGGCTCCGCTGCAGACGCTTCACATGGACGTGTGGGGCCCAGCCCGCGTCCGTGGACAGGGTCACGAGCGTTACTTCCTGCTGGTGGTTGACGACTACTCGCGTTACACCACAGTCTTCCCCTTGCGCAGCAAGGGTGAGGTCACTGAGGTGTTGATCGACTGGATCCACGCAGCTCGTCTCCAGCTCAGAGAGAGTTTCGGCTCAGACTTTCCTGTTCTGCGTCTGCACTCCGACAGAGGCGGAGAGTTTTCCTCTGACCTTCTGCGAGCCTTCTGTCGTGCACGAGGCATCCGCCAGACGTTCACGCTTCCGGCCTCTCCACAGCAAAATGGGATTGCTGAGCGCCGCATTGGCATGGTCATGGACGTCGCTCGTACGTCCATGATCCATGCGGCTGCTCCCCATTTTCTGTGGCCGTTCGCGGTTCAGTACGCGGCGCATCAGATCAACCTTCAACCTCGGGTCTCCATGCCGGAGACCTCCCCTGCTCTGCGGTGGACGGGGAAGGTTGGCGATGCGTCTGCGTTCCGTGTCTGGGGATCTCGGGCGTTTGTTCGCGACTTGTCTGCGGACAAGCTGTCCCCTCGTGCTGTTCCCTGCGTCTTCCTTGGCTTCCCCCCTGACGCGCCTGGTTGGCAGTTTTACCACCCCACCTCGCGCCGTGTTCTGTCCTCCCAGGACATCACGTTTGACGAGTCGGTTCCCTACTACCGTCTCTTCCCCTACCGCACTGCACCCCTTCCCCCGCCGCCACTCTTCCTCGCGCCAGGTCCCCCCCCGGTAGACCCCCTTCCCCCTCAGGGTCCTGCCCCTTCAGGTGTGTCCCAGGTAGACGCAGTCGAGCCTGTCGAGGTAGCTGTTGACTCTAGTACTGCTGGGGGTGCTGAGCCTGCGGGTGCGGGGTCTGGGGGTGCTGAGCCTGGGGGTGCTGAGCCTTGGGGTGCTGAGCCTGGGGGTGCTGAGCCTGGGGGTGCTGAGACTGGGGGTGCGGAGCCTGAGGGTGCTGGGCCTGCTCGTGTGGCGTCTGGCGGTACTGGGTCTGGAGGTCCTTCGGGTGCTTCGTCCCGGCGGGAGCTACTCTCTCCACAGGAGCTGCGCGAGTGGTTTGCTCGGCGCTGGAGCCGTGCTGCTGGAGCTGGAGGTGCTGCTGGTGTTGGAGGTTCTACCGCTGCTGAGGGTGCTGGTGCCACGGGTCCCGGAGGTGCTCGTACTGGAGGTACTGGAGCTGCTGGGCCTGCGAGTGCTCCTTGTGCTGGAGCTGCTGGCGGTGCTGGAGCTGGAGCTGGAGCTGCTGGGGGTGTTGGCGCTGGAGGTGCTGCTGGTGCTGGTGCTTCTGAGGGTGCTGGTGTTGGCGCTGCTGGAGCTGGTGCTGCTGGCGCGGCAGGAGCTGGGGGTGCTACTGGAGCTGGTGCTGCCGTTGGGGGTGCTGGTGCTGGAGCTGCTGGCGCTGCTGGAGCTGGGGGTGCTACTGGAGCTGGTGCTGCCGTTAGGGGTGCTGGTGTTGTTCCTGCTGGTTCTGGGGGTGCTGCACGGCCGCGGCCGTACTTCGTTCCGCTCCTTGAGCAGGTTCTTGGTCTTCCGCCCTCTACTAGTCCTGCTCCTCCCTTAGAGTGTCCACCGCCTGTCCTGTCCGAGTCACAGTTACAGCCCGCCTCCCCTCTGCCTGCTCCTTCACACTGGTCCTACTTGAGGTCTTGCTGAGCGTCGTGAGCCTGCGTCTCGTCCTGCGTCGCCTGTCTGTGCTGCTCGCACTGGTGGTCGTGGTTCGCGTCAGCGTCCTCCTCCTGTCCCCGGTACGCACCGGATGTCTCTGCGTCCTTCCACTGCTCCGCTTCGTGTCCCTTTGCCGTCTCCTCCAGAGTCCTCTCTTCCTGCTCTTCTTGACCCGGAGTCAGACTCCCTTCGTGCTACCAGTCCTACTGTCACGCGTCTCCTTGCTACTGTTGTCACTGACCCTTCCTTTGCGTCCACTGCTGCGTCTGCCTTAGTTGCTGAGCTTGTCGACTTCGCTGCTCGCTGTCGTCTAGACTACGCTGCTAGTCTTGTTGCTGAGTCTGAGTCTGTCTGTCCTCCGTCCGTCGGGGGTGAGTGTGCCCTTGGCACGGACGTCCTTGAGGACAGGCAGGAGGAGTTCCAGTGTTTTGCTGCTGCTTCACCTCATCTCGTGTCCATGTTGCTTGCCCCTGAGGGAGACCCGGATGCACCAGACATCCCGACTCCGTGTTCTTACGCAGAGGCGATAGAGGGTCCCTACTCCTCTCAGTGGCAGGCAGCCATGGACGCAGAGATGGCTTCCTGGAAGTCCACAGGCACCTACGTCGACGAGGTTCCCCCCCTGGGGCGAACATCGTCAGTGGCATGTGGATCTTCAGGGTGAAGCGGCCGCCGGGTTCTCCGCCTGTCTTCAAGGCGCGTTACGTGGCTCGAGGCTTCAGTCAGCGACAGGGAGTTGACTACTTTCAGACCTTCTCTCCCACCCCGAAGATGACCACTCTTTGGGTGCTGCTGCACATAGCCGCTCAGCGCGACTACGAGCTTCACTCTCTTGACTTCAGCACTGCTTTCCTGCAGGGCAGCCTGCACGAGGAGATCTGGCTGCGCCGCCCACCTGGCTTCACTGGGTCGTTTCCTCCTGGTACCCAGTGGAGCCTCCGGCGGCCAGTCTACGGTCTCCGCCAGGCGCCCCGTGAGTGGCACGACACACTGAGGACTACACTTGCGGCTCTTGGGTTTGCTCCTTCTACTGCCGACCCGTCGCTGTTTCTACGCACCGACACCTCTTTGCCGCCGTTCTACATCCTCGTGTACGTCGACGACTTGGTCTTTGCCACAGCTGACACTGCTGGACTCGCCCACGTGAAGTCCGAGCTGCAGAAGAGACACACGTGCACAGACCTGGGTGAACTGCGCAGCTACCTTGGCTTGCAGATCACTCGGGACAGAGCACAGCGCACCATTACCCTGACTCAGTCACACATGGTGCAGCAGGTCCTTCAGCGCTTCGGCTTCACGTACTCCTTGCCTCAGGCCACTCCTCTGTCTACTCGCCACTCGCTCTTAGCTCTGCCTTCGGATGAGTCCGTAGAGCCGAGTGGCCCGTACCCAGAGCTTGTTGGCTGCCTCATGTACCTGATGACCTGCACTCGACCTGACCTTGCATACCCTCTTAGCATTCTGGCACGCTATGTTGCTCCAGGGAGACACAGACCTGAGCACATGGCTGCAGCGAAGAGGGTGTTGCGCTACTTGTGCAGTACGTCGGGCATGGGGCTCGTGCTTGGAGGGCGTAGTCCAGTGGTCCTCACTGGTCACGCAGACGCTTCGTGGGTTGACGACCTGGCTACGCAGCGGTCGTCACAGGGTTATACCTTCAGCCTTGGTTCCGGTTCTGTTTCGTGGCGGTCTACCCGCTCGTCTTCTGTTCTCAGCTCGAGCTGTGAGGCTGAGATCTACGCAGGGGCCATGGCTGCACAGGAGCTACGCTGGCTCACCTACCTGCTGACTGACCTTGGAGAGCCGCCTCGTTCTCCTCCAGTTCTGTACGTAGACAACAAGGCCATGCTGGCCTTGTGTCGGGAGCACAGACTGGAGCACAGAACGAAGCACATTGGTCTTCGCTACTTTCTTGCTCGTGAGCTGCAGCAGCGTGGTCAGCTGCGACTTGCTTACGTGGCCTCTCAGGCCAACACTGCTGATATCTTCACCAAGGCACTCGCGCCTTGTGATCATCAGCGCTTCTGTACTCTGTTAGGTCTTGTGCCTACTTTGCCTCACCTACTCACTTCTTGACCTTGCTTGTACTGTGATCTATCTATACCTGCACTTGCTTGTTTACCTTTATATATGATCTTGCATGTGAACTGGCCTTGTGGCCTTGAACTTGTGCTCGGAATGTGTGGTGACATTGTGATCCACCCTGAGCTAGCTTTGCTTTGCTCTGCTTGACTGGTCTTGTGACCCCTTGTTCTCCCCACTTTGCCTATGGGGGTGTGTCGGACTTATATGGTCTAGCCTGTGTAGGCTGTAGCGGGTTAGATACTAAGGGGTACACAATTCGAGGGTTTCATATTTGTATCACACTCATTCCTTAGTCATCCATTCCTCGTTATTCTAACAAGTAAGCAGGGGGGCTCGACTCATCACTCCTCGCCACCGTCGCGCAGCTCCATTTGGGAAATCAGTGGGGCCCTCAGCTCCACTCCTACTGCATCGGCCTTGAGGTGCGTTGCCCTTACTAACTATCATTGCGCGCCGAGTAAGCAGGGGGCCTCGACTTGTCACTCCTCGCCATCGTCGCGCAGCGTCACCTGGGAAATCAGTGGGGCCCTCAGCTCCACTCCTACCGCATCGCCTTGAGGTGCGTTGCCCTCACTAACTATCATTGCGCGCCGAGTAAGCAGGGGGCCTCGACTTGTCACTCCTCGCCACCGTCGCACAGCGTCACCTGGGAAATCAGTGGGGCCCTCAGCTCCACTCCTACTGCATCGGTCTTGAGGTGTGTTGCCCTTACTAGCTATGGTTACGCGCCGAGTAAGCAGGGGGCCTCGACTCATCGCTCCTCGCCGCCGTCGCGCAGCTCCACTTGGGAAATCAGTGGGGCCCTCAGCTCCACTCCTACTGCATCGGCCTTGAGGTGCGTTGCCCTTACTAACTATCATTGCGCGCCGAGTAAGCAGGGGGCCTCGACTCATCACTCCTCGCCACCGTCGCGCAGCTCCACTTGGGAAATCAGTGGGGCCCTCAGCTCCACTCCTACTGCATTGGCCTTGAGGTGCGTTGCCCTTACTAGCTATGGTTACGCGCCGAGTAAGCAGGGGGCCTCGACTCGTCGCTCCTCGCCGCCGTCGCGCAGCTCCATTTGGGAAATCAGTGGGGCCCTCAGCTCCACTCCTACTGCATCGGCCTTGAGGTGTGTTGCCCTTACTAACTATCATTGCGCGCCGAGTAAGCAGGGGGGCTCGACTCGTCGCTCCTCGCCGCCGTCGCGCAGCTCCATTTGGCTTCAACGCCAGCGGGGGGAAGCAGTGGGGAGCACAGCTTCACTCCTACTGCATCGGCCTCGAGGTAATCCCACTGGCTTCAACTCAACCGCCTTATCTGCAGGTGCGTGCAGCGTACTCTCGTTTCATCTCTGCCGTCTCTCATCTGCTACCAGTGCTGTACGCATGGTTGCTTGCATTGCATCTTATGGATGTATGTTTGTTCCAATAATCTGTCATTTTTCTTCCTAATTTTCTAACTTTCCCCTTATCGACTACCATCTTCCCACTTCCTTTTTTTTTGTTTTTGTTTTGTTTTTTTTTTTCCAATCTCCAGGACGCCCCTGACCTGCGGGCAGCGAGAGAAGTCGCGGATTTCATCGGCACAAACCACCACGAGATAGACTTCACTGTACAAGAGGGCATAGACGCGATTTCTGAAGTGATATACCACACGGAAACCTTCGACGTCGCCACCATCCGCGCCAGCACGCCCATGTTTCTGCTGAGCCGCAAGATCAAGGCGCTGGGGGTGAAGATGGTGCTATCTGGGGAAGGTAGCGACGAGGTGTTAGGGGGTTACCTGTACTTTCACAAGGCGCCCAGCAAGGAGGAATTTCACCGGGAGACATGTCGTAAGGTGGGGGAAAATGTGCGGGTGTGTGTGGGACTGTGTGTGGGACTGTGTGTGGGACTGTGTGTATGGGACTGTTTGTCTGGGACTGTGTGTGTGGGACTCTGTGTGTGGGACTGTGTGTGTGGGACTGTGTGTGTGGGACTGAGTGTGTGTGTGCCTCTGTGTGTGCCTCTGTGTGTCGACCCAATCCCTTCTCCCTTTATTTCACACTTAATCCATTGTCTGTTCCCGTGCTCAAACCAACCGCCAAAATACTCTCCATCCCTTCACCGTTCTCAACCCAACCCCATCCCTCTAATCAGCTCAAGGCTCTCCACATGCACGATTGCCTTCACCCCTCTCCCCTCGTTCCACCCTCCTGAACCCCACCCTCATCCCCACCCCACCCTCCTGCACCCCACTCCACCCCCACCCCACCCTCCTGCACCCCACCCTCACCCCCAACCCAACTTTATCCCCATCCTCCAATCATCCCTTCAACACTCTCCCTCTTACCCTTGCCCTGACCCGATCCTCTCTCACCCCAACACCATCCCTCCAATCAGCTCAAGGCACTTCACATGTATGATTGCGTGAGGGCCAAGAAGGCCACGTCAGCATGGGGGCTGGAGGTGCGGGTACCCTTTCTGGATAAGGAGTTCCTTGACGTGGCAATGAGCATTGATCCTCAGTATAAGATGATTCGCAAAAGGGACAGGCGCATTGAGAAGTGGGTCATTCGACGGGCTTTTGACGACGAGGAGAGGCCTTACCTACCCAAGGTAACTAATGAGTCGGACTGAAAGATAAGAGATTTTTGAGTTTGGCTCTGAAATAGGTCGATTTCGTTTTTGTTTTGTTTTGTTTTTTCCTTTGTTTGCTTGTTTTTTTTTTTTTTTTTTTTGGCAAGCTTTAACAGAAGATACATCTCTTCTGTTTCACTCTTTCGATCCAAGTCTCTTCTCTCCCCTTATTCTCAACACCTTCTCCCCTCCTCTTCTGCTCTCACCTCCTCCGTTTCCTTTTTCTTCCCATACTCCCAACCTATCCCCCTTATCAGCACATCCTCTACCGCCAAAAGGAGCAGTTTTCCGATGGGGTGGGGTACAGCTGGATAGACGGGCTCAAGGCGCATGCAGAGCGAATGGTGTGTCGGATCAGATGACCATCCCAATCTCCTCTTCTCCTCTGCTCCCCTCTCTCTGCTGTTCCTGTCCCCTTTCTCAGCACATTCTCTACAGGCAGAAAGAACAATTCTCTGACGGCGTGGGGTACAGCTGGATAGACGGGCTCAAGGCGCATGCAGAGCGGATGGTGTCGGACCAGGTGATGGCCAACGCTCCCAACGTCTTCACGTACCTCCCGCCCCAGACTAAGGAGGCGCTCTTTTACCGCCGCATCTTTGAGAAGCACTTCCCCCAGGTGAGACTCTTCACATACAGGGATACATACCCCCCCCCCCCCCCCCCAGGTGTGTGAGGGCCTCTTTTGAGACGTCTCAAAAGTCATCTTGGAGAAGCACTTCCCCCAGGTGAGACTCTTCACACACAGGGATACATACCCCCCCCCCCCAGGTGTGTGAGGGCCTCCGCCAGTCCTCTGCTCTCCGCTCTCTCAGTGCGCATGCAGAGCGTATGGTGTCGGACCAAATGATGGCCAACGCTCCCAACCTCTTCATGTACCTCCCGCCTAAGACGAAAGAAGCGCTGGTTTACCGGCGCATCTTTGAAAAGCACTTCCCACAGCTGAGGCTCTTCAAACCTCTCCACTCCTCTTCACATACCTCCCGACCAAGACCAAGGAGGCGCTGTTCTACCGCCGCATATTTGAAAAGCACTTTCCACAGGTATGTGTGAGGGTTTTCCTGTAGTTGCCTGTTTCCCACGCCTCTTCACACCGCTCCTAACCCCTTCACATACAACCCGCCCAAGACCAAGGAGGCGCTGTTCTACCGGCGCATCTTTGAAAGGCACTTCCCACAGGTGAGGCTCTTCAAACCTCTCCACTCCTCTTCACACCTCTTCACATACAACCCGCCCCAGACCAAGGAGGCGCATCTTTGAAAGGCACTTCCCACAGGTGAGGCTTCACATACAGAAGTGACTGTCCCTGGAGGCTCCTGCAACGCCTGTAGCACAGCAGTCGCTGTAGCGCCTAAACTCCCTCCCTTCCCCCTTTCTCCCATCCCCACTTCTCTCCCCCTTTCTGCTACAGCGCTCTGCTTGTCTGACTGTCCCTGGAGGTCCCAGCGTCGCCCGTAGCACGGCGGCAGGTGTAGCGTGCTGCCTTGCAGAAATTTTCTAATCATTCTCGCTCCCCCTTCCCCCCACCCCTCCTTTCGTCTCCCTTTCTGCTACAGCGCTCTGCTCGTCTGACTGTCCCTGGAGGTCCCAGTGTCACCTGTAGCACGGCAGCGGCCATAGCGCCTAAACTCCCTCCCTTCCCCCTTTCTCCCATCCCCACTTCTCTCCTCCTTTCTGCTACAGCGCTCTGCTCGTCTGACTGTCCCTGGAGGTCCCAGTGTCACCTGTAGCACGGCAGCGGCCATAGCGCCTAAACTCCCTCCCTTCCCCCTTTCTCCCATCCCCACTTCTCTCCTCCTTTCTGCTACAGCGCTCTGCTCGTCTGACTGTCCCTGGAGGTCCCAGTGTTGCCTGTAGCACGGCGGCAGGTGCAGCACTTATAGTCCCTCCTTCCCCCCAACCCCCCTTCCCTTTCTGCTACAGCGCTCTGCTCGTCACACTGTCCCTGGAGAGCCCAGTGTTGCCTGTAGCACGGCGGCAGGTGCAGCATGGGATGCTGCCTGGCGAGACAACCTGGACCCCTCTGGCCGTGCTGCTCTGGGTGTGCATGCTGCTGCTTTTGAAACCCGAGGTCCATAGCTTCCAAAGGTAGGAGGGTTGGTTGGGGCAAAGGACGTAAGTGGCAGGTGCAGCGTGGGATGCTGCCTGGCTAGACAGCATGGACCCCTCTGGCCGTGCTGCTCTGGGCGTGCATGCTGCTGCTTATAACGAGGATGCAGTTTGAGTCGACTCAAGAGTCAACTTAGCACGGCAGCAGGTGCAGCATTGGATGCTGCCTGGCAATGGCAAGGGAACATAGACCCCTCTGGCCGTGCTGCTCTGGCCGTGCTGCTCTGGCCGTGCTGCTCTGGCCGTGCTGCTCTGGCCGTTCACGATAGTTACCGGTAAATGCTTAGTTACTGGTAAATGCTTAGTTACCGGTAAATGCTTAGTTACTGGTAAATGCTTAGTTACTGGTAAATGCTTAGTTACCGGTAACTACTGTGAACTCTCCTTGCAAATTCTCTTTCTTGGGGCTAATGACTGCTGGTTGACAAAGGAGTTGAGCAGAAATTGCGCAGCAAGAGAAGATATTCATACAAATTCTCCCTGGCAATGTCCGCAGTCCATCACTCAGATTTCACTCGTAGAGATTACTCAGCCTCACTCAGAATTTACTCAGCCTCACTCATAGGCTCTACTCAGCCTTACATTACATCCTCGCTCATATGATTTACTCAGCAGCAAAGACCAGGTGTCAGAAATGAGAGGCGATCTCTCTGAGATTCGTCCTGCCTTACATCCTCGGCTCCCTTCCCAAGTTCCCATGCTTTCCGCGCTGTACGACCTGCCTTGACTCTTATTGTTGCGCAAAACTCCAGCATATGGGGCGTGAAAGACGGAGAAGCAGGAGGGAGTATAGATGGTTCCGGGTCTGACGCATGGCTGCATATGATTGGTCAGCCACAGGCCCAGTTCCTGCTATGATACAAGATTTTCTGGTGTATTTATAGTATTTGCTAGACCCAACTTTTGGGTTGTTGAAGTGGTTATGATACTTTCTATGTAAAGCCCTGTATAGGAAACCATAACATATTCGCTGTCAGATCTCTTCGATAACCTTACGGTACAGTACTTTTTAGCAACATACTGAATACAGCGTATAACGCTATTTCAAATGTTTTTTTAGTAGGTTGTATAGACCTAAGGATGTTACAACTTCTACACCCAGCAACTCTTGCAGTTCTCCATCCACTCTGTATTGAGCCAGCCGCCCTCCTCCCTCCACCTTCTCCCCCTGCTCCTTAATTCGCTGCCACACCTGCTGACCCGCCTCCTTGAGAGTTATGCTGTCACGCTACAGGAAAAGTAGAGGGAGGGGGTACCGTATATGGATGATGGATGGATCAGATTGTAGGGCAGATAAATTGATGGATGATGGATGGGCGCACAGAGAGTGACGATGGATGGATGATGGATGGATGGATGATGGATGGGAGCACATAGAGGGTGACGATGGATGAATGATGGATGAATGGATGGATGGATGGATGGATGGATGGATGGATGGATGGATGGATGGATGGATGGATGGATGGATGGATGGATGGATGGATGGATGGATGGATGGATGGATGGATGGATGGATGGATGGATGGATGGATGGATGGATGGATAGGTGCACATAGAGAGTGACGATGGATGGATGGATGATGGATGGATGGATGGATGGATGGATGGATGGATGGATGGATGGATGGATGGATAGGTGCACATAGAGAGTGACGATGGATGGATGGATGGATGATGGATGATGGATGGGAGCACAAAGAGTGATGATGGATGGATGATGGATGGATGGATGATGGATGGATGGATGGATGGATGGATGGATGGATGGATGGATGGATGGATGGATGGATGGATGGATGGATGGATGGATGGATGGATGGATGGATGGATGGATGGATGGATGGATGGATGGATGGATGGATGGATGGATGGATGGATGGATGACGAACGGGTGCACATAGAGAGTGATGATGGATGAAATGCACGGCATGCATCCACGTCAAACCTTCTAGCTCCATTCCTTCCCCTCGGGTCCTCTGTCCTCACCTCAAGTCCCAAAAACTGCTTGAGCATTGGGGATGGTTGTCTAGCAGGGGCCTCTCCTTTCCCTGAGCTACTACCAGCCTCGTTTCCATCACCTCCTACCCCACCTAATTGGTTGAATGGATCAATTGTGCCCTCACCTCAAGTCCCAGAAACTGCTTGAGCATTGGGGATGGTTCTCTAGCAGGGGCCTCTCCTTTCCCTGAGCTACTACCAGCCTCCTTTCCATCACCTCCTGCTGTGGCCTTCACTGTTGCTCCTTTTTGTTTTGCTGCTCGACCTGCTCCCACTGCTCCTGCTGCTCCCACTGCTCCTGCTGCTCCCACTTCTCCTGCTGCTCCCGCTGCTTCTGCTGCCCCTGTTCCTGCCCCTGCTACTCTTGCTGTTTTTTTTGCTGCTCCTCTTCCTTTTCCTGCTGAGTCCTGCCCTGCTTCTTCCTGCTTAGACCTGTCCCCCTCACTATCAACAATCTGCATATGCTGCGATACAAGCTTTTGGAGGCCAAAGAAATGAGCCTCATCAACCCCAAAGAGGGTTCTCAGCTTGTCATCAAAGGCTGCTGAGTTGGGTCCAGCCTGAAGGTTGTTGGCTTTAATGTAGTTCCACACAAGGGTCGTTGCTTCGAGGATGCTCAGCTGCTCGTGCTGTGAGGACATGGAAGGGGAGGGAGGGAGGGAGGGAGGGAGGGAGGGAGGGAGGGAGTGACGCAAGTAGCACAGGGAAGCCTCAGCTTGTCGTCAAACGCTGCTGAGTTGGGTCCGGCTTGAAGGTTGTTGGCCTTGACGTAGTTTTACACGAGGCTTGTTGCTTCAAGGATGCTCAGGTGCTCGCGCTGTAGGAGGGGAGGTCTGGAGAGGAGGGGAGAGGGGGAAAAGAGATGGGGAGAACTCCAGTTGCTCCGAGGTGACTTTTGAGTCGACTCAAAAGTCACCTTGTAGGAGGGGAGGTCTGGAGAGGAGGGGAGAGGGGGAAAAGAGATGGGGAGAACTCCAGTTGCTCCCTTGCATCCTTGAAATTCCTAGAATTTGGTACCAACCATGTTCAACCGATCTCAAACGATCTCAACCGTTCCCAACCATTCTCCACCCAAACTGCTCTCACTCTCCTTCCCAATGATCTCTTTCAGTTGCTCGGATGGCTGTCTAGGAAGCGGCCTTCCCAGAAGCCCGTCTGAGAAGGCCAAGTCAGACGCACCAGCTCAGTTGCTTCCTCGCCTAATAAAGGTTTCCTTACCAATTCCTATATTCCACACATACCAACCATTTTCAACTGCTTTGAATCGTTCTTAACCCAAACCAAACAACACCCATTCACCTCCTTCCCGATGATCTCCTTCAGTTGCTCAGACTGCCTTCTGGGAAGCTGCTTCCGCTGTGCAAGCTCCTTAATCAACCCTCCTCAACCGTTTTCAACCTAATTAAAATTCTCTCACCTCCTTCCCAATGATCTCCTTCAGTTGCTCAGACGGCCTTCTGGGAAGCTGCTTCAGACGAATAAGCTCCGATCCTCCCTTGCTTGCTCTGACATAATTGCTCTGTTTCCCTACTTTAGCAGCTTCCTTGCCCAGTTTAGAAGCTTCCTTTTCCACTTGAGAAGCTTCCTTCCCTACTTGAGAAGCTTCCTTCACCACTTGAGCAGCTTCCTTCCCCGCTTCAGAAGCTTCCTTTCCCACTTTGGAAGCTTTCTTCCCCACGTGAGCAGCTTCCCTCCCCACTTCAGAAGCTTCCTTCACCACTTGAGAAACTTTCCTCCCCGCTTCAGCAACTTCCTGCATGTGTGGTAGCAGCAGCCCCGGCACTTTCGTGGAATGTGCCCCGTCAACCCCAAAGGGAGCCCCATCAGAGCTTTCAGCAATCAGAGCACCGTCAGAGCTCTCAACTTCCTTCATGTGCGGCAGCAGCAGCCCCGGCACTTTAGTGGAATGCGCCGAGTCAACCCCAAAGAGGGCCCTCAGCTTGTCGTCAAAGGCTGCTGTGCGGCTTCCCGTCTTGAGGTTGTGTGCTTTCACATAGTCCCACACTAGCCGTGTTGCTTCGAATATGCTCAGCTGCTCGTGCTGTGGGAGGGGAGGGGAGGGGAGAGGGGAGTGGGGAGGGGAGGGGGTGAGGAGGGGAGAGGGGAGTGGGGAGGGGAGGGGGTGGGGAGGGGAGAGGGGAGTGGGGAGGGGAGGGGGTGGGGAGGGGAGAGGGGAGTGGGGAGGGGAGGGGGAGGGGAGGGGAGAGAGGGCATGAGGCAAGTTGCACAGGGAGGGGAGGGGAGGAAAGTCAGTCCTCCTCTACCATTCTCAACCGTTTTCAACCCAGATCAATCTCACTCACCTCCTTCCCAATGATCTCCTGTAGCTGTTCCAATGGCCTCCTGGGAAGGCGGTTCTGCTGGGGAAGCCATTCTCAACCACACTCTACCGTTCTCAACCCAACTCAATCTCTCTCACCTCCTTCCCAATGATCTCTTGTAGCTGTTCCAATGGCCTCCTGGGAAGGCGGTTCCGCCGTGCAAGCTCTGCTCCTCCTTGGCTTCCATCCCTGGCTTCCTTGTTGCACTGCTCCTACTCACCAACCCATCTCAACCACTCTCAACCGTTCTCAACGCACGCTCACCTCCTTCCCAACGATCTCATTTAGCTGTTCCGACGGCCTTCTGGAAAGCAGGTTCCGCAGTGCAGCTCCATTATCAACCCTCTTCAACCGTTCTCAACCGATTTCAACCCGAATCAATCCCTCTTACCTCCTTCCCAACGATCTCCTTTAGCTGTTCCGATGGCCTTCTGGAAAGCAGGTTCCGCCGTGCAGCTCCGCTCCTCCTTTGTGCCTTCCGGTTCTCGACCGCTCTTAACCGCTCTTGACCGTTATCTATCCAAATTAATCTCACTCACCTCTTTCCCAATAACCTCGTTTAGCTGTTCCGATGGCCTTCTAGGAAGCAGGTTCCTCCGTGCAAGCTCTGCTCCTCCTTTACGCCCTCTGGTTCTCGACCATTCTCACCTCCTCCCCAACCCTTCTCAACCGTTCTCAGCCCACACTACAAACTCTCTCACCTCTTTCATCTGTTCCGATGGCCTTCTGGGAAGCCGGTTCCTCCGTGCAATCTCTCAACCACTCTCAACCGTTCTCAACCCACTCTCACCTCCTTCCCAATGATCTCCTTCAGCTGTTCCGATGGCCTTCTGGGAAGCCGGTTCCTCCGTGCAATCTCTGCTCCTCCAAGGCTTGCCAGAACTTTCATGCGCTGCTGCTCCGGCCGAAGCTTGACCTCTTGAGCTGTCTCCCCCTTCCCCCTCTCCCCCTCCTCAGTATCCCCTCGCTCCTGGTCCTCCTCCCCTCTTTCCCTGGCCGCTTTTCCCTCCTTTCCAGCCTCTTCTCCAGCCTCCACATCTGTTGTCACCTTGCTCCTCCCAACTGCCTTGCTTTCTTGCTTTCTAGGCCCTTTCAGCTTGCTTGTTTCTTGACCACGCTCCTTCCCTCCTTCCCTGGCCGATTCTCCCTCCTTTCCAGATCCCTCTTCAGCCTGAGCAACTTCCTTTTCCACTTCAGAAGCTTCCTTCCTCACTAGAGAAGCTTCCCTCCCCACTTCAGAAGCTTCCTTCCCCGCTTCAGCAACTTCCTGCATGTGCGGCAGCAGCAGCCCTGGCACTTTGGTGGAATGCGCCTCGTCAACTCCAAAGAGCTCCCTTAGCCTCTCGTCAAACGCTGCTGTGTTTTTTCCGGTCTTGAGATTATTGGCTTTCACATAGTCCCACACTAGCCGTGCTGCTTCGAATATGCTCAGTTGCTCGTGCTGTGGGATGGGGGAGAGTTTCAGGAAGGAAGGGGAGTGGAGGAGAGGTAAGTGAGGAGTTTTTTACCTCAGCTTGCTGTTAGGAATCCTGAGAAATTGCTTCTCTCACGACCATGTTTCAGCACTATTCTCAACCGTTCTTAACTGCTCTCAACAATTTTCAACCGCTCTTAATCCACACCACACAGACCTGCTTCCCGATTAGCCCCTTCAGCTATTCCCAACTGTTAGTTAATCCACACTCGCCTCCGTCTGCAAAGCCGCTAAGAACATGCAATATCTGCTCCTCTTGAGTCGACTCTTGAGTCAATTAAAAAGAAAGCCGCTAAGAACATGCAAGCTCTGCTCCTCTTGAGTCGACTCAAAAGCGAACATGCAATCTCTGCTCCTCTTGAGTCGACTTTCGAGTCGACTTTTGAGTCGACTCAAAAGAAAGTCGTTATGAACGTGCAAGCTCTGCTCCTCTTGATTCGACTCAAAAGCGAACGTGCAAGCTCTGCTCCTCTTGAGTCAACTCAAAAGCGAACGTGCAAGCTCTGCTCCTCTTGAGTCAACTCAAAAGCGAACGTGCAAGCTCTGCTCCTCTTGAGTCAACTCAAAAGCGAACGTGCAAGCTCTGCTCCTCTTGAGTCGACTCAAAAGCGAACGTTTTGAGTCGACTCCAAGCTCTGCTCCTCCATGCGTGGAGGAGCAGAGCTTGTTCGATTTTGAGTCGCTTTAATAAGTCAGCTGCTCCTCAAATCTCTGCTCCTCCATGCGTCCTCTCAATCGCTAGATTTATTCCACTGCTCCTGCTTAACCGTTTCGTTCCGTTCTCAACCCTCACTCACCTCCTTCCCAATGATGTCCTTCAGCTGTTCCGACGGCCTTCTAGGAAGCCGGTTCCGCTGGGGAAGCCATTCTCGACCACACTCTACTGTTCTCAACCCCCCGCTCACCTCCTTTCCAATGATCTACTTCAGCTGTTCCGACGGCCTTCTAAAAAGCCGGTTCTGACGAGCAAGCTCCATTATCAACCCTCTTTAACCGTTCTCAACCGATTTCAACCCGAATCAATCCCTCTTACCTCCTTCCCAACGATCTCCTTTAGCTGTTCCGACGGCCTTCTAAAAAGCCGGTTCCGCTGTGCTGTAAGGTTCTGCTTTAGTGAAAGGGTTTTACGAGTTCTACTGAGAAATTTTCCAGGAAGATTTTTTTCTAAGTTTCGATCCTGTTGCTTTAAGCGTTTTCCAATCTTCAGAGTTGCAGCTCTTCCGCTATGAGTGAAGTTCCTCCGTGCAACCTCCGCTCCTCCCTTGCTTCCTCTCGATCCCTCAATTCATTGTTCCACTGCTCCCACTCACCATTCCCAACCGTTCTGATATGTTCACAACCCATGCTTACCTCCTTCCCAATAATATCCTTTAGCTGTTCCGACGGCCTTCTGGGAAGCCGGTTCCGACGAGCAAGCTCCATAATCAACCCTCCTCAACCGTTCTCAACCGTTCTCAACCGATTTCAACCCAGATCAATCCCTCTTACCTCCTTCCCAATGATGTCCTTCAGCTGGTCCGACGGCCTTCTAGGAAGCCGGTTCCGCTGGGGAAGCCATTATCGACCACACTCTACTGTTCTCAACCCCCCGCTCACCTCCTTTCCAATGATCTACTTCAGCTGTTCCGACGGCCTTCTAAAAAGCCGGTTCGGACGAGCAAGCTCCATTATCAACCCTCTTCAACCGTTCTCAACCGATTTCAACCCGAATCAATCCCTCTTACCTCCTTCCCAATGATCTCCTTCAGCTGTTCCGACGGCCTTCTAGGAAGTCGGTTCCGCCGTGCAACCTCTGCTCCTCCCTTGCTTCCTCTCCGTTCCTGCTGCTCCTCACGTGTAAACTCTTGAGCCGTTCCCCCCCTCCCCTCCCTCTCCTCCGCCTCCTTGCCCTTTTTCACACTCACTGCCTTCCCTCCTGTCCCTGCGCCACCAGCTCCCATCCCGTCTCCTTTCACCTCCTCCTGCTGCAACAGCTCTCCCTTCTTGTCCTTCCCTGCATTCTTGCTCGCCTTTTTACCCGCCTCTTTGCTTGCTCTTTTTCTCGCCTCTTTGGTCGCCTCTTTCTCTCCCCCTTTCCCAGCCTCTGTGCTTGTTTCTGCTGAGCCCGCCTTGCTCCCCTTGCCCGTCTTTGCAGCCTTGGCAGCCTTCTTTGCAGCGGCCCTCTCTGCCCGTGCCTGCTTCACCTGTAAGCGCTCGATGGCGCTCTCTAGAGTCACATCGTCTATACTCACGTTCTGGTGAGGGTGGCAGGGAGGAAGAGAGGGAGGGAAGGAAGGAGAGAAGGGAAGAAGGGGGGAAAAGGGCGGAAAGAAAGAAGAGAGAGAGAAGGGGATGGGAAGAAGGGAAGGAGGGAGCTTGAGTGTGTGAGGGTATGGAGTGGTCTCAGCAGCCTGCCTTTGCAGCCTTAGCAGCCTTCTTTGCAGCTGCCCTCTCTGCCCGTGCCTGCTTCACCTGTAAACGCTCGATTGCACTCTCTAGAGTCACATCGTCGATACTCACGTTCTGGTGACGAAGGGAGGGAGGGAGGGAGGGAGGGAGGGAAGAAAAACGGGAGATGAGAGGTTGGGTGTGAGGGTATAGATTGATCTCAGCATCCCTTCCTCCTCGCAGCAGCTTTTGAGTCGACTCAAAAGTCACCTCGTTTTGAGTCGACTAAAAAAACGGGAGAAGAGAGATTGGGAGTGAGGGTATAGAGTGATCTCAGCATAAAAGCCGAAGGGACCGTTGCAGAGCAGCACAGTACATGGTAAACGCTGTTACAGCAAGCAAGTCTCTCTCTCACCGTGCCCAGAGATGCTCTGATGAGCCCGATGCTGGGGTGATCATGCTCCACATAGAAGCAAAAGGAGCCATCATGGAATCACAGTACATGGTAAGTAACTCTTTCTCTCACCGTGCCCAATGATGCTCTGATGAGCCCGATGCTGGGGTGATCATGCTCCACATAGAAGCAAAAGGAGCCATCATGGAATCACAGTACATGGTAAGTAACTCTTTCTCTCACCGTGCCCAATGATGCTCTGATGAGCCCGATGCTGGGGTGATCATGCTCCACATAGAAGCAAAAGGAGCCATCATGGAATCACAGTACATGGTAAGTAACTCTTTCTCTCACCGTGCCCAGAGATGCTCTGATGAGCCCGATGCTGAGGTGATCATGCTCCACATAGAAGCAAAAGGAGCCATCATGGAATCACAGTACATGGTAAGTAACTCTTTCTCTCACCGTGCCCAGAGATGCTCTGATGAGCCCGATGCTGAGGTGATCATGCTCCACATAGAAGCAAAAGGAGCCATCATGGAATCACAGTACATGGTAAGTAACTCTTTCTCTCACCGTGCCCAGAGATGCTCTGATGAGCCCGATGCTGGGGTGATCATGCTCCACATAGAAGCAAAAGGAGCCATCATGGAATCACAGTACATGGTAAGTAACTCTTTCTCTCACCGTGCCCAATGATGCTCTGATGAGCCCGATGCTGGGGTGATCATGCTCCACATAGAAGCAAAAGGAGCCATCATGGAATCACAGTACATGGTAAGTAACTCTTTCTCTCACCGTGCCCAATGATGCTCTGATGAGCCCGATGCTGAGGTGATCATGCTCCACATAGAAGCAAAAGGAGCCATCATGGAATCACAGTACATGGTAAGTAACTCTTTCTCTCACCGTGCCCAATGATGCTCTGATGAGCCCGATGCTGGGGTGATCATGCTCCACATAGAAGCAAAAGGAGCCATCATGGAATCACAGTACATGGTAAGTAACTCTTTCTCTCACCGTGCCCAGAGATGCTCTGATGAGCCCGATGCTGAGGTGATCATGCTCCACATAGAAGCAAAAGGAGCCATCATGGAATCACAGTACATGGTAAGTAACTCTTTCTCTCACCGTGCCCAATGATGCTCTGATGAGCCCGATGCTGGGGTGATCATGCTCCACATAGAAGCAAAAGGAGCCATCATGGAATCACAGTACATGGTAAGTAACTATTTCTCTCACCGTGCCTAATGAAGCTCTGATGAGCCCGATTCCGGGGTAATCATGCTCTACACAGAAGCCAAAGGTACCGTTGCAGAGCAGCACAGTACAAGGTAAACGCTGTTACAGCAAGCAGGTCTCTCTCTCACCGTGCCCAGAGATGCTCTGATGAGCCCGATTCCGGGGTAATCATGCTCCACGTAAAAGCCAAAGGGACCGTTGCAGAGAAGCACGGTTCCCCCCTCTGGGTGTGGCCCCTGTGTATGTGAATGTGCAGGAAAGAAGGAGAGAGGGTAAAAGCACACGTTGAGTGGGATGAGAAAGAAGCGATTTAGAGAGTAAGAAGGCCAGAAGTTCACGTCGGCCTGAGTTTTGGAGAATTCTCAAAAACCAGCTCGTTGAGTGGGATGAGAAAGAAGCGATTTAGTTAGAGAGTAAGAAGGCAAGAAGTTCACGTCTGTCTGAGGGAGGGCAAGGAGAAGTATTTGGAGGCGCCTCAAAGTAAAAGCACACGTTGAGTGGGATGAGAAAGAAGCGATTTAGAGAGTAAGAAGGCAAGAAGTTCACGTCGGCCTGAGGGAGGGCAAGGAGAAGTTTTTGAGTCGACTCAAAAACAGAAAAAAACATTAAAAAAAAAAAAAAAAAAAAAAAAAAAAGGTCGACTAAAAAACAGAGAAGTTCAAACAGGAAGAGTCACAACGGTCTGAGGGAGGGCAAGGAGAAAGATTGTTTCAGAGGGAGCAGCCGCGGCCGTGCAGTGAAGGAAGGGGGTGTGTTGTGCTATTGAGTCGACTCAAACAAAGGCAAGAGGTTCAGGAAGAGTCACGACGGCCTGAGGGAAGGGAGAAGGGAGGGCAAGGAGAAAGATTGTTTCAGAGGGAGCAGCCGCGGCCGTGCAGTGAAGGAAGGGGGTTGTGTTGTGAGATATGTTGAGCAAAAGGCACCCCACAAGGCGACCGCAGGAATTTTTTGAGCATGCTTAAAAAATCCCTGCAACGCGAGGGAGCAGCCGCGGCAGTGCAGTGAAGGAAGGGGGTGTGTTTTGAGATGTGTTGAACAAAAGGCACTCCACAAGGCGACCCAAACAAGACTTACGATGGTCCGAGGAAATGCGAGAAGCTCAAGGGCCTTGGGAAGGTCAACCGAGTCGGGATGCGTGCCCTGGGAGAAAGAGGAGGGGATAGGACAGGACAGGCAGGGAAAGCGGAGTGGGAGGGGCGCACACTAGAAGGTGAGGCCAGAGAACAAGCCTTGTGGGAAGGCGAGAAGCTCAAGGGCCTTGGGAAGATCAACTGAGTCGGGATGCGTGCCCTGGGAGAAAGAGGAGGGGATAGGACAGGACAGGCAGGGAAGGCAGAGTGAGAGGCATGCTCATAAGAAGGTGCGTGGAATATTCTGGCATACTCTGACCGCCAGGATGCTCTGGAGACTCCGGAGTTTTGTAAGTTCTTATTCCGACAGGATGCTCTGGAGAGTTTATTCTGTGAGAGGCTCTGGGAGCCTCTCACTCTGCTGTGTGGCGATTGTTCAGCATATGAGGGGGTTTTTGAGGCGCCTCAAAAACGACTCCTCCTGTGTGGCGATTGTTCAGCATATGAGGGAGCAGGACAGGTAAGGAAAGGTTGGTTGGGTAGGCACTTACCGGGGGCAGGGAGGCTCGGTTGACTTTGGAGACCTTGCCGTATGACGACCGTTCAACATAGGGGGGAGGGACGGGTAGGGGAAGGCTCAGGAGGTGGTATCTGGGGAAGGTTGGTTGGGTAGGCTCTTACTGGCGGCAAGGACGCTCTGTTGACTTTGGAGACCTTGCCGTATGACAAACGTTCAACATATGGGGGAGTAGGAAGGGTAGGCGTTACCTGGGGTAGGCTCTTACTGGCGGTAAGGACGCTCTGTTGACTTTGGAGACCTTGCCGTATGACGATCGCTCGAAGTATGCACCATAGGGACCCACTTTGAGCCAGATCTATGTGCGATACCTGAAGCTTGGGTGGGTGATACCTGGTGTAGTAAGGTTCTTACCGGCGGCAGGGACGCTCGGTTGACTTTGGAGACTTTGCCGTACGACGATCGCTCGACGTACGCACCATAGGGACCCACTTTAAGCCAGATCTGTGTGGTCAGGACAGGAAAGGAGGAGATGAAGAGCAGATGAAGGGGAGATGGAGGGGAGATGAAGGAGAGATGAAGAGGCGACATGAACAGCAAAGAGATCACAAAACCTAACCCTGTTTGCTGTTATTGCAAATCTGAATTGAGGGCATCTCACTCAATCGCTACTCATCTTGGCCCATGTGCTTGGGTCCCCCCTTACAATGTGTGTCACAGGGTCGATCGATCCCCACAGCTAGGGTACGTACCATGTGTGTGTGAGAGAGCTATTTCACAAGTGGTGTGGGGATTCTCAACTCAAAACACTCGCCTTGGCCCCTGTGCTTGGGTCCGCCCCTCCCCTAGTATGTGCGCCACAGGCTGTTTTTTGAGAATTCTCAAAAACCAATTCTCAAAAACCAATTCTCAAAAACCAATTCTCAAAAACCAATTCTCAAAAACCAATTCTCAAAAACCAATTCTCAAAAACCAATTCTCAAAAACCAATTCTCAAAAACCAATTCTCAAAAACCAATTCTCAAAAACCAATTCTCAAAACTTCTCAAAAACCAGCTTGGGTCCGCCCCTCCCCTAGTATGTGCGCCACAAGGCCGATTGCCATGCCACTGCTAGAGTTCTGCTAGTCCCACCCTTCCCATATATCCCATGTCCCATCCCAACAGCTCACCTTAGCCCCTGTGCTTGGATCCGCCCCTAGTTTGTGAGCCACAGGGTCGATAGCCATGCCACTGCTAAAGTGCAGTGCTGTTAGCCCCACTGCCCATGAAATCCCTCATTCCCATCTTCCTTCTCACCTCCCCCCACCAAGCACTCACCTTGGCCCCTGTGCTTGGGTCCTCCCCTATAATGTGTGCCACGGGGTCGATCGCCACAGCCAGAGAGCATGCCTTCGCCGCCTGCTCCACCACTAGAGTAGCCTTCCCCCACTAGAGCACTCACCTTGGCCCCTGTGCTGGGGTCCTCCACTATTATGTGCGCCACAGGGTCGACTGCCACTGCTAGAGAGCTGGCAGTCCCATTGCCCATCCCATGCATCCCATGCTTCAAAGAGTGTTCACAAGGCTCACTACTCACCTTGGCCCCTGTGCTTGGCTCCTCCCCTACTATGTGCGCCACAGGGTCGACTGCCACTGCCAAAGCACTGTGTGTGTGTGTGAGGCAGGGGTACTAGAGGGTATCCCACTCATTCAATCGCTACTCACCTTGGCCCCTGTGCTTGGCTCCTCCCCTACTATGTGCGCCACAGGGTCGACTGCCACTGCCAAAGCACTGTGTGTGTGTGTGAGGCAGGGGTACTAGAGGGTATCCCACTCATTCAATCGCTACTCACCTTGGCCCCTGTGCTTGGCTCCTCCCCTACTATGTGCGCCACAGGGTCGACTGTCACAACAGGAGTGCCGCCACCGCTCTCACTTCCCCACTCCATAGATTCACTGTCAACCAGCTCCCTCTCCTCTTCTCTACTCACCTTGGCCCCTGTGCTTGGCTCCTCCCCTACTATGTGCGCCACAGGGTCGATTGCCACGGCTAGAGAGCAGTCACCACTCTCACCGTCCCACTCCGTATGTTCCCTGTCAACTCCCTCTTCCCTTCCCTTCTCACCTTGGCCCCTGTGCTGGGGTCCTCCCCTATTATGTGCGCCACTGGGTCAATAGCCACTGCCAGAGTGCTCTCATTCCCAACGCCCATCCCACGTCACACCTTCCTTCCTTCTTCTCAACTCCCTCTCCTCTTCCCTTCTCACCTTCGCCCCTGTGCTGGGGTCCTCCCCTATTATGTGCGCCACAGGGTCGATCACCACAGCCATGATCCACCCACCCCCACTTCCCATTCCCTCCCTCCCCCCTCTTCCCTTCTCACCTTAGCCCCTGTGCTTGGGTCCTCCCCTATAATGTGTGCCACTGGGTCGATTGCCACAGCTAGGGTACCCGCCTTCCCCTCCTGCTCCACCACTCGGGCTTTAAAGCTGCAGCAGGCAGGGGGGTGAGCAATCAAAGGGAGCGAAAAGAGTGGTGAGTTGTCTTTGGAGTCGACTCAAAAGTCGATGGCCACTGCTAGAGTACCCGCCTTCCCCTCCTGCTCCACCACCCGTGCTTTAAAGCTGCAGACAGGGGAGGGTAGGGAAGGGTGCGATCAAACAGAGTGGCGAGTGTTCGCTTCACTCCACTCAATAGTCGATTGCCACAGCCAGAGTTCCTGCCTTCCCCTCCTGCTCCACCACCCGGGCTTTAACGCTTCAAGCGGGATAGAAGAAAGCGGAAATAATGAGTGGCGCATTGCTGTATAGAGAAATGAAAGAGAAGAGAGCGCACGTGAGTTGCGCGCATAGATTAGGCGGGGGCATGGATCCGAGCAAAGCACATAGAGTGATAAGAGCAAAGCACATAGAAAACTCTTGACGTCTCAAAAGCGGTGTTGGTTTGTTGCTTGCTTGCCATATAGAGTGATAAGAACAGCGCAGGATGACTGAATCACAGAGCAGAGGAGATAGACCGAATCACAAAGCAGCTGACAAAGTGGTTCAGTACAGAAGAAGCGGCACCTTCGAGGATTTTCGAAGGTTTTTTTTTCTACACAGAGTTTGTGCATGAGAGCACAGCGAAAAAAGAAGAGTTTTGGGACATCTCAAAACTCTACACAGAGTTTGTGCTCTCATGCACAATCCTCCACATGCCAGTCAGTGCCACTATCCTCCGCCTGTCAGTGCATGAGAGCACAGCGAAAAAGGCACTGACTGGCATGTGGGATAGGCGGAGCAGGCCACAAAGAGAAAAACGACTTTTGAGGCGCCTCAAGAGCAACCCACAAAGGAATAAAGTGAAACGAACAGGCGGAGGATAGTGGCACTGACTGGCATGTGGGATAGGCGGAGCAGCCCACAAAGAGACCCACTCCTCGGCTTGAGAAGTTGTATTCCAGCTCTCCGCTGCCACAGCTGTGTGGTTTTGAAGCATGTGTATGGGGGAAGGGATGGATGGGGAGTGAGGCATGGTGTAGGCACACGACAAAGAGGCCCTTCCCGGCTGGACTCGCCGCTGTCACAGCTGAAAGAAGGGGAGAGGGGGGAGTTGAGAAGGGTGGTGGGGTGTTTTCAGAAGTTAGGTTGGGTGCGGAGGAGTTGAGAGCTCCACGCCATGCCCTCACTGGAAAAGCTGTGTTGAAACTAGTTTCTGCCACAGCTGGGGGAAGGCGCGCGAGAGAAAAAATAACAATACCATTCACTTGCCTGTTCCTGTCACTGCACCTTAACAAAGAGGATATGTTCTTCTACACAGAGGAAAGGGAGGTGGCAAGTGTGGGCACTAGAACGAGCTAAGTCTGGAGATCTGGGTCGAATCTAGTATTGTCGCAGACAAGAGGAAAGGGAGGTAGCATTAGTGTAGGGTGGAGAGGCTGGCTGGCAAGGAGGGGAGCAGCATCGATGAGCATGGATACGAGTGTGTGTTACATTGTAAGAAGTGAGTTCTTGAGACGTCTCAAAAACTCACTTTATACACATGGATACCAGTGTGTGTGTTACACTGTTTTGAGTTTCTTTTACACCTCTGCTTTTTACGCTGATTCAAATTGTCATTTCAAAGACTTCGCACCTTGGGCATGTCTTGGAGTGTGAGGCTGTTGACAACGACGATGCTGGTGATGGTGCTGGTGGTGATGGTGACGGTACATGTATTTTTTGAGCCGACTGTATTTCAATCTTCTCGCACCTTGGGCATGTCTTGGAGTGCGAGGCTGTTGACAACGACGATGCTGGTGATGATGGTGACGATACATGCGTTTCAGCAAGGGCTGATGGCTCTGACGAAGGGGAGACTAAGGAGGCAGAGGAGGCAGAGGAGGAGGAGGAGGGGGAAAGAGGAGGAGCGCGGGCTTTGGCCAGTACTTCAGAGTACGTCTCTGCTGCTTCCACCAGCAGCCCATCACCCAGGGTCACCTGCACTGCCGACCCCACCTGTACGGGCAGACACGGGCAGGAAGAGAGCACGTAAACAAGGAAGTGTTCAGCAATCGTTTTGGCCAGTACTTCTGAGTAGGTCTGTCCTGTTTCCACCAGCAGCCCATCGCCTAGCGTCACCTGCACTGCCGACCCCACCTGTAAGGGCAGAGGCGGTACAGAGGGTAAGGCATGGGGGGCAGGCTTTAAGACAGGCACTTGGGAGCACTTGGGAGGAGTAGGACTATGCTGCTTCCACCAGCAGCCCACCCATCTGCCAGGGTGACTTGTACCGCGGAACCGACCTGCCAAAGGAGTTACATGGTACGGAAGGAAGGGAGTAAGCTGTTCAGCAAAGGTTTTTTAGGTGCCTCAAAGTCTACCTGATAAAAGGGGGCTTTTGAGACGTCTCAAATACTCGCTTTTATCACTTGTCGACCTGCCAAAGGAGTTACAAGGTCCGGAAGAAAGGGAGTAAGCTGTTCAACAAAGCATTTGCCATGTAGTGAGTCTATTTTTGAGTCGACTCAAAAATAGACTCACTACACAGGGAGTAAGCTGTTCAGCAAAGCACTTGCCACGTACCTACTCCTCACCCCCCGCATCAAGTGGTCCTTCGTTGAGTGTGCGAGTCTGTTTTTGAGTCGACCCAAAAAAGTGGGCACATCACACGATCACACTGCTTGAACACGAAACATTTCACACTGGTTGTTTTAGTCCGTATTGTCGGAGATACAGCTCTACCCTCATCATCTGCCTTAGTCCTCATGCTCTTCGTCCCTTAGCTCCTTCGGTTGCCTCAGCCACTCTCATTGAAAGTGACAGAACTCTCACCTCAAAGGTCCTCCCTGAGTGGTGTGCCACCTGCCTGCTCTGGTAAGGTAACAACAGTCCACTATACGAAAGGATAACAAACAGAAAGCATCAGAGGTGTGTGTGAGAGTGAACTTACCTGACCCTGGCTCGAACCGTGCATTTCTCAATGTGCGGCTCGAGCCTGGGTTGGTTCGTTCTCATTGGTTGCAAGGATTTCACCCAAGGTGCTCTCCTACCAACTTCGCGTCAATTTCCCAGCTCCCACCTACCTATCCTCGAATTTGCAAACACAACATAGCTACACCTCCACTACACCACCATGATAATGGCACCTTATATGCACAACCGTGCATATTCGGTGACAGTATCCTCCTCTCTCCCCTGCTAACTCCCTCCTACACCTCTCGCCCCTCCACCACTCACCGCTTGTGGAGACAGCTTGTGCATTTCCTCCACAATGCACCCTGCCAGTTCATGCCAGCTTCCGAACAAGGGCTGTTTCCACACGCCTCCACTTTTCTCTCCTCTCGCCTCTCCACCACTCACCGCTTGGGGAGACAGCTTGTGCATTTCTTCCACTCTCAGCTTACTACCAAATACCGGCAGCACTCTCCCTCTCCTCTAATCCCCTCTCCCCTCCTCTCGCCACTTCTCCAACACTCACCGCTTGCGGAGACAGCTTGTGCATTTCCTCCACTCTCGGTTGGAAGTCGGTCCAGAAGCTTCTGAGAACCTGCCGCCAGTCCTCCTCCCCTGCTGCCACGTCGTCAAACTGCAACGAATGGGAGGGTGGCATGGCAGGATAACAGGCTCGGGTTCGATGCAGCATTCACGTATGGCTCCATGTAGCGCTGTGGGCAAGGAGCACAACTTGGTAGGTGCTGCGGGGTGACTTTTGAGTCGACTCAAAAGGCAGCATTCACGTATGGCTCCATGTAGTGCTGTGGGCAAGGAGCACAACTCGATAGGTGCTGCGGGCAGTGCGGAAGGAAGTGCAAGGCAACGCAAGTAGTGGTGCCCTAATGCAACACTCATCAGTGCAATACCTTGGATTCGAGCTGGGAAGGCATGCATTAATTTGTTTGTGTATCTCATTGCGTACCTTGGATTCGAGCTGGGCAGTGAATCCCGCATTCACGTATGGTTCCATGAAGTGGAGGAGAAAGGAGTGGAGGTAGTGCTGTGAGCAGGTAATGGTGTGGCCAGGGCAGGCAGTTCTCAAAGCAGGTATGTGCTCTGTCTCGCCTCAACTGTGCATTACCTTGGATTCGAGCTGGGCAGTGAATCCCGCATTCACGTATGGTTCCATGAAGTGGAGGAGAAACGCGTTGGCCTGCATGCATGCAGCATGGTTGGGCAACAAGGGGGGCAGACAGACAGACAGACAGACACAAACACGGGTATCATCAACACTGGATTCGAGTTGAGCAGTGAACCCCATATTCACGTACGGCTACAGGAGAAACGCGTTGGCCTGCAACAGCATGGACGTGCAGCACACACACACATCGATATAGGCTTGAGAAGCTGCTTCCACACACACACACACACACACACACACACACACACACACACACATCGCTACAGGTTTGAGAAGGTGCTTCCACACACACACACGCACGCACGCACGCACGCACGCACGCGCGCGCACGCACGCACGCACGCACGCGCGCGCGTGCTCACACACACACACGCACGCACACACTACGTCTCTGTTAGAACACTCCTATTCTTCGTATCATGCATAGACTAGCAAGACTTGGTTAGATATAAGCACCCAAGTTATCTTGGGTGTAGAACTAGGGTTTGCCCTAGTTGAGGGGTTGGGGTCAATCCAACCTTGGTCCCATATTGTGACCCCCCAATAATTGGGTTCCCCATTATTGGAGGTTCAGTAATTGTGCCCCCCCTACCACAATCATTGACCCCTCCAATAATTGGTGATCCCAACTTATTGGTGGGGGTCAATAATTGTGGCAAGGCCCCCAACTCAACTCATCCCTCTCAACTATGTAAACTCCCTTGTTCCTTAATGAAACCATCATTCAGAATTCTCACAGTCTCTTCTGCTCGACCATATTGCGCCATCTGTATCTGAAGCACATCAAAAGCAACTATCCACTAATGCCCCACCTCACCAAAGCTGTATTGGTGCGACTTTTGCGAATTCTCAAAAGTCGCACCAATTATCCACCAATGTCCCACCTCACCGTGTGACATTATACTGAGTAGACTATTGAGTCGACTCAAAAACAAATGCCCCACCTCACCAAAGCCGCCTGCGGCAGGTCTTTTGAGAGTGCTTTCACTCACACCAACCACGTGATAAAAGTGATATTTTGACACATCTCAAAATATCACTTTTATCACGTGGTCTTTTCAGAGTGCTTTCACTCACACCAACCACTCATCTCCAGGGCACCTCACTCACTCACTCGCTTGCTCACTCACTCACTCACCAGCCGTCCCCTTATTGTAGGGTGTAATCTGCGCGAATCCAGCTCCACATACTTGCGTTCCTGGTGAGAAGGGAGGGAGGGGAAGGGGGAGGGGGAAGATGACTTTTGAGGCAGCTCAAAATGCAATCTGCGAGAATCCAGCTCCACGTACATGCGCTCCTGGTGAGGAGGGAGGGAGGGAGGGGGAGGGGAAGGGCGGAAAGGACGGAAGGGATGGAATGTGGTTGGTAAGGTACAAGGAGGGTCTTGAGCGTTGGGACATAGGTGGATAATTGCTTGCAATTGAGTCTGATTTTGAGTCGACTCAAAAGGACGGAAGGGGGTGAATGGGGTTGGTAAGGTACAAGGAGGATCTTGAGCGTTGGGGCATAGGTTGATGGTTGCTTTTGAGGTGCCTCGAGTTCAGAAGAAAGTCGCATTGCGACTAGAGGGAAGAAACTATTCCATCAGATGCACTGTGCGTGCGATGAGTCGACTAGAAAATCGACTCATCACACGCAGATGCATGTGTGCGCGTGCATGCGTGCGTGCATGGGAGCATATATGGATGTGCGATGTGGGGATACAATACAACTCACAAGCAGCGTCTTGAGCGTGGGAGCATAGGTGGATGGTCGGCCGATTCCCTCCGCCTCCATTTTCTTTATCTGAAAAGGACGTGGGAAACCATCCGAGTGGGAGGCTGAGTGTCACTCGGAAGTGGGAGAATCATTGGAACGGGTTTTGCGGCACCTCCGAGTTAGCCTTGACTCTTGATTCTTGAATATTGGTGGAGAGTCGGGCGAAGGGCTATTTGAGGTTGGCATTTTGCAGTGCACTGCAGGTTGCTTAGCTGACTCGAAATACATGTGACTTGTAAGGTCGGCCGTTGTAATGAACGCAACGCGGCACCTAGATGAAAGAAGATTGTGAGATTGAGCTCTCAAAGTTTTCAAAGCACCAGAAAATTAGCAGTCCACTTCTGATTTTTTCGCTCTTACCAGAGCCTAGTTTTGAGGCGCCTCAAAACTTGAACTCCCAACATTTTCAAAGCATCCTAAATAGCAGTCCACCTCTAGTTTTCTTGGTCTTACCAGAGCTGCTTCGGTGTATCTCGGAGGGGGCCGCGTGAAGTGCTGACTAGGATCCACGGATTCGACCAATAGCCTGTCGCCAGGCTGGCAGGTTAGGAATGCGGAGCGGGCAAGGGAGAGGGAGGGAGTACCTCCGCCCTTGATTCACTGTGGTCAATCAGTTGTTGACTCACACTACGTTCCTACAGAGACACTGGGGGACTTAGGTGGTCTTTCTCTACATTCCCACAAAAAATAAGGAAAGTAGAATGCTGTGCTGTTACACTAGGTGATACTGAACAGACAATAGAGAGAGAAGCACTCGACCCACAAATGTGAGCTGTCATGTTTACCTGAAGGGCCATTATCTCTTGGAACACGTCTGACGTGGCAGCTGTGCTGTCAGCCTCTGCTGACATGGCATCGCCAGGTGGCGGTTCCGTGGTTATCCCTTCGGATAGGTCGGACAGGTAGCCCAGCGTCCTCGAATCCTGGAGGGGTGGGAGGAGTAGGAGAATGTGAGGCAGTAAGACAAGTAGAGTAAGAGAAGCGATGAGCAACTCACAATGTATGTGGCGACGTGATAAAAGTGATTTTTTGGGACGCCTAAAAAAAAACACTTTTATCTTGAACAGCGAGAGCCGGAGGAGAGCCAGAAGGGGCGGCCGGGTTGAGAGAGGAAGACTCAGAGGCGAGAAGCAACTCACACTGTATGCGGCGAGAAAGCCCGGTCAGGTGATGGCAAAGGCGTTGGCTCGTAGGAGAGCCGGAGGAGAGGGCAGAAGGAGCAGCTGGGTCCAGAGCGGAAGCTCCAGAATCAGTAGTACCCACAGTAGTAGCCCAGGCCACTCACACTGTATGCGGCGAGAAAGCCCGGCCAGGCGATTGCAAAGGCGTTGGCTCGTAGAAGAGCGGGAGGAGAGGCGGAAGGAGCAGCTGGGTCGAGAGCGGAAGCTCCAGAATCAGAAGGGATTTGTGAGGGGAAGGCGGAGAGCAGAGAGGGATCGAGGGGATACGCTGCAATGTCCACTGCCACCTGTGTGGGGGAGAAGAGAGAGAGTGGAATGGTAAAGCATGTCGTGTGAACGGGAATAGACAGCAGACAGGGGTCGAGTTGGTATGCTGCGATGTCCATTGCTACCTGTGGTGGGGGGGGGTTGGGGAGGGGGACGGAGGGAGAAGAGGGTTGGGAGAATAAGATAAGCAGAAGGGTCTTGAGAATGGAAGGCGGAGAGCAGAGAGGGGTCGAGGGGGTATGCTGCAATGTCCACTGCCACCTGTTGTAGGGAGGCAAGGAAGTGGAAGGAGGAGAGGCAGAAGGAGCGGCTGGGTCGAGAGAGAAAGACCGAGAGAGGGGTCGAGGGGATACGCTGCTATGTCCACTGCCACCTGTGGTGGGGAGGGGTGGGAGGGAGGGTGGGGAGGGAATGGAGGGAGAAGAGGGATGGGAGAAGATAACCAGAAGGGTCTTGAGTTAGGAAGGCGGAGGGCAGCGAGGGATCAGGGGGGTGTGCTGCAATGTCCACTCCATTGCACTGCTGCTACCTGTTTGGGGGGAGGTGGGGGGGAATGGGAGGAATGAGGGAGAAGAGGGATGGGTGAAATAGGGGAGTGGGAGAAGCGGAAGGGTCTTGAGATGGGAAGGCGGAGGGCAGGGAGGGATCAGGGGGGTGTGATGCAATGTCCACTGCTGCTACCTGTGGGTGGTGAGAAGAGAGAGTGGAATGATAAAGCATGTCGTGTGAACGGGAATAGATATCAGGGAGGGATCAGGGGGGTGTGCTGCAATGTCCACTGCTGCTACCTGTTTGGGGGGAGGGGAGTGGAGGGAGATAGGGATGGGAGGAGAGGGTGAGGAGGGAGGAATGAGGAGCTGTTTTGAGTCAACTCCCAGTCATTGTGGCAGAATCTAGTTATGAAGCGCCTCAGAACCTGTTGCTGCTTATGAGGCAGCTCAGAAGGGGAGTGGAGGGAGAGAGGGATGGAAGGAGAGGGTGAGGAGGAGGGAGGAATGAGGAGCTGTTTTGAGTCAACTCCCAGTCATTGTGGCAGAATCTAGTTTTGAAGCGCCTCAGAACCTGTTGCTGCTTATGAGGCAACCAGGCACTCCCCTCCCCCCCACCGGCAGAAACAAGGTCTTTTGAGTCGTCTCAAAGTCATCAAGGTGGAAAGGAGATGCGATGGCAGCCTCACAGAGTAAATCAACTTCTGACTGGACTAGAAACTACCCTCTAAAAAAGAGGGTAGTTGGTGCACTCACCCTGTCGTAGACCGCGTTTGCCATCTGAGAGGCTGCGAATCGGGCCCAGACGAGAGCGTAGAGCTTCCATTGCTCCTCCGACAGGTCGGGCTTGACCAGAGCTGGTTAGGGGACAGGAAAGCAGGCAGCACAAGCAGGCAGAACGGACACACAAAGCCTTTAAGTCGGGCCCAGATGAGAGCATAGAGCTTCCACTGCTCCTCCGACGGGTCGGGTTAGACCAAAGCTGCGAGGGGAAAGGTGGGAGGAAGGAGGTTTCGGGTTTCGAGAAGACACCTACCCCGTATTGTACCCCAATAAACGACAGAAAACGACAGAAAACGACAGAAAACGACAGAACACGTAGAAGACGCCAGAAAACGCCTACTACCTACCTCGCAGTAGGTGTGGGTGAGTCGGTCTGATCGCCTCGTGGGCCTCCTGTGCGTTCCTCGCCTTGGAGGCAAACACACGGGGCGATCATGTCTTCACGCCAGACGAGAACAGGTACCACCTCTGAGTCCATCGGGAAAACACCTACCCACACCACACCACACCACACCACACCACACCACACCACACAGTACCTGGCAGCAGGTGTGGATGAGTCGGTCTGATCGCCTCGTGTGCCTCCTGGGAGTTCCTCGCCTTGGAGGCAAACAAACACACGGGGTGATGGGGACCACACACACCAGATGGACGAGACACCACCTCGGAGGCTCTGAGTCCACCAGAAAACGCCCACCCCACATGGTACCTACCGGGCAGCAGGTGTGGGTTGGTACCTCCTGGGCGTTCCTCGCCTTGGAGGCAAACACACGGGGAGATGGCAACCACACACCCGATAGTGCCACCTCTGCGGCTATTACAGACAGAAGATGAATACACCACATTGCACCTACCTGGCAGCAGGTGTGGATGAGTCGGTCTGATTGCTTCATGTGCCTCCTGGGCGTTCCTCGCCTTGGAGGCAAACACGCGGGGCGACGGAGAGACGAGTTTGCTGCCGTATTTCTGCTGCAGAAGGGAGCGCAGAGACGCCACCGCCGTTTGGGAAACCTGGAAGGGTGATGGGGAGAAGAGAGAAAAAAGAGAGTGATTGGATGGAACACACGAGGAGACGGAGACACGAGCTTGCTGTTGTATTTCTGCTGCAGCAGGGAGCGTCACCGCGCCTCACCTCTTACCACCCCTCACCCCTCCCCATCCCTGACCTGAACGCTGTCTGTTCGCATGTAAGTGATCAGCCCAGTCACCACCCCTCCTCCTCCTCCCCACCACCACGCCTCACCATGCCTCACCTCTTACCACCCCTCTCCACCCCTCACCTGAACGCTGTCTGTGCGCATGTACGTGATCAGCCCAGTCACCATGCCTCCTCCGCCAGACCCCTTCCGCCCCGCCCCTTTAGTGGCGCCCGCGCCCTTCCCTTGCAGCACCCGAGAGGCTTCGGGGCCCAGTGCCACTCCCTCGTATAGCCGCTGGGCTACCTGGAATGGGGGGACGGGAAGCATCAGGGGTTCGGGGGGTGGACAAGCAGGGAGAAAATCAGGGTTGGTGAAGCAGGAAGCGAGGAGGATTGATTCCCTTTGCTTGCAGCACTCGGGAAGCCTCTGGAACCAGGGCCAGTCCTGTTGCGTTTTGAGTCGACTCAAAACACAGCCTCTGGAACCAGGGCCAGTCCTGTTGCGGGGACTGCGTGGTGAAGAGAAGAGAGGGGGACCGTCTGGTCTGCGAGCGATGCACTCCTTGCACCTGCAGCTCACTGCCCTCCACCAACACTGCTGTCGCCAACACCCTTCGAGACAGCCGCGAAATCCAATAACTGTGGCGGGGGTAAACCAGGGCAAGTGACCCATTGGCCGTTACCATACAGCACTCATCGACATGGTTCTGCTGGGGCTGAACCCCAGTTTCGAGGATGCCTCTTGCTGCAGTGAAGATGTGGTGAAGGGGGGAGAGGGGGAGCGCCTTGTCTGCGAGCGGTGCACTCCCTGCACCTGCAGCTCACTCCCCTCCACCAGTACTGCTGCTGCCGCGTCTAAAAAGGAGACAGCCTCAAAACTCACTTAGTGAGTGGGTAGGTAACTCAGGCGAAGAGAGCCACACACTCAGTCCCAAGCCAAGCCCCGACTCCCCACCACACACTCACCGCCATGGTTCTGCTGGGGCTGAACCCCAGCTTGGACGAGGCTTCCTGCTGCATGGAGGAAGTAGTGAAAGGGGGAGAAGGGGACCTTCTGGTCTGCGAGCGGTGCACTCCTTGCACCTGCAGCTCGAACCCTCACTGCAGGTAACCCAGGAGGCACTCAGTCACCACCACACACTCACCGACATGGTTCTGCTGGGGCTGAACCCCAGCTTGGACGAGGCTTCCTGCTGCATGGAGGAAGTAGTGAAAGGGGGAGAAGGGGACCTTCTGGTCTGCGAGCGGTGCACGCCTTGCACCTGCAGCTCACTGCCCTCCACCAGCATTGCTGCTGCCAGTGCTCTCTCTCCGTCCCTTATCCCACCCTCAACCTCTGCAGCTTCTGCTTCTTTTCCTTCTCCTTCTTTCCCTTGTTTCGCTTCTTTCACTTCTTTCGCTTCTTTCCCCTCTTTTGCTCGTCTCGCTCCTGCTCCTGCTCCTCCTCCTCCTGCTCCTGCTCCTGCTCCTACAGGCTCCCCGAAAAGATGAGTGAGTCTAGCTGGGAAGGACAGAGGTGCATCGCTCCCCTCTCCTGCTCCTGCTCCTTCCCCTCTTCCTCCTCCTTCTCCTCCTCCGTCTCTGCCTCTCCCTGCCAGCTTCCTTTCTGGAAGCCCTTTCGAGCTTCCAAGCACTGCACCCTTGGTGGTGCGACATGCTTGCACCATGGCACTAACAGTCCAGTACTCCTGCGCGTTAAACCCTGCCACCTCGCCCTCTCTCTCGCACACGAACCGCAACGCCACCGACTGAACACGCCCTGCGGATTTGCACCCAGGAAGCTTCCTCCAGAGCACAGGCGACAGGTTAAAGCCCATGAGAAAATCTAGCACCCTGCGGGCGAAGTATGCGTCGACTAGGGGTTGGGAGAGCAGGCGGGGGTGGGAGAGGGCTGAGAGGACAGCAGATGGGGTAATCTCGTGGAAGGTGGCTCGGTGGATGGTGAGATCGCAGCCGTTGGATCCGGCGGCTGGGAGGAGCCATTCATCGTTGGATGGAGAGAGGGGTTGAGAGGGAGAGAGGAGAGGCGAGAGCGTCAGTGAGGGCGTTTCTTGTGTCAGTGCTGGTGACGAGGATGGTGATAAAGATGTTTCTGACAGTGATGCATCGCTGCTTTTGCTGCTTCTTCTGCTGCTGCTGCTGCTGCTGCTGCTGCTTTCCTTCAGCTCCTTTCTCACCTCCCCTAGTAGCTCCTCCCCCTCCAACCACCCATGCTCCCCATGCTCCCCATGCTCCCCATGCTCCCCATGCTCCCCATGCTCCCCATGCTCCCCGCCGTGCTGCTTCAACCCTTCTCCTTGCATCTCACCCGGACCACCACCACCACCAGCGTCAATAGGCGGCCCTCCTAGGCCCTCCGACCCTTCTGCTTCGGGACTCGGGAGGCTCGACTCTGCAGCAGCAGCTCCACTGGAGAAGATATCGGATTCTTCCTCCCACCCCTCCGCACCTTGTAGAGCCGCTCCTCCTCCCTCCTCTGCTGCCTCCTGTGCCTCTGCTGCCAATTGCTGCTCTATAAGAACAGCCTGTTGGTGTCACGAGGGGAGGAGAAAACAAAACATTAACGAGGTAAAAAAAAAAAAAAAAAAAAAAAAAGGAGAAAGAACATTGGGTGCAGGATGAGGGGTGAACGAATCATGAGAGGAAAGAAGAAGGGAATTGTATGGGTATAATGGAACTAATTTACGTCACAAGTAATACCTGTTGCACCATCCGCTCTCTCCGCTGCTCCTTCTCCCTCTGCTGCACCTCTGCTCTCCTCCTTGCCGCTGCAGCCCCCTTCAGCAGTTGGTATACATGCCACGCAATCGCCTCTCCCTCCCTGTCCGCATCTGTTGCCAATACCACTCCCTGTGATCTGCAGAGCGGGAGAGGAGGGGTAAATGAGGAGGGAAGAGGGGAGGCCTGAGCCAGCACCAGCCGCAGCAGACCCCTTGAGTAGTTGGTATACGTGCCACGCGATCTCCTCCCCCTCCCTGTCCGCGTCTGTAGCAAGCACAACGCCTTGGGACCTGCAGGAAGAGAAGAAAGGAGGAGCAAATGAGGAGGGAAGAGGGGAGGCCTGAGCCAGCACCAGCCGCAGCAACCCCCTTGAGTAGTTGGTATACGTGCCACGCAATCGCCTCCCCCTCCCTGTCCGCATCTGTAGCCAACACGACTCCCTGTGACCTGCAGAGGGAGAGAGAAGAACAGGGAAGAAAGTCAGGAGAAGCAGCAGCAGCCACAATTAAGCAGGTGGTCGGTACACATGCCATGCAATCGCTTTTCCTTCCCTGTCCGCAACTGCTGCCAATGGCACTCCTTGTGACACAGGTTAATGGTGACTGACAGGGAGGAGGGAGAAGGAGAAGGGAGAGGAGGGAAGAGCGCCAGCAGCAGCAGCAGCAGCAGCAGCAGCAGCCCCCGTAAGCAGCTGATACACGTGCATGCCAGGCAATCACTTCACCCCCCGTCCGCATCAGTGGCAAGCACAACGGCTTGCCAGGCATATCCCACACGTGACCAAGCTGAGGACTCAGTTCCAGAAATACATACCTGAATGCAGCAAGAGCAATGGTTCGGAAGTGCGGCACAGCCTGGGCTGGGGCAGGATTCTCCAGTCGATGGCGAAATCAGCTTCAGGGAAGAGACTGAGGCTGAGGAGTCAATTCCCAATGCACAACACTCACCTGGATGCAGCAAGGGCAATGGCTCGGAAGTGCGGCACGGCCTGGGGCAGGATTCTCCAGTCGATGGCGAAATCAGCCTCTGGAGAAACAGCATCCACCTTGTTGGGCACATCCCTCACATGCCCATGCGTTGAGTCGCGTTGACTTGAGTTGACTTCTGTTGACCAACCTCCCAACACTCACCTGAACGCAGCTAGAGCAATGGCTCGGAAGTGCGGCACGGCCTGGGGCAAGATTCTCCAATCAATGGCAAAATCAGCTTCGGGCGAGACAGCATCCACCTTGTTAGGCACATCCCTCACATGCCCATGCGTCGCCAGCACCGAAAACTCCCTCTTTCTCCCCCTCACTCCCCCTGTTCCTCCTGTTGTCCCTACGTCTCCTCCTGCTGCAACTCCCTCTGCGGCGCCTGCTGTAACGAGGCTTAAAGGTGGCTCAGGATCAGAGGCTAAATGTTGTAAGTAACCCTGAATTGTGCGGGCTTTGGAGGGGGATTCCACCACCACCAGCCACCGCTCCACCTCCTCCCTTCTGCTCGCACGTTTAGCACCACCAACAGCAGTGGTGGCGGCAGTAGTGGTATAAACCGCATTCTCTCCCAGAGCAGTGGGAGTGAGAGACCTACTGCTTACTTCTGCTTCCGTTTCCTCTGCTGCTGCTCCTGAAACCGCTTCTTCTGCTGCTCCTGCTGCTGTTCCAGGCGTTGCTGCGTCAACTGCACCTGCTGGTTCAACCTTCTTACTCACTGCCTTCCTCTTTGTCCTCTTGCCCGTTGCCTTTCCCAAACCCTCCTCTGCTTTGGCTGTTTCTGCTCGAGCTGCTGTTTCTGCCGGTTCTGCTGCTGCTGCTGGCGTTGCAGCGCCCAGTACCGATTCACTCTTACTCTCATCCTTCCTCACTGCCTTTCTCCTCGGGCTCTTCACCTTCTCCTCTCCCCGGCCCTCCTCTTCCTCTTCTCCCTCCTTCCTTCCTTTTGAAGCCTTCTTCTTTCCCACAACCGCATCTGCTGACTCGGCAGCAGCTGCTGAATCTGCACCAGATGCTGACTCGGCAGCAGTTGCTGACTCAGCACGTATTGCAGAGCAGCACAGTAGCCTCGTGCTGCTGGTACCACCGCCGATCTTGGGTTTACTACCAGAGAAGCCATTCGTGTTAGTCACATTTGATACAATGCTGCTGCTGGGATGGCTACCGCTGCTGCTGTTGCTACCGCTGCTGCTGTAGCCACCGCTGCTGCTGCTGCTAGCGCCGATTCTGAATCCACTGCCAATGAATCCGTTGCTGCTGCAAGCACAAACCTTCGAGATACCGATGCTGCTGCCATTGACACTGCTGCCATTGACAATACTGCACCGACTAACGGTACCACTGCCAACGACGATACTGGAACTGGGATTGATCCTGCCGTTGCTAGTGCTAAAACGGCTAATAACGCTGCTCTTGGAGCTACTACTCAATCTATTACCGGGACTAACGCTGATGCTGACGCTGCTACTACTCAATGTACTAATTAATCTGCTGCTGCTGCTAACGCTGACGCTGCCACTACTCCGCACAGCAGCCGCCCCGCTCTCCCAGATCAGCATCAGCGCGTCGCGTCTGACTATCAAGCGGGTAACGCGCCTCGCATACGGGGAAAGAGCAGGCATCCCTCGATATAGCCGCTGCCGCTAGTGTCGCCGTCGCCGCTAGTGTTGCCCGCCGCTAGTGGTGCCGTTACCGCTGGAGTGTGACGCGAGAGTGTTGCTGTTACCACTAGCGTGTTGCCTACGGTTACTCGCTCCAGATCAACACGTGGCTGTCAAGCGATCAACGCGGCGCACAACCGGGGAACACCCTCGCGTCCACGTGGACATCCCTCTTTCCACGTGTCTACTCCCCTTCCACGTGTGTCCGGATCAGCGGGTGTACGGCGTGAATCACGCCGTGGCGGCAGGGAATGGTGCGTCACAAAGCGGTACAGTGCGGTGATTCGCAAGGTACTTACGTTTCCGGGCGGTTCTGACCGTGAATCTCCTGTGAAGTCACGCCGCGAATGTACCGTCAGAACTCCCGCCAGGTCTCCCGACTTGCTCTATCGGTATCAATCCCGTTCATGCGCCGGATGCCACGGAAGGAAGCGCAGGCACTACCAAGGTCTGGGGGTTATCCGCGGTCTAACACAAAAGGGGCAGATCATGCGGAATTCACGTGTATTACCCTCCTCGGTAAGAATGCCACGTTAGGTGTAAATTACGGAACGATATGAATGTACAAGGAATACTTTTTTAATGATAATGTGAGTATACACCGAGGGACAAGCATATACAAACAAAACGGTCGTAACCGTGCTTGAGGAGGCAGGAAAAACTAGTTCCTGCTCCAGAGGAAAAAGTTTTGGGTCTGATGGGTCGTGCCCTCCGATGAGACCAAATTGCAGCGAAACTGTTCGTCCACTTCCAATCCTTGCTATCCAGTTTGACCTTTTGCAGCATGTCCCGCTCTCCCAGACCATACTGATGCTTTTGCTTTCGCCACGTCACCCCAAATTTCCGGGTGTACAGCTTGGCGTGCTGCCGAAATGCGAACTCTATCTTCCTGAGGACCCGCTGCATCCGAAATATGCTACCCCGAAAGACAGCATCGCACCGCTCGAGCCACAATTGGTGAAAGGCGATTGCCGTTAGCGTCAGCTCCGGAAAAGCAGAGCTGGTGCCAGTTTTCCGGAACAGTAAATCTCCCAGCGAGGATGTTGTACGGTTGGGGTTGAGCATGCACAGTGCCCGTTTGAGAGCGCTTGAGACCACCTGGATCCGGGGGCAGAGCACGAAGCAGTGCTCCAGTGTTTCCTCCCCTCCGCAGTACGGGCAGATGGGTTTGCTGCTGAGGGAAAGCAAGACGCTCCCCCACCTGCAGATTGAGACCGTGGATTCTCAAGAGCACATCCCTCAGACGGCTGGGAACCGCCAGGGAGTCCCTTGTTTCCACCACTCCTTTCCAATCGATGTTTCCTCCCCATCTCGCCACCCACTTCTCTCTCTTGTACGACTCCTTGTGTGGCCCTGTCCAGCACTCCCTCATCCGCTTCAAGGCGATGACCTGCCCGTTCTCCAGGATGGGCAAACCGGAGATTGAGTCAGCCGAGCGGGGAAGCACTGTTGGGAAGCCGAGCAGCCTTAGCCAATATGCAGGAATTGTGTTCAGCACATTTAGCGCCATCCTTGCGGGGGCGCTACCTCCTAATTCCTGGGACAGCACCTCCATGGTTTTTTGAACCAGGTTGCCATTTGAGTTATGATCCAGCAGGTCCCCCAGACGCACTTTCCAAAGCCCCTGCACCGCCATCTGCCCACCAAGCGGCGTAGTACCGTTTATCAGGAAGGCTTTGTTGAAAACGATTCTATCCTGCAGAATCTCCTCTCTAGTCGCCGCCGCCGGCCGTGTACACAGCGGAGACTGGGTCAAGCTTTCGCATGTCTGTCTCCATCGCACACTCCGCCCCGTCCAGTGTTTCAGTATTCTTTCATGCGCCGTGAAAGTGTCTTCCCCCAACGGCAAATCCGCAGCCTGCTCCATGATGTATTTCTTGATGCTGTTTGACTCCGTGAGAAAGAGCCCCACCCGTCGTGCAGCCAAACAGGTGAGCACAAATTCAGGATCCCGCACTCCAATCCCTCCAGCCGCTCTTGTGGAATGAATCAGCACCTTGCTCCACAGCACGAAACCTTTGGCCGTCGAAGCCCTGTTACCCGATATGAAGCCTTGTAGTAACCGTGTGAGTTCTGCCCATACTTTTGCATGTGGAGGGTAGACCTGCGCTTGAAACGCCACGATCGGAATGATGTAGCAGTTCACCACAGTCGCACGAGCCGATGTGGTGAGATACTTCAACTGCCACTTTAACAGCTTCCCAGACATGTGCCCTAATGCCTTCTCCCACGTTGGCAGGCCACTTCCGGATGGCGATACCCATACCCCCAGCAGTCGCTCAGCATCGTCTGCACCGGCCCATTTGAAGACTGAGTTCCCCCCTGTCGCACCGAGGTTTGCACCCAGTGGTAAGACCACCGACTTGCTTTTGTTAGTCGCCAGGCCAGAAACTTTTTCGAAGTTGTCTAACAGCATCTCTGCTTTAGTTATCTGCTCCGCTCCTTGCAGCGCTAGCGTTGTATCATCCGCGTACCCGAGGTACCCAAGCCGCTGCCCATCTTTGCTGAGCCCAAGCTCCTCCCTCTCCACCACCTGAGCCAGGGGCTCTACTGCACACAGAAAGAGGTAGGGTGCCAGGGGACACCCTTGACGAACCCCAGAAATCACATCCAGTCCTTCTCCGAGCCACCCATTAACCAACAGCTTTGTTTTTGTGTCCCTGTGCAGCCCTTCGATCCAGTCCACGAAGCGGCTCGGGAACCCCATCCTCCTCAGTACTTGGAACAGATAGTCGCGAGATACCGAATCGAAGGCTTTTTGAAAATCGACAAGAAGCAAATACCAGTCTTCGTTGCCGTTTTTTGCCGCATCAATCATATCCGCCACCAGCGCCACTGCATTAGACAGCCGTCTACCAGGTAGAAAACCACACTGCTCACGCAAAAGGACTTGATGCAGCACCATTTTCATACGGTCAGCTATTACCCGTGCCAACACCTTGTAGGAGAAGTTTAACAAGGTGATTGGCCTGTAATTGTTGAGCTGATCCCGTTCTCCTTTCTTATGCTGCAGTATCGTAACCGCCTCTTTAATCTCCGCGGGAAGCGAGGCCGACTTCACGAAATCTCTCGCCATGGCCATGAAGCTCCCTCCCAGCAAATCCCAATGAGCCTCAAAGAGCTCTTTTGGAAGTCCATCGCCCCCAGGTGATTCGTTTTTAGCCATTTTCGCGAAAGCTTTCTTCACTTCCTGCTCCGTCCAATCCGCTGCTAAGACCTCTGCCATTCCCTCCTCTAACCGTCTTGTTAGGGTCATGTTCCAGTCAGAGAAGTCGACTCGCCGGTCCTTTCCGAAGATGTTCTTGAAATATCTTGACGCCACATCCAGAATTGACTTGGAGCCAGACACCGAGACCCCTCCCTCGTTTAGCTCCGTGATCTGAGTGCGCGCTTTCCGCGCGCGAACCTTCGCCGAGAGGTGAGGTGACGCTATCTCCCCGGTCAACTCCTCCTTTAGCCCCGCTTGTAGATGTAACCTCTCTCGTCTCGCCGCCTGATACTCCTTCAATTGAAGCTCCTTCACCTCCAGCAGTGCCCTTGTACGGTCGCAGGTTGGATCCCTCATTTGCTCCTGCTTCAGTGCTGATACGGCGTTAACCAGGTGTGCCAGAGTTGCCTTGACCCTCTTGCTTTCCTCCCTCGCGTACGACCTGAGACCGGCACCAAGCCGGGAGATCAGTACCTCAAAGCTGGTACCGTCGTGAACAGGAGTCCGTCGGACCGTTGCCTCAATGATCCTCCGCACCCCCGGCCTGTGTACCATTGAAGCATGTAACCTCCAGACTCCCGGTCCTGCGCAGATTTTCGAGTCAAGTCTGAAAGACACCTTAATCGCAAAGCCGTGGTCAGATATTGGCTCCTTCGGCATGTCATGTGAAGACATTGCAAGGTGAGTGAGAAGGGATTGTGAGACTTATGCTCGGTCTATGTGCGTGCTGGCTTGATGAGATCTGTCGTAGAAGGTGTATTCTCTGGCTCGTGGATGCAAGGTGCGGATGGCGTCAGAAAGTTGGAAACTGGTGCAGCGCAGAAAGAGATTTTCATTTTCAGAGGATGATCCTGAGCCTCAGGACCTATCTAACTTGGAGTCTTCAGTCAGGTTCAAGTCTCCTATTATCAGTAAGTGGGAAGCTGGTGGGATCTGGTCAACAATCGGTCCTAGTGAGTCACGGAGAAAGGTGGATCTGGCTGGTGGGTTTGCTGGAAAATAGACTGCTAACAGTATGACTTCTAAGCCCGGGCCTCTGACAGTTGTTCTAACTATGCGACCTGAGGAGTGAGCCAGTGAGTCATGGAAGGAGATGGATGGGTCCCGGCACACTACTGCTACTCCTCCAGCCGTCGTGCACGGGGAGGAAGTGATAACTGTGGTGGAATCTGAGGTAAGCGCTGTCCAGTAAGAGTGGTCTGCTTGGATTCTAGTATCTACAAGGATGGCGATGTCAGTGGTTGTTCTAGTCCAGTCTGTCACATGGTTTTGCTTAGTCTTATTGCCTAGTCCGTTAACATTGAGGCTCGTGAAGGTGAGGTGGTTCTTAATAATCATAATTCACCCACTTGCAGCCCCTGATCATCCACAGGCTGAGGTAAGAAACGACGCATGCAACATTGACTCCGAGACTCCAGCAGGCAGCAGCAATCAGGTGTTCGCCAGGGTCAGTCACAGTCCGTACTCCTTGCGAATGACGGTGAGATTCATCCTGTCGAGAGAGGCTTTCGTGGCTGACCCAGGCTTCTCTAGCTGCTGCAGATGAGCGGCAACAGTGATATGATCGGCCGCCGACATGAAGCTCTTCCCCTTTGCTTTCACGCACCCTGTCTGCGTGCAGATCCAGTCCTCCCTGCTGCTGCCGGTGGAGACAAAGGCAATGGCTGGATCGTGGAGGATGGGGAGCATCATCGAGGATGCTTTCAGCGACGCGGCTGCGAAGATCGAGCGAAATATTAGCATGTGAGGTGACGAATAAAGGAAGAAAGCAGCGGATAATCTGCACATTCCATTTACCGTTAAGCCTGTGCACCTTCCCCAAGGTGAGATTCCATTTGCCTACGTTATTCTGACGCTCAGTGATAAAAATGTCATGATACTTATCATGATGTTTGCCACCACAGAGCGTGCAGGATAAGGCGGGGTAATGGAGGAGAAGCTTCCTTGCACGGTCGGCAGGGTCCGCGACCGCGTGAATCCAACGGCTTGAGCCCGAGTGAGCGTAGACCAACGCCTTCACCACGTCAGTCTCCACTCCAGTGACCGGATGAAGCACACGGTGAAGGCACGTGCACCGCTGGAACGCCGATTTCTGGGTGCTCTTCAACTTGTAAGTAGCCAGACGATCATGAAGCATGTCCAGTTCGACAGCAGCGGAGACACTACGAATCATAACTTCAATGGCGAGCGGGTTCATCGCCTTCTTGCGAGCGTAAGACAGATCCTCAGCATGCAACCAATGAAGCGTGACCAGCTGACCCATATTCGCAAGTGGCTGATACACCACCTCCTTCTTCTGCACCCAAAGCGCATCAGATTCCTTGACGAAGGAGACTTGCAGGCGACAGAAACGCGTCTTGGCGACGTAAGCGGGAAGCAGTTCCTGAAACTTTGTTGTCGCTGCAGCTCCGTCGGATAAATCTGTGTACCATCCACGTTTGATTAGTGCCTTGACAGTCTCAATCACAGAGGAAACCTCCTTCTCAAGCATCATGGGAATCAGCAGGATGATAACTGAGCGCAACCGGGACGCAGCCTCCTTGTCCAAGTCGATGAGCATCTCGTCGTCAGAGTCTTCATCCAGGCAACCATCCTCAGCCATGGCAGCCTTTTCAGCCACCGAAAGACCGGAACCGCCAGGTATGGAGACGTCAACACCTTTGAGCTTGGCAGTCACCGCATGAATGTTGTCCTTAGTAACTTCCTTATCAGCATTGACACTTCCCGACTGCTGATCCATTGCAGGAAATCCAGCAGCACCAGGGGAAGCCATGGCGTCAGCAGCAGGTCGAGAGCGCTGACCCTTAGGCAGAGCCAGGTGTTAGAATCACTAGTAGCTAGGTGAGGAATGATGATTAGGTGAGGGAGAGGGGGTACAAGAGTGTCGAGAGAGTTGGGTTGTACCCTCTAAGGTGTGACCCTACACAACCTAGAGTAAGAACATAACAATATGTTTTGACACACCCCCCCAGGTGAAGTAGGGGATAGCCAAACCTAACAGTGGTCACAAGACCAGTCAAGCAACAGAACAAGCAAGGCAAAGCCCAGGGTGGATCTCAAGGACACCACACAATCTGAGCACAAGCAGGCGGCCACAAGGCCAGTTCACATGCAGATTTATAATAGCAAGGCAGTAAACATGCAGGTATAAAGATATATATAGCAGTGTATAACAAGAGCAAGTCAAGCAACCAGCAGGTGAGGCAGAGTGGGCACAAGCCCAAGAGCAGTGCAGAAACGCTGATGATCACCAGCCCCAAGGGCCTGGGTGAAGACATCAGCAGTGTTGGCCCGAGAGGCCACGAAAGCAAGGCGCAGCTGACCACGCTGCTGCAGCTCACGCGCAAGGAAGTAGCGCAGAGCAATGTGCTTCGTTCTGTGCTCCAGTCTCTGCTCGCGACACAAGGCAAGCATTGCCTTGTTGTCGACATACAGAACTGGAGGAGAACGAGGCCGCTCCCCCAAGTCGGTCAGCAGGTAGGTCAGCCAGCGGAGCTCCTGTGCAGCCATGGCCCCAGCGTAGATCTCGGCCTCACAACTGGAACCAAGCACAGAAGAAGAACGAGTGGACCTCCACGAGACAGAACCAGCGCCAAGACTGAAGGTGTAGCCCTGTGACGAACGCTGAGTCGCCTGGTCGTCGGCCCAAGAGGCGTCAGAGTGTCCTGTGAGGACCACCGAACCCCGTCCTCCAAGCACGAGCCCCATGCCCGATGTGCTGCACAAGTAACGCAGTACCCTCTTCGCAGCATCAAAGTGCACTTTTCGGTGCCTACCGGGTGCCACGTAGCGAGCCAGAAGGCTGAGAGGGTACGCAAGGTCAGGTCGTGTGCACGTCATCAGGTACATGAGGCAGCCCACAAGCTCTGGGTACGGACCACTCGGCTCTACGGACTCGTCCGAAGGTGGAGCTGAGAGCGAGTGGCCGGTAGCCAGAGGAGTGGGCTGTGGCGAGGAGTACGTGAAGCGGAAGCGCTGTAGGACCTGGTGCACCATGTGTGACTGAGTCAGGGTGATGGTGCGCCGTGGTCTGTCCCGGGTGATCTGCAAGCCAAGATAGCTCCGCAGCTCACCCAGGTCAGTGCAGGTGTGTCTCTCCTGCAGCTCCGCCTTCACTAGGGCCAGTGCCTCAGTGTCAGCAGTAGCAAAAACCAAGTCGTCGACGTACACGAGGATGTAGAACGGCGGCAGAGTAGTGTCGGTGCGTAGAAACAGCGACGGGTCAGCAGTCGAAGGAGCAAACCCAAGAGCCGCAAGTGTCGTCCTCAGTGTGTCGTGCCACTCGCGGGGCGCCTGACGCAAGCCGTACACTGGTCGCCGTAGGCTCCACTGGGTACCCTCAGGAAACGACCCAGTGAAGCCCTGTGGACGGCGCAACCAGATGGCCTCGTGAAGGCTACCCTGCAAGAAAGCTGTCGAGAAGTCGAGGGAGTGCAGCTCGTAGTCACGCTGAGCTGCAACGTGTAGCAACACCCGAAGAGTGGTCATCTTCGGGGTGTGAGAGAAGGTCTGAAAGAAGTCGACCCCCTCACGCTGACTGAAGCCTCGAGCAACGTAACGTGCCTTGAAGGCAGGCGGAGAACCCGGCGGCCGCTTCACCCTGAAAATCCACATGCCACTGACGATGTTCGCCCCAGGTGGGGGAACCTCGTCGACGTAGGTGCCTGTGGACTTCCAGGAAGCCATCTCTGCGTCCATGGCTGTCTGCCACTGAGAGGAGTACTCACCCGAAATCGCCTCCCTGTAGGAGCGCGGGGTGGGGATGTCAAGTGCATCCGGGTCTCCCTCAGGGGCAAGCAGCATGGTCGCGTGATGGGGTGAAGCGGCAGCAAGGCACTCCAGCTCCTCCTGTCTGTCCTCAAGAACGTCACAGCCAAGGGCAGTGCAGCCAAGAGCAGTCTCACCCCCGACGGACGGAGGACAGGCAGGGACAGGGTCAGAGACAAGACTCGCAAGGTAGTCGAGGCGGTACACAGCAGCAAAGTCAACGAGCTCAGCTACTAGGGCAGACGCAGCAGGAGATGAGAATGTAGGGTCCGTCACAACCGTAGCAAGAAGGCGAGTAACAGTCGGACTGGACGCACGAGCAAGGTCAGACGGAGGGTCAGCAACGTCAGGCAAAGAGGACGCTGGAGGTAACGGTAGGACAACACGCTGAGGAACAGAGGAAGGACGGAGTGTCATATCGTGAGTGCCGGGGACAGCCGGAGCACGCTGACGACGACACGGCGACCACTCGCCGCACTCCTCGCTTGGAGACCCCCCCCGGGTTTCCCGCCACGGCCGTCTTCGCCGCCTCCGCAGCCTGCTGCTGTGGACTCTGGAGCTGAGACTACTGGAGCTGGGGCTGGGGGTGGTGAGTCCGGGGGTGCCCGCTCTCCTTGTCTGGCTACACCCCCCGGGTTCCCACCTCTGCCGTCTTCGCCGCCTCTGCAGCCTGCTGCTGTGGACACTGGAGCAGAGACTGAGGGTACTGAGCCTGGGGGTGCTGGGACTGAGGGGACTGATACCATGTCAAAGAGCTAAAGCTAGTTAGGCTTAGAAGCCATGGCTAGAGTAGCTTAGGAGATTAGGTTTAGGGTTGAAGGGGGATGTCGAGAGAGTTCCAAAGGAGAAAGGTGGTTCAATAAAGAGAGAAGGTACAAGGATATAGGCAAAGCAAGCAAGGTGCACCACCAAACAATGTAACACTCCACTAACTACTGCTACAAGCAGTTTATATAAGAAATGTATTTCAACACACCCCCTAAACTGCTTGCAGCAGGAAGCTAATGCAGAGACACCCCCTGAAGGGGTACACCAAGCGCAGCGGAAGACGGCAGAGAGGAATGCGAGGAGGAGGAGACAAGAGAGAGAGAGGGGAGAGGAGAGGAATGAGGAGAGGAGGTGGGGGAGCCACGCGGCGAGCCCCTCTTACTAACCCCCGTTTTACGAAGGGGGGGGATGAGAGAGGGATGAGGAGAGGAGGTGGGGGAGCCACGCGGCGAGCCCCTCTTACGAACCCCCTGTTTACAAAGGGGGGGTGAGAGAGGGAGGAGAAGAGGTGGGGGGAGCCTAGCACGGCAAGCCCCTCTTACTAACCCCCTAATTCCACGCCCCCTTTCAGCCACCCCCCTTGTCAATCGCCCCCCTTGTCAATCGCCCCCTTGAACCTCATGCCTTTCCCCCCACCCTTCCTCCAACGCCACCCCCTCACCCTCCCCCCCCCCCCCCCCCCCTTCCCCCCCACCCCAGGAGGGGCGACAGGAAGAGAGAGGAGGTGGGCTGGCGCATGCTGGTCATCCCTGCCACCCCCTCACCCTCCCCCCCCTCCTGCCCCCCACCCCAGGAGAGGCGGTAGGAAGAGAGAGAGGAGGAGGGACGGCCGCTGGTTTGTCACACCCGCCAACCCCCTCCTCCCCCCACGGCTGCAGGCGCAGCAGGAAGATGGAGTCGAGGGGGCGGGGTAGGAGCTGCTCCGCGGCTGCCCGCCACCCCCATATCCCCCCCCCCCCCCCCCCCCCCCACGGCTGCACGCGTAGCAGGGAGAAGGAGGCGGGGGGGGCGGGGTAGGAGCCGCACCGCGGCTGCAGGTTCTGGCGCGCTCCCGAGGCGCGCGGTGTGCAGAAATCCGCGCGCGACAGTGTCCGGGGGCGACACGACGGACGACGGGGAGCGGCGCGCTGGTCCTCGGGGGCGCCGCGACGAACGACGGGGGGCGGCGCGCGGGTTCCTGGGGGCGCTGCAACGGACGACGGGGGGAGCGCGCGGGTCCCCGGGGGCTCCGCGACGGAGCGTGAAACCGCCGCGCGCGCCCGGGGCGCACGGCGGGCAGGAGACCGTCGCGCGCCACGGGCACGCGACGGGCAGAAACCGACGCGCGCCACGGGCACGCGACGGGCAGAAAACCGACGCGCGCCACGGGCGCGCGACGGGCAGGAAAGAGGCGCATTGGCGGAAGCTATCGGTGGGCCCATTAGGTCTTAGGAGCTTAAGTCCTCTGATACCATGTTAGAATCACTAGTAGCTAGGTGAGGAATGATGATTAGGTGAGGGAGAGGGGGTACAAGAGTGTCGAGAGAGTTGGGTTGTACCCTCTAAGGTGTGACCCTACACAACCTAGAGTAAGAACATAACAATATGTTTTGACACCAGGACGTCAGCAGGTTGAGACATAATGCAGGGAAGGTATCCAGGCAGTTGAAGCAAGGGCTGATAGCGGTTGTTGGCTGAAAAAACTTGTGCTGCCTGATGACTGAGCATGGCCTTAATATATAGTATTCCTGCTTTGCCAGGGTCACGCTGTTGATGCTGTTGATGTTGTAATCTCGAGGGTAGCACCTCGGTGACTTCATGCTCAATAATAGTTGTAGATACAACATAAGTAGAAGTTGACAATAAGTAGGAATCGGCTGGATGGTGAACTTGCGAGCAACGCAACCTTGGGAATGCATGGCTGAGCCTGAATCTTATTGCCTGATAACTGGAGAGACCGAGGTCAGCATAAATAACCGGACTTCCATTTCGAATGTTAGAGACGAAACAGTTGAGTAGATCAGAAATCTGCGCGCATTGTAGCGAGCACGTTGACTTTGTCAAGCTCGGTAGAATCCATGGCCGCCTGAAGGCGGTGAAGGCGGAGAACATCGGAGAGCTTAGTCAAATGTCCATTTATGAACTACATCTGTACAAGGAATACTGAATACAGCCAATAAAGTGCTTGTCTACATTCAAATTTCTCTGTCGCACCAATCGAGGCCGTGAAAAGCGAACTGATAATCCTTTCCCCGACAATGAAGCGTTACAATACGGTTTCTAAAGAAATCACAACGGTACAGTGTGATATGCTGATGACTCGCCCTAACCCCAAACCTCGGGATTGCCTCATCTTTCTGACCACTTCCTTTCCCTCCCTCTCCTCCCTCTGCCTTCCACCGTCTCCTCATATCTGCACTCTAGCTTTTCTCCTGATTCCTTCCATTCCCTTCTCGGAATCTCCAATTTTCCACAGAGCCTCGTTTGTACGCGACGAGTGCCGAATCACCTAACGTTAGTGTGTCTCCTGCGTCGCCGGAGATTTTTTTTTTTCAGATCTCGTTTCCTTCGTCTCGGTATATTTCGTCCACGATTTGAGCTGGTCCGAGGTCTTCATCCCACTCTCACGCACACTCTCCGTGCATCTCGAAAGTCGTTACTCCGCTGATTTAGGGTTACGCCATGGCTGACGACGAAAATGTTCCGACCGTCTCAGACGTGAGTGAATCCTCCTTAGTTTCTACCTTTAGTCCTCACGTATGAACGCATTTCCGACAGCTCTCCGATTCTAGAGAAGTACCATCGGCGTTATCTCTATCTGTGTTTGCCATTAGGTCGGGTTGTTCGATCAAACTATGGATAACTAACGACTGGTGTGTGTGCGTTTCCGTAATAAGCTGAAGTAGTCCATTCCTTTCGTTTCTTGGGTTCAGGCCGGGTCGTTTGATTTAAGCAAGAAGAAGAAGAAAAAGAAGAAGGATCGGTCTGCGGAAGAGGAAGCCGCTGACGTGGCAGAAGTCGCCGCGAAGGTCGAAGACTTGTCAGGTAGGATCGATTCAGGTAAATTAAGATCGGTACGACTGAGATCATTAGCATGAGACCCCCGTTGGTTCGTCGATCTATGTCATTTATTCTGTTTGAGTACTTTTCCACCTCTGGTCACGTTCTTGTCAATACTTCCAACTTTTTATTTCTTCTAAGATTTCACGTTCGCAGTACTTTTCTTGTCGCTTCTCCCTTTTTTTTTCCCGATCCCCTTCCCAAGTGCAGTGGAAGACTCCGTTGAGCCTGTGGACTTCGGTGCGAAGAAGAAGAAGAAAAAGAAGCCGCAGGTAGGTCCGTTTTTTAGAATTCTCAGGAGTGGCTCAGGAAACGAAAATGCCTCCGGTAAGTCCGAGGCTATAGAACGTAGTAAAGATTTCGTAACTTTGTTCTGGAGCAAGAGGTAGTACCGACAGCTAGCGGGGAGAAGGGAGACAGCGGCGGCAGAGGGAGCAGCAGCATGGGAAGGGGTTGAATCCCTCATTCACATTTCCTGTTTTTGCAGGCTGACGGGGAGGCCGCAGAGGGGGAGAAGGAGAACGAGGCGGCGGAGGAGGGAGCGGCGGGGGAGGATGGGGAAGGATTGGAATTGAAGCTGGAGAAGAAGAAAAAGAAGAAGCCGGAGCAGCGCACGGAGGAGGAGGTGGTGGTGGCTTGAAACTCACTTTCTCTCTTTCTTTTTCCTGTTATTACAGGCTGATGGGGAGGCCGCAGACGGCGAGAAGGAGAACGATGCTGCGGAGGAGGGAGCGGCGGGAGAGGAAGGGGAAGGACTGGAATTGAAGCTGGAGAAGAAGAAAAAGAAGAAGCCGAAGCAGCGCACGGAGGAGGAGGTGGTGGAGGCGGAGGAACACGCCAAGGCCGCTGAGGAGGACGAGGAGGAGGATGATGAGGAGGGCGCTGGGGAGGGGGAGGAGGATGAGGAGGCGGAGGGGATCGAGCTGGGAGGTCCCACGAAGCTTCCGTGGGAGGGGACTGACCGGGATTACAAATATGAAGAGGTGAGTTGAGGTGTTTAGAGGTGGCGGGTAAGGGGGAAGGGTTGGGGGAAAGGGGGGTGAGGGGGGGCGGAGGCGGAGGAACACGCCAAGGCTGCTAAGGAGGACGAGGAGGAGGAGGACGGGGCGGGCGCGTGGGAGGTGAGGACGACGAGGAGGCGGAGGGGATTAAGCTGGGAGGGCCCATGAAGCTTCCGTGGGAGGGGACGGACCGGGACTACAAGTATGAAGAGGTGGGTGAAGGTGTTGTGAGGACGAGGTGAGACCGATAGTGTGGGATGGAGTGCGTATGTGAATGAGAATGGGAATGAGAATGGGATGGGATTGGGAATGGAAGTGGTATGGGAATGTGATTGGGAATGGGAGTGGGAATGGGAGTGGGAATGGGAGTGGAAATGGGAGTGGGAATGGGAGTGGGAATGGGTGTAGGAATGTGAATGGGAATGGGAATGGCACACGCGGAGGCCTCGATCTAGCTGCTGCAGGAGGGTCTGTATCAGGGTAAATGCCATACTGGAACGGAGGCCGTGCCAGCTTTTGAAAACTCTCAGAATTGGGACGGATGTCTTGCCAGCTGTCTGCCGTTCTGTCCTTCCCTTGCCCCCCTCCCTCCCCTCCCACGCCCCCACCATCGGCTCGTGAACCGTCCGTTCAACCTTTTTTTAAATAATCGACCCTGAGCTTCCTGAGAGATTTTGTGCTGCCACGCCTTTCCAGTTGGCTCCCTCCTCTTCTCTGTTCTTCCGTTTCTAATACCTGCCCTGCCCACTCACAGCTGCTGGGTCGTGTGTTCAACATCCTGAGGGAGAACAACCCTGAGCTGGCTGGAGACCGTCGCCGAACCATCATGCGCCCTCCCCAGGTGCGTAATACACGAGCCCTATGTGGAGCTCCTCTCCTTTGGTGAGAGCACATTTTTTTTTAGTCGACTCAAAAATAGGACCATCATGCGCCCTCCCCAGGTGCGTAATACACGAGCCCTAAGTGGATCTCCTCTCCTTTGGTGAGAGCAAACTCACACTGGTGTGATGTGATTTCCACTTATGCACCGAGCCTATGCACACACACCCAACGCCTATGACACACCAGCATGCATTACACACAACTATAGGAACGTGCAAGTTCCCGCGTACACACGCACATACACATAGCACAAAATGACATCTGGCATTCACCACTCGTCTGATCCCCATCGACCCGGCTCGCCCCGGCTCGTACTCATCGTCCCCGTCGTCTCCATCATCCCTCCTGCACATGCAGGTGCTGCGAGAAGGAACCAAGAAGACTGTTTTCGCCAACTTCATGGACCTCTGTAAAACGTGAGTATCAATCACATGCAACACCATTGTGTGCCTCCCCCCTCCCCCCACACCCAACCCCCTGCCTCACCCTTCCCTCCTCTCCTTCCACCCCCCCTTCCCTCCCTCCCTCCTCCCCTCCCCCCCCCCCCCCCCCCCCCCCCAAACCCGCAGCCACCTTGTCTTTCTCAATGCCCCCTACTGCATGCATCATCGTCATTATGGCCCCTTTTGTGCTTTTGTTAATATGCTGGTCGTTATCGTCAATCCGTCCTTCTTATTATTTAGGTTATTATTTAGGCGCCTAAAAAAACTCTTCATTGACACACACTGCCCAGCATGCATCGAAAGGGGGAGCTGGGAACCAGCAGGTCTCAAACCTCCCCTTCATCACCATTCTTGACACCTTTTCACCTTATTGTACCCCTTTTCACAATTCTGTACCCCTCTTCACCGCGCCTAAATCCTTCCCAGCATGCATCGGCAGCCGGAGCACGTGATGGCATTCCTCTTGGCTGAGCTGGGAACCAGCGGGTCTCTTGATGGGCAGCAGCGGTTGATTGTGAAGGGACGTTTCGCGCCCAAGAATTTTGAGGGCATTCTGAGGCGATACGTCAGTAAGTGCTGCTGTAGCCTCCCATTTAGCTATTTGCAGAGATACCGAAAGGGATGATCCAATTCAGCTATTTGTTCTCTTAAATTATGCTTGTCTGGATTCCTAGCTCCCTTCCTCCCAAGGTCCTGTCTCCCCACTTCCCTCCTTGCTCCCTTGTTCCAACCCCCCAAATCCTGACCCTTTTTCTCCCACTGCCGCACCCTGTCACCAGATGAGTATGTGCTGTGCAATGGCTGCAAGTCACCAGACACCATTCTCTCCAAGGAGAACCGACTCTTCTTCCTGCGATGCGAACAGGTACACTTTTATATCTTTGCTGTAGGCTTGCTGTTTGGTGTAGTTTGTCCCGGATAAGTTCTTGAGACGTAACAAACGTTAAATGGACCCGAATCCTTATGGAAATCCTGTTCCCCTTCCTGCAGTGTGGTTCGCATCGTTCCGTTGCACACATGTTTCGTCCGGCAGGCTGGTTTGAGCCAAATCCCTTCCCCTCACTTCCCTTTACCTCCTCTCACTCACCCTGCTTTCTTGCTTGTTCCTCCCCACTCCCATCAGTGTGGCTCGCATCGTTCTGTCGCACCCATCAAGGCTGGTTTCGTGGCTCGCGTTGGCCGCCGCAAGGCCGTCAAGGCCTGAGTGCATACTTGGTCTCTTGGGCAGCATGCTGTTACTAGTAGCTGGAAGCAGTTGTTTTCTCAAGGGTCAACAACAATCCTTGCCTCGATTTCTAAGGCGCCTAGAAGGGTGTGCTGTGCTGTGTTTTACTGGTGGGAAAGAGCACCGTCTTATCTCAAATGTCAAGCATTACAGCATGGCCCAATAATTGGGGATGTGGAGATTTTAGCACGTTGATGTGCTCTCACCCTCACTGCCAATCATAAGGTTTGAAATGTAGCATTTAAAAACATACAAGTTAGCCTGCCATACACATTTCCAGTTCTAATCGATTCGCGAAGCACCTAGTATCGCGCCGAGGCGATGGAAAAACCTGAGTTGCCTGAAGAGCACGCATCGGAAAACCGTGTTGAAATCCCGCATTCGAAAATCCGTGTGGCATCTGGCGCTCTGCTCCACCAGGCTTTCTCCAGCTTTCCGCGTCGTGTGCTCAGTGGTCACTCCTCCCACCTTTCTTTACCGCTCCATGCTCAATACCATCCAGTTATGAGTGCTTCTGTGGTTAGGCTCAGGAATTCCAGCCCCCATAACGTAATTCACGCGTATGTGGTGCCTGGGATTCGCACTATGCGCACCGCCGTCCACAGCTATAACTCCGTCATAAGCAGTTCCGTTACAAGCAGCCGCGTTAACGTCTGTAAGCCGCCTCATGCGTTGTGCCAAAAACCGGTTCATAAAGCACCTGAAGAGCTTTCGCGGGTTTGCCATTTCAAGCTTGGCAGCAATTTCTTGAAGGAGTTTGGGAATGGGAAAAACAATGTTGGTTACAGCAGGAGTGGCAGAAATGCCACTGTCGGAATCAGAGCTTTCAGTGGGAGGAGCAGCGAGAGTGAGAGATACGGCAGAAATGTCAGATATGTCAGCACTACACTCGCCGCTGACCCTGGAAGCAACAGCAGAAGCAGCGGTAGCAGAAGCAGCAGCAGCAGCAGCAGCAGCGACAGTAGTGAGAGCAGCAAGAGTTTAGATGCTGGAACCACCATTACCAACATATTCCGCTTCAACCCAGGTAAGCAAATTTCATAAAAAAATCCCAACTGCGACCCAAGAATCCCTAGGCTCATTTGGCTGCCCAACCGCTCTCCTCTCCTTTATCTCCTTGTTGAGCCTTGCCCCCAACTCCCTTGGTCCCTGGCTTGCCCCCAAGGGAAGCCAGGGACCACGTATGAGCTTCCCTTGTCCGCTCGCAAACTGTCTCTGGAATTTCCATGTGCGCTGCATTCCCACATGCACCAAATATGTCGGATTTCTTAAACCGCTCGCCATCCGACCCAACCCACCGTAACAAAAATCCACCTTTTCCAATCCCGAAAAGCGATTTTCCTGATAAACCCCCACATGTGCTGCGTTCCCACGTGCATCACAACACGCTTCGGCCCTACGTGTAGGGCCGAAGCATTTTCCATACACAACTGTCGCATTTCTGAAACCGCTTGGCATATGAAACATCCAGTTGGTTGTTTTTCCTCATGCCATTTCGACAAAACTTAGCCTCATACATGTTATTTCCCTGTCGCCCCGCCCTCCCTTGCTCCATGTTTCCACTCCCTTACTCCCTCTTCCCGTTTTCCTCTCTCAAGTTATCTCTTGAGTCGACTCAAAAGTCGCCATCCCTTACTCCGTATTTCCATTCCTGCCTCTTCCCGTTTTCCTCTCTCAAGTTATGTAGCCTTCGCCTCTCTGTTCGCCTGTGATCGCTACCTCGTCGCCTGGCATGAGAACAAGCTGGCATACCGCCAAACTCTAACCGTCCCGCCTACCCATTCCTGTGCCGCTGCGCCTCCCCCCGTCGCCCAGCCTTCGCCTCTCAGTTCGCCTGTGATCGCTACCTCGTCACCTGGCCTGCAAACTTCCCACAACCCACGCTAAGGAGCAGGCATGCATCTGCCTAGTTTCAGCTCTTACCGTCCCTCCTTCCCACCCCATCCCCTCGTTTCCCAGCCTTCGCCTCTCAGTTCGCCTGTGATCGCTACCTCGTCGCCTGGCCTGCAAACGTCCCACACCAGCCCACGCTGGGGAGCAGGCTTGCATACCGCCTAACTTCGGCCCTAAGCGTCCCGTTTGTGTACGTTCCCAGTCACAACGCGCTGCTGTGTTTGCGAAAGGCAGATTCCTCCGAGCACTTAGGTAAGAGTCAGCAGCAGCACTTAGCTGAGAGTCAGCACTTAATTGAGCTCCGGCTTCTGGATGAGTTAACTCCCGAGCTACAGGGAGTGGTTTCAGGACTGAAGTACTTAGGAAGGTCATATGAGACACAGAGTGTGGCTGGTGCTGAGGTGGGTGGAGATGTAACGGCTGCTGCAGAAGGGGATGTAACAGCAGCTTCAGGAGATGTAACGGGAGCTACAGCAGATGTAACAGGAGCTGCAGCAGATGTAACAGGAGCTGCAGCAGCAGATGTAACCGGGGCTCCAGAAGTTGTAACAGGGGCTGCAGCAGATGTAACGGGGGCTGCATCAAACGTAAGGCCATCTGCAGGAGATGTAACAGCTACTTCAGAAAAGGACAAAAACTGGGTTGTGAGCAGTGGTGACGTGGCGAGGCTGCTGTACCGCCAGGTGGAATTGGAATGCCAGCTGGCTGATGTGGGAGAAAGTGGTTACAGCATGGGCAACAGCAGTAATGGCAGCAGCGTATTGAATAGCAACAGTGGCAGCAGCAGCAGCAGCATGGATGTGAACAAAATTCTGAAACCTGTTCAATCCTTCTCTGCAGTTTCTTTTTTCGGGCAGCCCGCTCTCGTTATAGACATCAGAAGCAGGCGCGGAGTCCCCTTGAAAGAAATCCTCGCTATAAGCTCACCCAGTAAGCTACTCGACGCCCTTGTGAAAACACCCTTCCGGTCCAAAGTTGCTACATTAATAGCATGGGAGCAGTTAGGTCCGAAATCCGGGCAGCTTTTTCAATGGCTCATGCGGGTTACTTCAACGGAGGAAATCCGAAAACGTTTCGAAGAGGCTGACCCGTCCACGGTTCTTTTCATCGCGGACGGTTTTCACTGGCTGCCTGAGTATCTGGAACTTGTCATCTGCCCGGAGAACGAGAAGTTTCTGAGAGATTTAGGGTTTGATATGGGCAGCGTGCGAATGGTAAGCTCCAAATCCATCCGTTCTCCTGAATCTCGACTCGCCCAGATTCAAGAGATTGCCTCTTCGCTGGTCAGTCAAAATTTCATCTGCCCAGAGCTGGTGACTGGCCCAGTTCTCAAGGCCGACGTAGACGGGCAGTCGAAAGAAGTGGGTGGAAAGGTTTTGCTACCCGTAGACGAGTCGGTCACAGTGATTCGGAAAGCCATCCATCGACACGGGATGTACCAAACTCCAGAAAACCCCCTTCAAATAGGTCTACTGTATGTGTCTCCCCCGGGTAAATTACCCTCCTTGTACGCTGACTCGGAGCAGTTTATAAAGGAGATGATGGGTCAGCTGCGTCAGCTGGGTGTAGCTAGTGCAGAGAGGACTCAAATGCGCAAGATAGTATGGGAACCTAGGAATAGGACTTTGGAGCAAGGGAGATCGGAGGAGGGATTGGTGGAAGCAGTGGTGAAAGGAGGAGGGTTGTTGGGAGAAGGAGGGTTGAAGGGAGAAGAAGGGTTGAAGCAGCAGTTTTCAAATGGTGGTGAGGAGGAGTTGAGGCGGTTTATGGTTCAAGAGGTAAACATCTTGAAAGATGCAGGGGCGGAGTTTCTTGTCCTGGTGTGTGGTTTCGGGAAAGGCGTTGGGGAGCAGAGTTCGAATGCGGCTGGTGTTGTGTGGCGGGCACTGCAGTATGCGACTGGAGGGATAGTGGAGGATTTGACAAGAGAGCTGGACACATTTATCGACAACACCAGCACCAGTTTTAGCAGCAGCACCGGCAGCAGCAGCAGCGCAAGTAGCAGCAGCAGAAGCAGCAGCAACGCATCTACCATCTCCTCCCCTCTCCCATCCCACATGCTCACCCCAACCACCTTCGCCACTCCAAGCGATTCCCGCACCTACTTCACCTCCCTCCTCTCCTCCTCCGTGGAAAAAATCGCAGTCAAATCCGGCGCTCTACCCTACATTCTCTCCCCCGGATTCGGCGAACACACCGACTGCATAATCGGCATTTCAGCTAAAGGAGGAAGGTCTACTCCTGCCCATGCTCCCTCCTCTCCTGCCTCTGCTCACTCCCTTCCTGAGTCTGGTGATTCTTCAGGGTCTTTGGATAGGGATGAGCCTTCTCGCTCCGTTCTGAATGGACTGGAGTGGGATGAGCCGGCAGTGATCTCATTTTTTGGGCCGAGAGGCGAGGTTCGGAGGGTTGTGCCTGTCCTTTGTCCTGTAGCAGGGGAGGCGGTACCTGCCGCGGCACTCGAAAGGGCGATAAGGGAGGAGGACGTGAGGGGGGGAAGGGTGGTGGTGATGCGGCATGGGCGATTTCAGGAGGGGGAGGTTGAGTGCGTTAGGAAGGTGTTGGGTAGGGTTGGGGCCCGGGGGACGTATGTGGAGGTTGGGGAGAGCGGGCGGTGCCGGTTGTTTCGAGCACTGCCTCCTTTCTCTGAGTCGATTCCATCTGTGGCAACAGCAAGAGAACCAGCAGAAGCAGTAGTACCAGCACCATCAGAAGCAGCACCAGCAGCATCAGAAGCAGCACCAGCAGCATCAGAAGCAGCACCAGCACCATCAGAAGCAGCACCAGCAGCATCAGCAGCAGCACCAGCAGCAGCAGCAGCAGCACCAGCAGCAGCAGCAGCACCAGCAGCAGCAGCAGCAGCTGCAGCAGCGGGAGAAGACGTGTATTTCCCACTCAGCGCCACCAGTGCAGCGTTAGTAGCATCCTCCATAGCACGGGGCATGCCCCAACCCGTATCAGTGGACATTCGGGAAAACGACCTGGGGTTGTCATTACAGCAGGTGGTGACGGTGGTTGCTGGGATGAGGAGGGTGCAGCATGGGGCGTTGGGGAAGGCTAAGCTTCCTGGAGCGATCCACTGTGCGGACAGAAACGGGTTTCCGTAAAACACGCTGCAGCAGGTGGTGACAGTGGTGGCTGGGATGAGGAGGGTGCAGCATGGGGCGTTGGGAAAGGCTAAGCTTCCTGGAGCGATCCCCTGTACGGACAGAAACGGTTTCCCGTGAAACGCACTCTTGGAGGATTCAGGGGTCAGGGGGCATGGCCCAGCCCATCTCAGTGGAGATTCTGGACAATGACTTAGGGGGGCTGTCGCTGCAGCAAGTTGTGATGGTTGTGGCTGGGAGACAGAAGCGGTTTCCTGTGAAATGCTCTGTCAGGATTCAGGGGGCACGGTGCTTGCCCCAGCTCATCTCAGTGGAGATTCCAGACCATGACTTAGGGGGCTGTGGGCTGACTCTTAGTGGAGATCTGGGCCTAGCCTAACTCCTTTCGTATTCCAAGGGCACGGCGCATGCCCCAGCTCATCTCAGTGGAAATTCTGGACCATGACTTGGGGGGCTGACTCTTAGTGGAGATCTGGGCCTAACTCCTTTCGTATTCCAAGGGCAGGGCGCATGCCCCAGCCCACTTCAGTGGAGATTCTGGACAATGACTTGGGCTGTCTGTCGCTGCAGCTGGTGGTGACTTTTGAGGCGCCTCAAAAAGGGGTACGGTGCTTGCCCCAGCTCATCTCAGTGGAGGTTCCGGACCATGACTTGGGGGGCTGATTCTTAGTGGAGATCTGGGCCTCGCCTAACTCCTTTTGTATTCCAAGGGCAGGGTGCATGCCCCAGCTCATCTCAGTGGAGATTCTGGACAATGACTTGGGCTGTCTGTCGCTGCAGCTGGTGGTGACTTTTGAGGCGCCTCAAAAATGGGCACGGTGCTTGCCCCAGCTCATCTCAGTGGAGGTTCCGGACCATGACTTGGGGGGCTGATTCTTAGTGGAGATCTGGGCCTCGCCTAACTCCTTTTGTATTCCAAGGGCAGGGCGCATGCCCCAGCTCATCTCAGTGGAGATTCTGGACAATGACTTGGGCTGTCTGTCGCTGCAGCTGGTGGTGACTTTTGAGGCGCCTCAAAAATGGGCACGGTGCTTGCCCCAGCTCATCTCAGTGGAGGTTCCGGACCATGACTTAGGGGGCTGTGGGCTGACTCTTAGTGGAGATCTGGGCCTCACTCCTTTCGTATTCCAAGGGCAAGGCGCATGCCCCAGCCCACTTCAGTGGAGGCCCTGGAAAATGACTCAGGGTTGTCGCTGCAGCAGGTGGTGACAGTGGTGGCTGGGATGAGGAGAGTGCAGCATGGGACGCTGGGCTGGGGAAGGCGAAATCGCCAGGAGCAATCCACTGTACGAACAGAATGGTTTTTCCGTGAATTGCTGTGTCAGGATTCAGGGGGCACGGCGCATGCTCCAGCCCATCTCAGTGGAGATTCTGGACAATGACTTGCGGCTGTCGCTGCATCTGCCAGCTGGCTGGTGGTGACGGTGGTGGCTGGGATGAGGAGACTGCAGCATGGGGGCTTGGCAAGGCGAAACTGCCATGTGGGGGGGTTGACTGGACGAGGTGACTTTTGAGTCTACTCAAAAGCCAGCTGGTGGTGACGGTGGTGGCTGGGATGAGGAGACTGCAGCATGGGGGCTTGGGAAGGCGAAACTGCCAGGTGGGGGGGTTGACTGGACGTACAGGAATGGCCTTGTGTGAAACATGAGATGATGCATCTCTAGTCATGTAAGTACAAGATAAAGATATGTCAATCATAAGACAAGAGGGTTCATTTCATGCAGATTATTAGCTCTGAAAGGGTAAGAGGTAGGAAGTTGGGGAAGGATCACGCTTGCATGGTTGCATGCACCTATTGGGTGAACAACAGTGACGTATAGGCTGTATAAAATGAATATTTCATGTGTTCGTTTGACTTGGGTGGTGCATAATATGGTACACGTATTCTCTATTACCCAGGTTATGCAGATTTAGGCACATCTTCATATAAGAGAGTGCTTACCGTAACATGCTGTATTATTCATGGATTTGCTTTGTTGCAATTCTTAAACGATCTCTACATTCAAGAGCATGATTAACCGATAAGAATTTGAAGCATCTAAATTTCGAGAATAAATATGCAGTTCATGGTGAGCATGCATCATATATTATAAGTAATTTGGTTTATCGTAGTAAGATTCTATAACCTTTCCTCTTCATAATCCTAAGCTGATACGGGTTGTAACACATCTGATCACCTTCTATCGGATCTCATCGGCCTCCTCTTCTCCCCCCATTCTCTCAACATCCCCTCTCTCTTCTCCTAATCTTAGGAGCCACTGTCCCATCCAAGCGCCTCGGCTCCGTAGATCCTGTCACGCGTTTCTACACCTTGGTGTTACCGATTCATACGCTCATCGCAATTCAGATTATCGGCTCAGGCCGACTGCTCTTTTTTCTTTAATTTAGAAACCTAAGGCCTGACGATGGCGTACGATCGGTACACCCGCGGAACTCCCACTTTCGACGACCTAGATGATCGCGACGCGCCTTACGGCGATCCGACCGCGTCGTCCGACAACGACGGCGTTCCCGACGTCGTTAAGACGTTCGTCGCTTTTCTCTACCGTCACATTCGCGAGAACAATGTCTACGAGATCCACCAGATGTACGAGAACAGCTTCCACAAGTTATCGCAGCGACTCTTTAGCGAATCGCCGTGGCCCACGGCGGAGGCGATCGCGCCGGTGGTGGATCACGACCACGTGTTCTGCCTGCTGTATCGCGAGCTGTACTTCCGCCACGTGTTCGCGCGGCTCCAGCCGACGTTGGAGCAGCGGTGCGAGTCCTGGGAGAACTACTGCAGCCTGTTCCAGGTACGAAATTCTACGGTAATGCGATCCCATGGAGATTTGAACGGTAATTGTATCTTATTGTCATACTTCGACGAGTCTTGGGAGAACTGCAGCCTGTTCCAGTTAGAGATGTTAACGGAGATATTAACGGAAATAGGGATGAAAACATTTGATGTTCTGAGACGCTTGAGATACAGTACTTCCACTTTCACAATTTCTCGAAGAGCTGCTGCAGCCTGTTCGGAGTAGTGGATCCTAATGGAGTGTGATTGTTCGTTTTGTCGAAAAGTCCGAAAGAATGTATTCTTATTCGAGTCTTGAGAGAAATACTGCAGCCTATCCAGGTGGGGGGTTCAAACGAGGTTCAGTGGGGATTAAACGGAATTTAGATCTTATTTTGCGTTATTACACTAGGTTTGAGAGAACTACTGTAGTAGTCTATCCAAGAAGGGGAGTCTATTGACGTTTCAATGCTCATGCTAGTTGAGACATAGTTCAGAAAACTGAACGAAGATATACCTTACGTGATCTGGGAGTACTAGGTAGGGTTACGTTACGGGGATTGCGGAGACGTCCAAGGCGAGAGAACATCAGAACTCGAAGAATTACTGTAGGAGAACAGGGAGGTTGAGTGACTGTATTGGGTTCACTGTACTGATATTTGATCGTGCTAGAGCGGTTGTGGGATGCAGGGATGCACCCATTGGTGAGCGTTCAAGGTCCAAACATGACGTATGCACCAACTGCGAGATTCACTGCAGCCCTAAGTAAGGGGAGGACTTCAAACGAACACGAGAACGTAATTATGCTCGCTGTCTATGTTTCTGGGTCGCATTCGCGACCAGCATTCACTCGCAAAGGGTCAAAGGAGGGTGGATTGCGACAGTAAGGTGTATGATTCCACCCTCATATTCCTCCGTGAATCTAACCATTCTACCTTTTCCACCTCTCCCCCTCCCCTCCCCCCGCGCGCTCCTTCCCATCCCTCCCCCCGCCCTCTCCCCCCTTTCCCACCCTTCCCCTGCGTGCCCAGGTGTTGCTGCTCGGCAATCTTAATATTCCCATACTCATTCTCCCTCCCATTTTCCCTCCCATTTTCCCTCCCATTCTCCCATACTCATTCTCCCTCTCATTCTCCCTCCCATTTTCCCTCCCATTCTCCCATACTCATTCTCCCTCCCATTCTCCCATACCCATTCTCCCTCCCATTCTCCCTCCCATGCTCCCACCCATCCTCCTCCCCATTCCCCCGCCCATCCCTGACCGTTTAAACCCTGTCCCCCGGCGCGCGCAGGTGGTGCTGCTGGGCAATCTGAACGTGTAGCTGCCCAACGCGTGGCTGTGGGACATGGTGGACGAGTTCATCAACCAGTTCCAGTCCTTCTGCTGCCAGCCTCTCAACCCCACTTGATTGTTGAAACCCTCCCTTCCAACCGTTTAAACCCTGTCCCCTGGTCCTTTCAGGTGGTGCTGCTGGGGAACCTCAACGTGCAGCTGCCCAACGCGTGGCTGTGGGACATGGTGGACGAGTTCATCTACCAGTTCCAGTCCTTCTGCTGCCAGCCTCTCAACCCCACTTGACCGTTTAAACCCTGTCCCCCCGCGCGCGCAGGTGGTGCTGCTGGGCAATCTGAACGTGCAGCTGCCCAACGCGTGGCTGTGGGACATGGTGGACGAGTTCATCTACCAATTCCAGTCCTTCTGCCACTTCCGGGCGCGAGTGAAGAGCCGTACGGACGAGGAGAATGCAGCACTCAAGCAGTGCGGCAATGTGAGTGCTCTGCTCTCTGCTCTCTGCTCTCTGCTCTCTGGTCGTGCCTGGGGGGCTATAGGCATGGTGTAGACATGGTGGACGAGACGAGTTCATCTACCAGTTCCAGTCCTTCTGCCACTTCCGCGCGCGCGTCAAGAGCCGCACGGACGAGGAGAAGTAACGTGACAGAGCAATGTTCCTGGCCACCAAGAGGTATGACATGACGGGCGCGGGGGGCAGCAACGTGGAGCGCGTGCTAGGGTACCTCTCTCTCTTCCCTCGCCCTCCTCCTCACCCTGTCTTCTACTCTTCTTTCCCCTGCCTCCCCCCCCCTTCTTCCCGCAGGTGTGGAATGTCTACGGAGTGCTCAACTACCTGCACGCCCTGGTCGCCAAGTCCAACATCCTGGCCATTCTCGACGACGACTCGGACGGAGGAGTAGCGGCTATGTTCCTGGTCGCCAAGTCCAACATCCTCGTTATCCTGGATGATGACTTTCTGTCCCTTCTCCGCCTGCCTCCTTCCTCCTGATTCCTCCCCCTCCCCAGGTGTGGAACGTGTATGGTGTCCTGAACTACCTGCACGCCCTGGTGGCGAAATCCAACATCCTGGCCACCCTTGGCGACGATTCAAGCCCAATCTCTTCCCTCACCTGCCCCCTTCCTCCTGTCTCCATCGCAACCCTTCCCCCCCAGGTGTGGAACGTGTATGGTGTGTTGAACTATCTCCATGCGCTCGTGGCGAAATCCAACATCCTCGCCATCCTGGATGACGATTCGGACGGAGGAGCAGCAGCCATGTTCCTGGCGACGGAGGGGTATGACATGACGGGCGCGGGGGGCAGCAATGTGGAGCGCGTGTTGGGGTACCTGTCCCTGACTCCCTGTGCCCTCTCCTCCACACCCTGTCGTCTACTCTTCTTTCCCCTGCCTCGCCCCCCCCTTTCTTCCCGCAGGTGTGGAATGTCTATGGAGTGCTGAACTATCTCCATGCGCTCGTAGCCAAGTCCAACATCCTTGCGATTCTCGACGACGACTCGGACGGAGGGGCAGCAGCAATGTTCCTGGCGACCGAGGGGTATGACATGACGGGCGCGGGGGGCAGCAACGTGGAGCGTGTGCTGGGGTACCTGTCGCTGGTGGGGCTGCTGCGCGTGCACTGCCTGCTGGGGGACTATCATACCGGGCTCGTGAAGCTGTCTCCGATTGACGTCGGGCGCCCAGGGGTTTTTCAGCGAATCACGGGCTGCCACATCACCGCCATGTATTACTACGGATTCGCGAGCCTCATGCTGCGCAGGTGAGAAAAAAGGAGCTTCATTTGGGATGGCGGGGTTGGCAGGGGGAAGGGGGAAGGGGGAAGGCAGGGATGGGTGTGAAGGGGTGAAGTGGAGCGTGTGCTGGGGTACCTGTCGCTGGTGGGGCTGCTGCGCGTGCACTGCCTGCTGGGGAACTATCATACCGGGCTCGTGAAGCTGTCCCCCATCGATGTCGGGCGCCCAGGGGTTTTTCAGCGAATCACGGGCTGCCACATCACCGCCATGTATTACTACGGATTCGCCAGTCTGATGCTCCGAAGGTGGGTCGTCTACTGGCTGTATCCGGTTATGAATGGGGGATGGGCAGGTAAGAGGGAAGGGGGAAGGCAGGGGGAAGGCAGGGGTGGGTGTGGAGAATAGGGGTGAATCGTGTGTTGGGCTAAGTTGGATATTACGCTTACGTTTACGTACGTTTTACGTTACGCACGAGGTGCTGGAATGAGTTTACGTTTGCGGGCAGATTTGTTTTCCTTCAGCTGCCCGGCTGAAGTTAAAATTTCAAGGGGATTCGAAGTATTAAATATATAACATAAACTCTATAAACACACAAAATACTTGTGATGCGTGTTACTTGTAGCGAGGTGTACAAACCAGTTCGCGCCTTCTCCCAATTTCACGCGATATCGCGTGAGTCAATGCGTTCCCCCAATACGTTACTCAGAATCAGTCCCACGACGTTTGCGGGCTCAGAAGGCCTAGAGCTTTAGATTGACGACCTAATGCAACTTCGTAGATCTACCGTGCAGAGCTAAGATATTAGAACCCCTAATCTACCATTATTAATTACGACCTAAGTTAAGATTTAACATCTCACCCGTTTGTATCTGCTGGACCGCTGTCCTGAACGGTTCCGCAGTGACATTTCCGCCAAAATTTTAAGACCAAACGAACGATTCTGCCTTTTTTTTTTCACCAATTTTTTTTCACCTGCCCGGACCCAAGTTACGCGTATTTACGCGTACGTAAACGTAAACGTAATGTTACGCGAAACATTACGTTTACGTAGTGCCAGGGACGTACGGACCCATCTAAGGTGTTGGGGTACCTGTCGCTGGTGAGGCTGCTGCGCGTGCACTGCCTGCTGGGCGATTACCACACTGGATTGGTGAAACTCGCCCCCATTGATGTCGGGCGCCCAGGGGTTTTTCAGCGAATCACGGGCTGCCACATCACCGCCATGTATTACTACGGATTCGCAAGCCTCATGCTGCGCAGGTGAGAAAAAAGGAGCTTCATTTGGGATGGCGGGGTTGGCAGGGGGAAGGGGGAAGGCAGGGATGGGTGTGAAGGGGTGAAGTGGAGCGTGTGGTGGGGTACCTGTCTCTGGTGGGGCTGCTGCGCGTGCACTGCCTGCTGGGGGATTATCATACGGGGCTCGTGAAGCTGTCGCCAATTGATGTGGGAAGGCCGGGCTTGTTCCAGCGAATCATGGGCTGCCACATCATCGCCATGTACTACTATGGCTTTGCCAGCCTGATGCTGCGCAGGTGGGTGGTGCGGTGGGTTGGGCTGGGTTGGGTTGGGTGGGGTGGGGTGGAGTGGGGTGGGGTGGGGTGGGGGATGGGTGAGGCAGGGGCAAAACAGGGGGCTGCCACATCACCGCCATGTATTACTACGGATTTGCCAGTGATGCTGCGCAGGTGGGTTGTTACCGGGCTGTATACGACCTAGAAAAGAGCTATAACTGGGCTGCTCTGGGGAAGAGGACGGAAGAGGGGGAGAGCATGGGGCTGGCACATGTATGCCATGTATGTAATATGGATGGCGTAGATGGGTTACTATGGATTCGCGAGCCTCATTAGTATGTACAACACCCATACACACCCGTTCACACCCATACACACCCGTTCACACCCATATACACCCGTGCAGGTACGTGGACGCTATCAGGGCATTCAACCAGGTGCTCCTGACGCTCGCCAAGGCCAAGCAGTACCACGAGACCCTCCCCCAATACGACCAGATCCTGAAGAAGACCGAGCAGATGTTCGCGCTTCTCGCCATCTGCCTCTCGCTGAGTTGACTTTTGAGTCGACTCAAAAGTCAACTCGAGTCGCTCCTGCAGATCGACCAGATCCTGAAGAAGACGGAGCAGATGTACTCGCTGCTCGCCATCTGCCTATCATGCTCTCCTCCCCTCTCCTCTCTTCCATCTCCCCCACCCGCCCCACCTCTTTCTCCTACCTCCCATCCTCTTGCCCCTTTTCCTCGCTCCCGCTCAAACCCAACCCCCAAACACCCTCCCCCAGGTACGTGGACGCTATCAGGGCATTCAACCAGGTGCTCCTGACACTCGCCAAGGCCAAGCAGTACCACGAGACCCTCCCCCAATATGACCAGATCCTGAAGAAGACCGAGCAGATGTTCGCGCTTCTCGCCGTCTGCCTCTCGCTCTGCCCGAACGGGAAACTTTTGGAGGAGTCGGTCAACGGGCAGCTGCGCGAAAAGTTCTCGGACAAGATCCAGAGGATGCAGCGCGGCGACGAGGCGGTTTTCGACGAGCTGTTTTCGTTCGCCTGCCCGAAGTTTGTCACGCCTGCCCCTCTGGTGGAGGACGGGGGCGAGCTGGTCAACTACAACCAGGTACCGCATTGCACCGGTTTCAACCCATTCTGTGTCTGTAACTGACTGTCTGTAACTGACTGGCTGTCACTGACGCTTTGTCCAAAGTTTGTCACGCCTGCCCCTCCGGTGGAGGATTGGGGGGGAACCGGTCAATCACAACTAGGTACGCAAAGAGGGGCAGGATGGGTGCCCATCCCACCGAAACCCAAACCCCCGCCCACCCACTGGGACGCCTACCGGCTCCAGCTGAAGCTGTTCCTAGCGGACGTGTCTTTTGAGGCGCCTCAAAAACCGAAACCCAAACCCCCGCCCACCCACTGGGACGGACGCCTACCGGCTCCAGCAGAAGCTGTTCCTGTCGGACGTTCGCTCCCAGCTCGCCCTCCCACGGCTGCGATCTGCCCTCTCCCTCTACTCCGCCCACTGGGACGGACGCCTACGGGCTGCAGCTGAAGCTGTTCCTAGCGGACGTGCACTCCCAGCTCGCCCTGTCAGGCCTGCTGTTGCTGCTTACTTGAACCCACCGCCCACCCCACTCCACCCCACCCCACCCCGTGCCACCCATCAGGGCGCCTACCGCCTCCAGCTGAAGCTCTTCCTGGCGGTCGTTCGCTCCCAGCTCGCCCTCCCTCTCATCCCACCCCACCCCACTCCACCCCTCTGGACTCCATTGTACCCCCCACTACCAGGACGCCTACCGCCTGCAGCTGAAGCTCTTTCTCGCCGACGTGCGCTCCCAGCTCGCCCTGCCAGGGCTGCTGTTGAGGCGAGCTTCCCTCTCATCCCACCCCACTGCTGCAACCCCCTGCCACCCATCAGGACGCCTACCGCCTGCAGCTGAAGCTCTTTCTCGCCGACGTGCGCTCCCAGCTCGCCCTGCCAGGGCTGCTGTTTAGGCGAGCTTCCCTCTCATCCCACCCCACTGCTGCAACCCCCTGCCACCCATCAGGACGCCTACCGCCTGCAGCTGAAGCTCTTTCTCGCCGACGTGCGCTCCCAGCTCGCCCTGCCAGGGCTGCTGTTGAGGCGAGCTTCCCTCTCATCCCACCCCACTGCTGCAACCCCCTGCCACCCATCAGGACGCCTACCGCCTGCAGCTGAAGCTCTTCCTGGCCGACGTGCGCTCCCAGCTCGCCCTCCCAGGGCTGCGGTTGCGGCGTGCTTCTCTCTCATCCCACTCCACCCCACTCCACCTCACTCCACCCCGTTCCACCCCACTGCACCCCACTCCACCACCCTCCACCAGGACGCCTACCGCCTACAGCGGAAGCTCTTCCTGGCTGACGTGCGCTCTCAGCTCGCCCTGCCAGGGCTGCGATCCGCTCTCTCTCTCTACTCCGCCATCTCCCTGCCCCGCCTCTCCACCTTCCTGGATGTTTCCGAGACCACCCTCAGGTGATCCGTCAGATGGTTCCTCAGGTGCCGCTTCAGGTGGATTGGAGGCTTTTTTTTGTTGGGTGTGGTTTCAGGTGAAATAGCAGGTGCTTGTTCAAGTGAGTTTGCAATGCGTTTCCAGAGCTCTCAGCGTCACATATGTCAGGAGCGTTGTTGCGGTCAGCAGTTACTACTCTGCACCACTGTCCACACCTCGGCACCTTCTGCGTTTCCAAGACTGTGCTGATCGCCCTTTGCCACAAGAACACTGTCGTGGTTATTGGTTTCCCCACTCTGCACCACCCTTCACACCTCTGCACCACCCTATGCAGGACCGCGCTGATCGCCGGTCGTCACAAGAACACCGTTGTGGAGGGCGATGGCTCAGTGCTGCCAAATGCTCTCATTGTTCTCAGTGTTAAGCTCCCCCCTCTACCATTTCCACCCCTCTGCACCACTCTTCACTCCCCTGCACCGCTCTGCACCACGTCTTTTGTGTTTTCAGGACCGCACTCATCACCCTTCGCCACAAGAACACAGTTGTGGAGGGCGATGGCTCGGTGCTGCCCAATGCTGAGCTGGACTTCTACATCGACGATGTAAGCATGCCACGGGGTGATGTCGGCACAGCATGGGGTGATGTCAGCACAGCATGGGATGATGTCAGCACGGCATGGATTGATGTCAGCAGCGCATGGGGTGATGTCAGCTGTGCATGGGGTGATGTCAGCACGGCATGGGGTGATGTCAGCACTATGTGAGATGATCCCATGAGACTCTTTTTACCCCCTTCTTCCCTGTGAGCTGCATTTTAATTTATTAGTTCTCAGTATACTTTCACACACGAGGCTCTCACCCCCCCCCCCCCTTTCCCCTCCTCCCCACGTCCCCACCTCCCAGTCTTCTCTCTCTTTCTCCTCCCAACTTTCAAGTCGACTTGAGAAACTAATTTGGGTTGGTTATTGAGAACTCTCAATATTGAACTTGTCTCATTTTTTGAATTCTCAAAACCATAATCTGATGGGGCTGGTGGAGCGTAAAACCACGAGGCCAAACACGTTTCCCCTCCCTTTCCCCTCCCTCCCTCTCCATGCCCCTCTCCCCAAACCCCTTGGTCTTCTCTCTCTCAGGACTCAGTGCAGGTGGTTGATCGCAAGACCACGGCGCCTCAACACACTCCCCTTTCCTTCCCTCAACGCGCTATCTCCACATGCCCCCTACTCCCCAAACCCCTCGGGTTCTCTCTCTCAGGACTTGGTGCAGGTGGTTGATCGCAAGACCACGAGGCGTCAATACAGTTCCCCTTCCTTTCCCCTCAAATTCACTCTCTCCCCTCTCCCCTCCCCCTCCCCCTCCCCCTCTTCCTATGCCCCCCCTCTGTCTTATCTCTCAGGACTTAGTGCAGGTGGTTGATCGCAAGACCACGAGGCGGTTTGGGGACTATTTCATCAAGCACATTCTCAAGGTAGTGTTGTGATTGTACTGAGGTGAATTAATGGGTCGAGGTGACTTGTGATTCAAACGGTTTGGGGACTATTTCATCAAGCACATTCTCAAGGTAACATAGTTATTGTTTGATTAAACCGGGGAACTCTGAGTCGAGGTAAATTATGAGTCAAGGTGACATGAGAGTCAAGACCACGAGACGGTTTGGGGACTATTTCATCAAGCACATTCTCAAGGTAATACTATATTTGGTTTGACTAAACCGCGTATGATGGGGGTTTGCATGGTGGTGGTTGTGTGTATGCGCGGTTGGATGTTTGCCTTATCCTTGACGTATAAATGTGGAATCGACCATCCTTTTTACTTGTATTTATCCGTCTTTTCTGTTTCACCTGTTTTGTTTTCCTCTGTTTTCCTCTGTTTTTTTGTCCAGTTTGATGAGCTTGCAGGGCAGCTGGAGAACGTTCAGCTAGTAGTGTAAACCAGATGAAATGTGTAATAGACAATTTGTGTAGGCCATGCAAGGAAAATTTTTAATCTTCCAAAAATAGAGCAGAAAAAGGTGGGAGGGTGGCGGTTCACAGGGGTTAAGAGGAAGCCCTTTTTGTTGTACACTTCATTGCGTTACTTCATACATCTACCAACAATCTCATGGCAACCTGGAGACAGAACATATCAAGTCTTGAGTATACCATGCCTAGTGTTACCAACTACACTGTGCTCAGTGTACCGTACGTGGAGGTGTGGAACTAACTCAGCAGCTTGTGCATGAGTAATGAAAAGTTGAGTTAATGCAACCGGGAAAAATCCTAGTACGAATACGGATTCGGGGTAGGGTCCTCATTTCTAATTGTAGAATCTGGCAGCAGAAACTGTACAATAAGGATCACTGTATAAAGAGGACAGGTGGTGCGCCACCATGAACTATCACCCTTCACCCCCAACCTCGTTTACCCCCAACTCGCACCTTCGTTCTCCAATTCCCCCCCAACCCAACCTCGAGAATCCCGTGTTCCCCCTCAGTTCCCCCAAAATTTCCCATTCCCGCTCACCGCCGCGTTCTTCCCCTGATCTCCACCCCCCGCACCCCCCTCCACTTCCCCCCTCCTCCCCCTCCCCAACGTGTTTTGTCCCCTTCACCTTTCTGTCCGCTCCCCTGCTGCTCGCTCCCGCCTCTCCGCCTTCTCTCGTATTTGCCTCCTAGCTGCTCCTAACTTCGCCTCTTTTCCCTTAGTCTGCACAGCACAGGACTGATTCCTCCGTCCTCCCTCCTCCCCTTCCCCGTGGATAGTCGCTCCACCTAAAATCAGCCAAAATGGTTCGTGTCCAATCCCTAGACTGCTGGACGATTATGCGGGTGATCCTGTTACTGAGACCAACTATTTTGCTTCTGGAAAAATATGTCTGGGTGGTGTGGTCTCATTTTAGGGTTTCCTAGGAAAACCGTTCACAATCGAGCTTCTTACGAGCATTGCTGCATTTTCCACCTCCGCGACTGCGTTCCACTCTCACCAGCGCTGACTATTCCTTCTAGTTGCCGTTCTTTATTGTCAGATTCATCATCCGTGTCGCTTACTTCGTGTTTTTTCCACCAACACTGACCCTACGTCAAACGCTTCACTGTGGCCATCTTTTTTCCTTGATTTGACCAGCCGTTCCGGAGATACATGGAGGTGGGCCGGGTGTGCATGGTCAACTTCGGCCCCATGTACGGCAAGCTCGTCGTCGTCGTCGATATCATCGACCAAAACAGGGTGAGCTGGAGCCGTTGACCCCGTTGACCCCGTTGACCGCGTTGACCCCATTGACCGACAGATATGATGCGTCATGTACGGCAATCCCGTCGTCTTCGTCGATATCATCGACCAAAAAAGGGTGATCCAGGAGCTGTTGACCTCATTGACCGCGCTGATCCCGTTGACCGCGCTGACTCGTTTGACCCCGTTGACCGCGTTGACTCATTTGACCCTGTTGACCGCGTTGCTTCCGCTCACCGACAAGTAGTGTTCTGACAAGGAGAGGAGGCCATGATCACCAGTCCATACCCCATGCACGACGACGCCTTCTTTACGTTAGCATTATCCAGGACCACGGACTGTCACGAAAAAGTTAATGGAGGCGAGGGGAAGAAGGGAGCTGCCGGCATACGCGTTAGTGAATCACTGCAGCGCAGGATATGGAAATGGTGCATAGTGCAGGAACGTAGCCGAGAGGGTGTGTTAGGTCACGTGATTCTGGTGCAGCCGCAGCTAAAGATTCGGTTCAAGAAGAGGCCAAGCAAACGGTGGATAGCCTGTGCATCAGGAGGGAGGGTGTATTGCGAGACAGCGGTTCTGGTGCAGCAGACACGAACGGGCGAATAAGATAGGTTATGCGAACGGCGGATAGGCTGTGCGTCAGGAGGGAGGGTATATTGCGTCACAGCGAATCTAGTGCAGCTGACGCAAACGACGTGACTCTGAGTTGACTCGAATAAGGCCAGGCGAAAATGGGGCTACGCGAACCGTGAATAGTCTGTGCATTAGGATAGAAAGCGTATTAGGTCACAGCAATTTTCGTGCAGCAGATTTAAAACACTTCCAGCGGCATCGACAGATATCAGCAGGCGTGCTGACAACGTAGACAAGCAGGCGGTGTCTTAAGCAGGCGTGTCGAGGGCAGGCTTGAACAGTCATGTTCACAGAAGCAGCGGAGGAACCATTTTTTGGTGATGTTGCTCCATTTTGAGAAATTGCAGTACTGTGCAGCACGGGCGTCCAATTAGAATTTCATCTATTCCATTTGCAGGTACCGTCAGTTTACTAGGATTAGGGTTTTTCGCGAGTCACACTGACTAGGGTTTCAACAATCCCATCAACTAGGGATTCGGCGATTCCCGTCGGTCAGGGTGTCAGCCACTTGTATCGGAGCCACGGTGCGGTTGTCGCAGAGAATCTAGTCCTTTTTTTCGCCGTTCCCCCTGCCCCCTTAAGCATGTGTGTCTTAAGACCGGAAAGGCGAGAGACTTCGCTAGTCTTCTTTTTCGAGGCGCCTTAACATTCGATGCCGTAATACCCGTTTTTTTCTTACCGTCTGCGCCTTTCTCGGCACGGAACCCGCCGTGGCGTGACCTGTTCTGTTGGCGTATAGTTTGAAGCCCTGGTGGGCGGCACAGCGCCAGCGAATGAACTACAAGCCCCCTTGCTTTCAGTCATAACCAGACCTTACCCCCACCACCTCCTCCCATCCCCCGTTCCCCCTGCGCCCTTCCCCGTGCGCGCACCCTCCCCCTCGTCCGCCTTCACCAGTCCCTGGTGGACTTCACGGGCAAGGAGCGCCAGCAGATCAAATACAAGCGCCTGTCGCTCACGGACATCACCAAACTTTACCCTCACCCCCTCGTCCTTCCCCTCGTTCCCCCTGCGCCCTTCCCCCTTGCGACCCGTTCCCCGTTCCCCGTTCCTCCGCTCCTTCCCCGGCGCCCCCGCTCCCCCTTCCCCCCAACCCCAGGCCCTAATTGACTTCACAGGCATGGAGCGCCAGCAGATCAACTTCAAGCGCCTCTCGCTGACGGACATCACCATCGACATTCCCAAGGCCGCCTCGAAGAAGGAGCTGCGCGCCGCCATCGAAGCCGGTGGTGAGTGGTGATACGCGGTTTCTGTGGGTCAACTGTGGTGCTGGTTGGCTAGGGTTGAGTTTTATCTCCCGTTTGTGCTGGGTTAGGGTTTGTCTCTCAGCGACGTCACCACCGGCATTCCCAAGGCCGCCTCGAAGAAGGAGCTGCGCGCTGCCATCAAAGCCGGTGGTGAAGGAATTAGGGTTTGGGATTATGCAAACTACGTGTGTTAGGGATAGGCTTGAACCCCAAGCCCCCACTTCCCCCCCCCCCTTTTTTGTGTGTTTTCCCGCCGCCCCGCTTGCTGTCTTTCTCTCAGCGCCCACTCTCTCTCGCGCCTCCATGGCTCCCACATGATGAAACCCATCATTCACAAAAGTTTCAGCCTTGTCGTATGCGAGAGCATGCCTCTCGTGCTGCCGATTCTCTTATGGCTGATGGGATGTCGCTCTCTTTCTTCACCACCCCCCATCACCCATTCCCCCTCGTTCTAGTCCGCCTCTTCCCCACGCCCCCATTTCCTCTTCCTCTTTCTTGCTTACTATCCCCGGATCTCTCCCTTCCGTTAGCATGGCTCCCATATGATGATACACTACTCACACAAGTTTCAGCCTTGTCGTATGCGAGAGCATTCCTCTCGTGCTGCCGATTCTCACACGGCTGATGGGATGTCAGTTTTCTCTTCCCAATCCCCCATTCCCCCTCTCTTCCCCTTCCTCCCTTCCCCCCCCTCCTTCCCCTCCCCCTCTACCCGTCTCCCTCTGGTTTCGTACTATCCCCCTCTCCTCCCGCCCCCCCTCCCGCCTCCCCTCCCGCCCTCATGGCTCCCATATGTTGATACACTATTTACAAAAGTTTCAGCCACCTTTTCCCCACCCACCACAACCCCACAGAGGTGCAGAGCAAGTGGGAGGCGAGCTCGTGGGGGAGGAAGCTGCTGACCCAGAAGAAGCAACCATTGATCCCCTTCCTCCCTCCCAACCATCCCATCCCCTACCCCCACCACTGCCCATCCCCACCCCCACCACCACCCATCCTCCTACCCCTACATCGCCATGCGTGTTCCAACAGAGGTGCAGAGCAAGTGGGAGGCGAGCTCGTGGGGAAGGAAGCTGCTGACCCAGAAGAAGCAACCATTGATCCCCTTCCTCCCTCCCAACCATCCCATCCCCTACCCCCACCACTGCCCATCCCCACCCCCACCACCACCCATCCTCCTACCCCTACATCGCCATGCGTGTTCCAACAGAGGTGCAGAGCAAGTGGGAGGCGAGCTCGTGGGGGAGGAAGCTGCTGATCCAGAAGAAGCGGGCGGCTCTAACCGACTTCGAGCGTTTCAAGATTGCTGCTGCCCGTTCACAGGTACTGTTCATTCACAGGAACTGTCCGTGCACTGTAGATGTTTGGGGGTAACTGTGAAAGGTAGGTGCTGCTGGTGCATTTAAGGTACTGTACAGCTACACCGCTTGCCGTGTTCGTTTTGGAAAGTACTGCTCTGCCTCCCTACCCCACCCTCCCTGCCCCACCCTCCCTACCCCACTCTCCCTACCCCACTCTCCCTACCCCACTCTCCCTGACCCCTCCCTTCCGTTTCCCCCTCCGTCACCCTTAGCCCCTTCCTCCCTTTCCACCCTTCACCCCAAACCCCCTCATACTTTTCGTTTTCTGTTTGTAATTTAACTCAATTCTGTTCTTAGGTTTTCAATTTCTCCAAAACTGATCCCCCCCCTCCCTTGCCCCTCTCCCTCTTCCCCCCCCTCCCCACCCCCCCCCCCCCCCCCTTTTCCCCCCTCTCCTCTTTCTACTCGCCCCCACCTTTCGTGGCTCGCCTCCACTTGCAATTTACAGAAAGCTAAGGCTGTGAAGAAGGCTCTTGCTTAAAGAAATATGATCGGTTGGGACAAAAGAGTTGAGGATGGATGTTACATGGTTACCATCAACCATGGTTTTCTGGCCGCCTCCCAGTTTCAGCTGCTGGTAATTCCTCGTGTCCATTTTCAGTGTGTTGGAACGAGTTTGGCAAAAGTTGCAGGTTCCTTGTATTTCTGATGGTGCAAAAATGAATAATTACCGTACGAATTGGTGCCTAAATCAAGCTTATGGAACTTACAATTATCATACGAATAGGTGCATAACATGGATTACAAGCTGTTTGAACAGGTGCCCAAAAGCATGCTGTGGATTTACACCGAAAGCCTCATCGGAATTCGGTCGTCAGAACGGTTTTGCCAGTGTCGTCGAGGGGGGTCGTCGGAGCCGAGAATGACGAGGCGGGCGACTGACGCGCGTGCGGGCCCGCCAGCCTGGCCCAGGGCTGGGCCGAGCGCACGACCGCCGCCCCGCAGCCCCGCTCCGAAAGTGAACAGCGGCCCACGTTACCGGGTGGGGTCGGCGAACTGGCGTCACCTCGCGCGTGGGAAAGTTACCCTCGCGCGAAGGCAGCCCACACGTGCCACCTGCCCGCGAGGTCCTAGTAACCCATCGCGGCCTGCCCGGACGGGCAGGCGAGGGCCGGGCGAAAACTCGGGGCCCCCTCGGGACGCTCGACAATTTCGCGACCCGTTGCGGTGACGCCACGTGTTCGCTCGTGGTTTCGCATCGGGCGCATGCGATATTTCGTTGCGAGCGAAAAAAAAAAGCCCGCAACGCGGAGAACGAGGTTCGTTACCCGCTACGAAGTCGACACGTGTCGTGCAAATGGACGCTCCGCGCGCATGCGAAATTGCGTCCCCTCGCCGACCTGGGCCAATGGACGCGAGGTCGACGCCCTGCCGAAGCGGAGTCGGACCACCTGTTCCACTTGCGCATGCGCCCTCAGAGCCCTGCCGAGCCAGGCCCCACACCCTTGGGCGACGCTGAACGGGGATGCGGTGGGCCACTGTCTCCTTTTCTTTGTGGATGGTGGCCTCGCTCCTCATTTTCCGCATCTCGTTTCGCTCCTCCTTTTCTCCTTTTTTTCTCCTTTCGTTGCTCTGTGCTATCGTGATATCGCTTCCCCTTAGTCGATATGGACCCTAGCCCCGACGCCGATAACTCGGCGCCGACTTCGGCTGACTTCCCTCTTCGTCACCCAATGGGTCGTGGTCTCAGCTTCACTCTAGAGTGGGAAGACTTCTTAGTTCTTCGCAACCACAAGATAGAGTTCAACGACGGATGTTTGGGTTTCGGCATCAGGTAGGACTCGAGTAGTCGGCGCCGACTAAACATGGTTAGTGTTGATGTCGGCGCAGTGGCCTTCTGATTTACGTCGACGTGCGCGGTATTAGGCATAGACCCCCTCCAGGAACGTCGGCCACCTTAGGAAGCGTCGACCACACGCAGTCGCCCTGTGTACTTTTCGGCGTTTGCTCAACCGCCCTTGTATGAACCTCCTTGCCCAATCGTGCCGTCAGGTTCGCGTGGTCCCGACTTGGGATCGACAACCAGCGTTTGTGGGTAATCGGAGTCGGCACGCTTCGATCGGCCATGAAGGAGGCCGACCATTCATGCTTTGCTGCGGTTTTCGACGCCGACATCGCCGCTATCCCGTTAAGAACGATGTGAGTTGTTTCACCGTTGATCAGTTGTCGTTTTTTGTTGTCACGACATCGCGTGGTGTTGTGATCGACGCCGTCGTGAATTGCATGTGCAGCCTCGGTCCGCTTCCAGGAACGCACTGCAGCGTCATTGCCATCCTATACCCTGGAGATCTGTTGAAGGCTGAGGGACAGGTGTGCAGGACCTCAATCCGGCACATCGACCCGCAGACCGGTAAAGGGTATCACCGCGACGAGGCCGCCCGCGTGCTAAAGTAAGTGCTGAATTGTCGTCGATGACCCGCTTGTTAGTCGGCGACACAGGGTATTACACGCTGACCGCCTCCCTCCACCGCAGTGCTTCAGGTTCTTCCGCACGGCTGTCGTGGCCGAGCTGGGGCGTCCCGGTAGGATGTGGGACTGGGCGCCGCCATCACAAGCAGTGGTGGAGGTCAGGCTGGCCGACTGCGACCACCCTATCCGCGATGTGAGTTGCACGTTCAAGTAGTAAGGGGGGTGCCCGTTTCTGAATGCTCCGCTCATCATGTTCCGTGCTTGTATGCAGAAAGTGCCGGGCACAGTGTCGGACGGGCATGTCGGTGCCGGAGTGCTTTCCGCGACGTCGTTCGGGTGGGTAGCGAAACAGATCGACCATCTGACAGGCGAGAAGGGTCGTAGTGGGGTGAGCATCGAGAGCGTCGGGATGAAGGGGCTGAAGGCTTTGCGCGACAGCATGGTTGAGTACGTCAGCAAGGTCATTGCCGTAAAACGCACCGCGGCGCCGACTTCTCAAGCCACCGGACCCGCCGACAGTGCCATTGATGACGACGGCGCGGAAGGACAGAAGGCGCCCCAAGGTGCAGTTGCCGCCCAGCATCAGGGGAACGCGAGGGTGCATGGGGAAGGTGGAAACGGTGGAGGAGGCGACGCAGAGGCAGGTGCAGGAAGGTTGGAAACGGAGAAGTCGTCGTCGTCGTCTGAGTCGGAGTCGGAGTCGGAGGAGGAAGACGAGGCGGTGAAGCGTAAGGACGAGGACGAGGAGGAGGAGGAGGATGAGGAGGAGGAGGAGGAGGAGGAGGAGGAGGAGGAGGAGGAGGAGGAGGAGGAGGAGGAGGAGAATAAGGACGAGAATGGTGAGAAGTGGGAGGGAGGGAAGGATGAGGAGGGGGGGGATGAAGAGGTGGAGCTCGTGGTGGAGTATGTAGAGGGTACGGTTGAGGCGGGAGCGGCGGAAGAGGCGGTGGGGTCGGCAGATCAGGGGAATGAGGAAGAGAAGGATGACGGCGCGGGAAATGCTACGAGGTCGGCAGATGTGGGGAAGGAGAAGGGCGAGGTCGGCGTGGAGGCAACGACGGGAAATGGCCAGGATGAGGCGGCCTGCGAGGGAGGTGGGAAGGTGTCGGTCGACGCCAGCGAAGGGGCGAACAACACGGGCGTGCAGGAGACCGGGGAAGCACCTGGTCGGCAGGGCCCTGAAGGACGACGTTGAGGAGCTGCGACGGGAGAACTGGTTGTTGCGGGCGGAGAACGCTCGGCTGGCGACGTTGCTCGATGCGGAGCGGGCTCGGCTGGACAGGTTTTTTGTTGGGGTCAGTGGACTCGTCGACCACGTTAAAGGGTTGGCCGAGCAGGTCGACGACACCGAGAAGTATGCCGCGGAACAGCTGCGAAACGCGACGGAGGCCATGTCGAAGACCATTACGGGCAACATCACCGGCAGCTTTGACGAAGCGTGGAAGTCGATGAAGACATTCGCGGAACAGGCGACGGAGTGGTTGGAGGACTTCGACAATCCGGAGGGTCGTGTCGCGTATGCACGGGCGTTAGCGGTCTCCGCCTTGGCCGAACACGTAGATTCGGTGGTGGGCGATGCGAGGAAGGGGTTGGAAGAGTACGTCTCGAACCACCTTGCCTCCGCGCAGGTCAACATCGCCACCGCTGTGACCGCCAGGCTCGCCGTGCCGCCGCCGCCACCGCCTCATCCCACGCCGCCCGCCATCCCGGAAGAGCTTTTGAAGTCGTTCAAGACCGACATCATGAAGGCAGTGACGGAGGCCACCCAGCAGTCTTTCGTTGCTTCCGGGATGAAGATGATGACAGAGATGATCGGCACTGTGGCGCCAGGTCGACGTGGGTCGTCGCCTTCGGCCAATGACGCCGATAACGCGCAAAGGAAAACGGCCGAGAAGCAGGGCCATAAGAGGACGGGCGACGGAGACGACAAGGAGAGCTCGAAGCGGAGCAAGGGAGCGGACGGTAGCCGCGGGTCGAAGCCTGCGCAACAGAGCGTGGTCGACCAGCTGAAGACGAAGGCGGGGTGGAAGGTGGTAAGGACGTCGCACAGCAAGGGAGGCGGAAGCGGGGGAGCAGAGGGTGGCCCTGCCGACGGGGTTGCCGCTAACGTAGCTGCTCCGACTGGCCCGCCTTTGGTCGCCGAGCAGACCGATCCTCAGGCGAGCAGTGGGAAAGGCGTGACCGACAAGGAGGTGCCAACTGCTCAGGCGGCGAATGATGGCGACTCCGGAACCACCAAGGGACCGTCCGTCGCGGCGGCGGCCAAGCCTGCTTCTGCTACGGTTGTCGGCACCACCAAGTCGAGTCCCCGTAACCCCCTTGCGGCTACCAGCGCGCCTGCCGGCCAGTCAGGTGCGAACAAAGATGGGGAGGCTGCTCCAGCTCCAGCAGCCCCGGCTGCCGCCAAGGGCGTCGCGAAGGCTGCTTCGGCTAAGGGTGATGCCGTGGCATCAGCTAAGGCCCCCCCCAGTGGTACCGCGCTCAGGGAGATGCTCCGCCGCATGGAGGCACATAGCAGGGACGTGTAGCAGCATCCCGTGGTCGACGCCGGCCTTCCTGGAACAGCACGTCGCTCCGTCACTACGCAGGTTGCCGGCAAGTCGTCCGGTGCCCCACCTGCCGCGCCTTCGGTGGCCGCCCCACCGCCTGCGGACCCCAAGTCCGCTTTTCTTCGCGCCCATTTCGGCGCACGCAAAGCGGCTGCTCCATCAGTGACCCAGCCGGAACTCGGCAAAAGCGCGACGCCGACGTCGGTAAACGCGACCGCACCCACACCAGGTGCATCTGTGGTCGATGTGGCGGCGGAGAAGGGAGTGAGTGCAGCGCTCGCCATCGGCGGCCGCGCAGACAAGCATGCCGACCTCGCTGTCGTCATGGCCCATTTTGAGGCAGCAAAGCGCCCCGAGCACGCCCCTGTTATGGCCATCATGGACATGGCGCATGTGGTGCCGTCGGCGACCCACGGAGGGGGTTCGGCGGAGCAGACGGCCGCAACGGCTGCTGTCGCCGAGAGAAATGCTGGACGGAAGGAAAAGGACGACAACGGGAAAGAGAAGGCGGTCTCTCAGAGGAGCACGCGGGCGATGTCTGCGGGGAAGTTGATGTCGGAAGAGAAAGGGAAGAAGGCGGAAGGGGAGCAGGACAAGACGGGCGGCAAGGGTAAGCCGGCGAAGAAGAAGGAGAAGGCGGAGGAGGAGGACGAGGAGGGCGGCGAGGGAGATAAAGAGCATGGACGCAGGGGTCATGGCATCCGCCGAGACAAGGCTGGCGACGGGCAAGGGTGGGTGGGCGAGATTAAGGTGAAGGGACTGAATCGGTACATCGGCAAGTCGAGGGAGAAGATGGAGCTGGCCTACGAGCACGCGATTGCGTACGTCGTCTACGACGGCTACGTGAGCAAGGTGCTCATGAAAGAGCTCACCGTTCTGAAGCCGGGGGTGTTGGATGAATGGAAGGAGGTGTGGGCGGAGGTCAAGTTCCTGTCGACTGGGATGTGGACGGTGATGTGGGCAAGAGGCTTGTGCCATCCGAGAGCACGGTAAGACGGATCCTGACGTGCCGAGTTCTGTCGACCAAGTCGTGTCATTACGCTGATGTTAACGAAGTCGTGTCGTTCTAATGTGTTTGCGCGGCAGGTTCGACGACATACTCGGCAGGTACCGTGGGTACGCGAGTTCGGGTGATGCGCTTCATGACGTGCTCTGGCCGGCGATCTGGTTCCCCATCATGGAGGACATGGAGGAAGGCAAGGAAGAGACGGACGCTCTCATGTCGGCGATGGTAAATCGCGTGTCGATGTGCGCGGCGTATGGGAAGGTCGCGGCGAGCGCGGCGTTTGGGAAGGTCGATGCGAGCGTGGAGGGGAAGGCGGACGAGAAGACGAAGATGGGGGCCCAGGCGTTAGCGGCATCGGCATGCGCCATCTGGTGCTTCTTGGAGACGGGGGCGTCGGTGCTCGGTGCTGTGGGCGAAGGGAAGGCGGCGGCGATGGTGGCAGGTGCGGGGGAGGCGAGGGCCGAGGACTTCAAGGAGGTGATGCACGCGGTGATTGATATAGCACGCAGTAGGCAGGCTCCCGCGGGGGAGGTTGCACATAACGTCGCGCCAGCGCTGCAGAGCCAAGCAGTGGCCAGGGCCTTCGCGAAGGGAGTTGAGGAAGTCGAGGCCGACATGATCGCAATTGCGACGGTCGAGACCTTGGCGTTCTGGGGAATGTGCCCCGTCGCCGGGCCCAAGCTCAAAGCGCAGGGCATCGATGTGCCGTGTGACGCGAGGATGGAGTACGATATGGATCACAGGGGGAGGAAGGGGGAGAAGGTCAAGCAGAGCAAGGGCAGCAGCAAGAGGAAGAAGGGCAAGCAGGGCAAGGGCAGTACGGATGCGTAGTTGGCGGGCTGTGGTGTGCAGGGTACTATTGTATGGTCGGCGCCGATGTCGTTGTAATTCTAATGACTTTTGTATCGTAGGGCACAATTTTTTTTTGTTTTTTAGTAAATCACTGTCCACATTGAAACTTGCTAGCCGACTTTGAACGATGCGCTTTGTCGGCGCATATGTCGACATCAAAAGGAACATGCTACTCGGCGAGCAGTGATGATAGAGAAGGTAGACACATGCTACTCCGCGACGAGTTCTGTCGGCGAATATGTCGACACCCTAGCAACATGCAATCCTGCGAGACGTCGACATCGATCTGTGCTTAGATGTCAGCAAGGATAGTATTTTTGTTTCTTAATGAGCGACCGACTACATTTAACACAGCGGGACCCAGTAGGTTCGCAAGGGCCTTGCAGTGGGTTGTTACAAACTACCGGAACAGCATTTGGAAAAAGAAGGGAAGGGGGGGTGGGGGGGGGGGGGGGGGGGGGGGGGTGGTGTACAAATCTGCCACAGTTAACAGCATCGAACTACGCACACGCATATCCTACAGGCGCGATCATGCCAACTTCTTGCGCTTGGTCGGAGGACGGTGCACCGGAGCGGTCGGCTTGGCCGGTGCTGTCGACTTGGCCGGGGCCGTCGGCTTCGCCAGGTCGGCCTTGGTCTTCGGCATCTGCTCCTCCCACGTGTCTGGAAACAGGGTTTCGACCCAATCACTCTCCTTCAGGTTGAGCGCCACAAGCGCACAGGCGAGGCGTAGCTTCGAGACCACCTTGGGGCCCAGCCCCTTGACTCCCAAACCAGGCTCTTTGGACAACATCGGTGCCGTTCCCGGTTTGAGCACCGTGAGGGCATCGGCGAAGGTCCCGATGCCCGATGCCGCGATCCTGTGCAGTGTGTCGACCACGGCCTCGGTGTCGGCGTCGCCGTCGCTCGCGCGTAGCTGGCGCACCGCATCCATGACCTTCAGCATGCGGCGCACCCTCTTGTTGAGTGCACCCTGCGTAGCGCCGGCGAGGAGGGTGTGGCGGTCGATGAACCCCGGCTCGGCGATCCTGTCGCAAAGCCGACGGGTGTCATTAGTGGTGGCGGAGTTCCAGAGGCGCCAGGCGTCCCTCACGGTCTTGGCCTCCCGCCACGGTTGTACCACGTTGAGCTCGTAACTAGCCTCCTCGTCCGTCTGTGGGGGTGGCGGGGGTTTGTCGTCCCCTCCGTCGGCGCCGGCTCCCATGTTGGCCGAATCCGCCGAGCCACCCTCGCTGGGAGCTTGCGCGGTAGCACACGGCGGGGCCTCTGGCACTCTCCGTACTTTTGACACACGGAGTGCCTCGGTGAGACGGGTTATCTCGGCGGTGAGAGACGCGATGGTGTCGTCGCGCTTCTCGAGCTCCTCCAGGAAGTCAATCTTCTCGTTCGCGGCGCGCTCCATCTCCTTCGTCAGCTTCGCCTTGAGGGATATGTTGTAGTACTCGGTGTCCATGCGGACAGAGATTTCCTGCAGCGGTAGGACAAAGACGTTAGCCGCGAGGTGGTTTGGAATGCCCTACATCCAACTCGTCGTCGACTTACCTCTGCCTGAATTTGGGTCGGGTCCCGACGCTTGTTGATCGTCTCGGTGTCGACCCTCTCGACCCGTTTCGCCCAGTGCTGGAAGAGGGGGATCCGGCAGAGCAGGGAGCCTTGGACGTACGGGTGCCATGGTGTGCGGACCAGCTTCACCGCTAGGTCCTTGGCGACGATGCGGCGCAGCATCTGGAGTGTGCGCCAGAAGTGCACCGCGGCTTTGTCGGCGTCGGACCCCTCGGCAGCCTTCCCTTCCGCCTGCAATTCGTCACGTGTATTAGGAGTTCAGACACTGTCGGCAACACGACTCGGAAACAAGGATACGAGGGCGTCGACTAACATACCGTCTTCAGCATGTCGTCGACGCCGGGGAAGATGTGCTCGGCGAGGAGCTTCAAGAGCTTATCGGAGGGCTCCACCCTGCTCCGGCCCAAGAAGTAGTCCTGCTTGTAACCAGAGTAACCGGCCTTCTTCATCACCACCCCCACCGGAATGGCGGTGATGTACGCTCGCGTCATCTTGTCGAGCGCCCAGTGACCCAGCTCCGCGATCTCGGCGCGCGGCGTGCCGTCGATGGCCAGCTCCTGGGCCCCTCCGGCTCGAGCGGCGTGCACGTTCCTCTTGCAGAAGACCCCGTTTTTGTCCCACAACTGCCGCGTCCAGCGTTGGTGGCTTGCCGCAGAGAGCTCCCCTTGGTCGGTGTCGTTTTTGGTGAAGAAGAGGTGCTTCTTGTACCAGCTCGCGCGTGTGCTGGTGTCCACCGGCGGAATGAGGCGGACGCCGTGAAACTGGCCGATCTGGTCGATGATGAAGTGCAACCACAGGCCCGTCTCGCCGACGGCGGACAACTCCGCTTCGAGGTGCCGCGCAGCGTAGCTCTGCTGCAGACGCGCATCCTTGGACGTCTTCGAGTTCCGCGCAGCGATGACCATGACGACCGGCTGGTTCTCCGGGTTCACCGACGAGGTGCTCGCCAGTCGGTACAAGAATATGTCGGGGAGCGTGATCTCGCGGATGCTTGCACCGCACAGAAGAGAGTGGTGGGAGAGTAGCGTGAGCACCTTCAACAGCAGAAACCGCCATAGCGTCTGCGACGGGCCCGTACCCCGCGGGTTCCACGCCTTGGCCGCCCACGTCGGCAGCACCCTGAACATGATCTGGCGGAACTGCTCGGCGGTGTAGGTATCGCCGATTGTTCCGCGACGCCGATCGGTGCAGTTCCTGCCGACAATGCCGAGGGTGGGGGGCAATTAGGGCGGCGTCGACTCAGTACAAGACAACAAGAGGTTAAACAAAAACTCACTTGATGTCCCGCTCGTTCTTGGTGCGGATCATGAACCGCACCTCCGACCTGACCACCGATATCTCTCGCATGATGCTCAACTCCGTCTCCCGGTATATCGTCGCCTCCACTCTCGCCGCCATCTGGCATGCCTTTATGCGCCCGAGGAGCGTGTGCACTGTTGTAGATTAATAAGAAACGAGGAATGAGAATGACTAAGGGAAAGTTGGGTACAAGTACAAACCCTAGAAATGTGTTGTACCCCATATGTGCTACCCCACTATAGCCTACATAGGCTAAGTCATATAAGCCTGACACACCCCCATAGGCAAAGTGGGGGAGAACAAGGGGTCACAAGACCAGTCAAGCAAAGCAAAGCAAGCTCAGGGTGGATCACAACGTCACCACACAGTCCGAGCACAAGAGCAAGGCCACAAGGCCAGTTCACATGCAAGATCATATATATAAAGGTAAACAAGCAAGTGCAGGTATAGAAAGATCACAGTACAAGCAAGGTCAAGAAGTGAGCAAGTGAGGCCAAGTAGGCACAAGACCTAGCATCGTACAGAAGCGCTGATGATCACAAGGCGGAAGTGCCTTGGTAAAGATATCAGCAGTGTTGGCCTCAGAGGCCACGTAAGCAAGGCGTAGCTGACCACGCTGCTGCAGCTCACGAGCAAGGAAGTAGCGAAGAGCAATGTACTTCGTTCTGTGCTCCAGTCTGTGCTCCCGACACAAGGCCAGCATGGCCTTGTTGTCTACGTACAGAACTGGAGGAGAACGAGGCGGCTCTCCTAGGTCAGTCAGCAGGTAGGTGAGCCAGCGTAGCTCCTGTGCAGCCATGGCCCCCGCGTAGATCTCAGCCTCACGGCTGGAGGTGAGAACAGAAGACGAGCGGGTAGACCGCCACGAAACAGAGCCGGAGCCAAGGCTGAAGGTGTAACCCTGTGATGACCGCTGCGTAGCCTGGTCGTCAGCCCAAGAAGCGTCTGCGTGACCTGTGAGGACCACTCGACGTCGCCCTCCAAGCACTAGCCCCATGCCCGACGTACTGCACAAGTAGCGCAACACCCTCTTCGCTGCAGCCATGTGCTCTGGTCGGTGTCTCCCAGGAGCAACATAGCGTGCCAAGATGCTAAGAGGGTATGCAAGGTCAGGTCGTGTGCAGGTCATCAGGTACATGAGGCAGCCAACAAGCTCTGGGTATGGGCCACTCGGCTCTACGGACTCATCCGAAGGCAGAGCTGAGAGCGAGTGGCGAGTAGACAGAGGAGTGGCCTGAGGCGAGGAGTACGTGAAGTCGAAGCGCTGAAGGACCTGCTGCACCATGTGTGACTGAGTCAGGGTAATGGTGCGCTGTGCTCTGTCCCGGGTGATCTGCAAGCCAAGGTAGCTGCGCAGTTCACCCAGGTCTGTGCACGTGTGTCTCTTCTGCAGCTCGGACTTCACGTGGGCGAGTCCAGCAGTGTCAGCAGTGGCAAAGACCAAGTCGTCGACGTACACGAGGATGTAGAACGGCGGCAAAGAGGTGTCGGTGCGCAGAAACAGCGACGGGTCGGCAGTAGAAGGAGCAAACCCAAGAGCCGCAAGTGTAGTCCTCAGTGTGTCGTGTGTCAGATTTATATGACATTGCTACTGTAGGCTATAGTGGGGTAGCACATATGGGGTACAGTTTTCCTAGGGTTTGCATTTGTACCCAACTTTCCCTTAGTCATTCCATTCCTCGTTTCTTCTCATGGTATCGAGCAGGTTCCCTAGTGGGAACGATTCCTAGGGCCCACCACCACTAATTTTTTTTTTCCTGCCCGGAGCGCGCTTCGCTCCGGCCCGAGTCGCACCCTGTGTGCTCTCCCTACCGTCGCGCCCTCGCTAGGCCCCTCACGGCCCCGTCGCGTCGCCCTTAGCGGCCCTCTCACGGCTCGTCGCGCCGCCCCTACGGCCCTTCGCGCCGCCCTTACGGCCCTTCGTGCCGCCCTTACGGCCCGTCGCGCCCGTCGCGCCGCCCTTACGGCCCCTCGTGCCGCCCCTTACGGCCCCTCGCGCCGTCCCTTACGGCCCCTCGCGCGGCCCCCTACGCCCCTTACGGCCCCTCCCGCGTCCCCTCACGGCCCCCTACGGCTCGTCGCCGCCCTCAGCGGCCCCGCCACCTACCTGTGCGGCC